AGCGACTATTGACTGGAGTCCTCAACTGAGGCCCCAGCCCCTGATACCCTTCCATACCGTGAGCCCTAATAACCGGGCTATACCCGAATGACCGCTCCACCGTAGGGCTGCCTTCGGCGTGGTACCTCACGTGCCATCACGTGAGGGCCGTCTTACAATGGTGCGAGGGGGCTGGAGCTGTCTTGAGTTGAAGTCGGGGGGTGTGGGGGTGTGGGGGGAGCAACTAACTGCGGGATGCACGGAATTTCCGTCCTATAGTATTAGGTATGTCCTGGAAAATAAATGAAGAATGTTGTAGATGGTAGTAGCCCCAACACTAGTCCGTAGATCGATAGGGCTAAATTCGAGTATCCTGAGCTGGAAGCGGCCTTCACCTTCTAGTTTCTGTGCTAATAGTACCTCTAGTCAATTACCCATAGAACTATTATATCTAATGTACAATCGTATCTAGCCCTTGATATCCCTCTCCCTGCTCATCGGCAGCAGCAGCTCACTAGCCGGACTCGCACAGCTATAGCTATGATAGAGATATGCAGCGAGCAGGACTGTTCCTGTGCCGATTGTGCCCTGTTATAGAAGAAATGAATGCGTTAGTATTTAATCTGCTGTAGATGTAAAATCTAGATATAAAGACAAATCTCCATCTTGCTCTAGATCGAGCTCTAGTCGGCCTCAAGTCCTAGAAGTAAGAGCATCCATGACTCGGAGATGGAAAGGAACGAGAAGGAAAGAAAAAGTTGAAGGGATAAAAGTAAGGACTCACATGCACGCTGACCCCCGTCTGATAAACCACCGCGCTCACCACACAACTAACAACAATACTAACACTAGCTGCAAAGTTCTTCGCCACATTATCCGCAGACGTAATTACAACCGCAACAAGTACCCCCCCAAGCGCCTGCAGCACAATCACGACCCACACAATGCTGTTGTAGCCTGCGAAGAATCCATGCGTGGAAATGGAAGGGCCGTCTTGGTACATGACACCGAGGAACAAGGCTGGGAAGAGGGAATAGAAGGAGAGCTGCACGTTACGTGTCCAGAGAGATACGCTGGAAATGGTGCTCTTGATGATGAGTTCGAAGTAGACGCTTGTGAAGCCCGAGATCAGGGATGCGGCGAGCACGGCGAGCAGGCCCCGGGTGGCAGACATGGTGGAGGAGTGGAGGATGTGCGCTGACTCGGGCTGGCCGGGCGGGAAGGATGATTTTGATGCCAAGGGGGATAACTCGGAAGGAGATGGCGAGAGTAGGGTGGTGAGCTTGCTTTTCATCTCCTCGAATGAGGGAAGCGGGTTTGATGTCTGTACGATTGCGACACCGAGGGTGAGCAGGACCAGAGCAAGCCATTGTCGAGATGAGATCGTCTTTCCTACCAACCCGATACTGAAGAGGACGGTGGTGAGGATTTTCAGCTGGTATATCACTTGGAATGTCACGGCTTCTAGATTGCTGATCGCGACGTAGACGAGGGAGTTCTGTAGGGTATACAGTGCTGCGGGGATGATGAGTTTCCAGCTATCGGACGACAAGAAGGACTTGCAGAGGAGCACAAATAGGTCTCTTGGCGAACTAGTGGGGTGTGCTTTGGCCATTTCGAATGTGGTGATGGACAAGCTAACTACCAGTTTGATGATCTCGACAAGAAGAACGGCTGTGGATGGGAGATAGCGACGGCCTGAGTCGACAGGAGCTATTCGGGAGTAATGCATTGTCTGACGACATTATTAGCAATTGGAATCTTCCACCTCTCGAAAGATGAATCACGTGTCCATACCATAATGAGAGCGGAGTTTTGGATGGCGAGCTGGAAGTTGGTTAGTCATGTGACTTGTATCCATCAAGGGACTTGACTAACCAAGATCAATGAGATGCGCTGTATGGAGAGGCTATGAATTTCAAAGATTTGCGACGGTCGTCTTGGCGGAAAAGCTTGATTATCCCATGCCCCTCTGCTAGTCCGACGGGAATGTGCCAAGGCAAAATCCTGCCAGATCGTTTTCGCCTCATACATGTTTTTAGCGAGCATGCGGACGCCAACTACTTCTGTTGTTTTTGTTTTTCGTTTCGGAGCATTTCAGAAGAAGTCTAGAAGTGCACGACACCTGTGACAAGAGGTGAGAGCAGACTCGCCCAGCCTTCCTCGTGCTCAAGAAGGGGAAATTATTGTGCTATAGATCAAAGCTCAATTTCGTTGGGAAGGTTAAATTACGGTAAACGGCGCATCCGCGACTATTTGTCATATGTAGGCATGTATCTCATTCATCGAAACTGACCAACGGATGGAAGCAGCCTCCGAGCGATGAGTAGGTGGCTTTCATGACGCTCCGAACTTTCCGGCTGATTTGGCGAGTAAGCGGCTTGCGCGATTCACTAATCGTAACGACGTCAAAGTGACGCGTAAGCACGAAATTACGAGAGATGCGACATCGAATTCTTCAATCCGCCGCAGTTCGCATGCCCTGCATTTTTGCCGGAATCCTGACAACAGCTTCAGAATAAAATACGGCAATTGCCGAATGCACAGTCAACGATTGTAAAACAATGCGCCGCCCTTACCCTCACCTAGAGCGGACGCATTCGTGGTTGTACCGTACGTCAGCACTGCCAAGCGTGAGATGGGCCTCTAGCGTCAGTAGTGAAAGCTTAATACGTCAACCCCAACCTTATTTGCTCCCCGTCGCATATCCCAGTGAATATCAGACGACAGAGCTAACTGCAACTTCCGAGCATTCCAGGCCACGCAGAGCCTACCACATCACAATTCACCGCATAAGATAAACTTCCTATCCACTTACTTCTGTCTCTATTAACTACGCTCGACAGTCAGTCCGGACTTAACCACCTCCTTGCCTCATGTACGCATTTAAGCCATTACCGATGCTACGACCCACCGCATCCAGGCTTATCAGCAGACTCTCAAGGCACGCCTGGCGCTGGATAATGCGCATCGCGCCGATCCTCCTGGTGCTGCCACTGTTCTTACAATGGCTGATCGGATACCTGGTAGGCAGCGATGCAAGGCTCTTACCATCCTCACTACAGGGTGCGAAGAATTTGCTGATCGTGACTGCGCATCCTGACGATGAGTGTTTGTTCTTCGCACCGAGCATTTTAGGGGTGCTAGACAGGAATCATGATGTTAGAGGAGGCTTGCTGGTTATGTCTACAGGTGAGGTTGCATAGGCAGGAAGTGGATATTCGGGGTTTGACTCTGTTGCAGGGAATAATACTGGGATTGGCGAGACGAGGAAAGAGGAGCTGAGAGGCTCCTGTGAGTCGCTGGGCATCGACCTGGCTAGATGCGTCGCACTAGATGAAGCCGAATTGCAGGATAATCCAACGGTATGGTGGAATACGGATCTCATCCAAAGCATCGTGACCGAGTATGTCCACAAATGGGACATTGACGCTGTAAGTTCTCTCTTCCCAACAACAATCATTTATATGCTTTGGGAATGTCACTGACAGCATTCTCCAATTCAGATCCTCACATTTGATTCAGGCGGGATCTCCGGACATATAAACCACAGGGCTGTTAGCGCCGCTATAAGGTAAATTCGCCTTGTCTCCCTCCACCCGCCTCACCTGATTGGCTCCGAACGCGAAGCTCATGTTCACTCCCTAGCAATTATGCATCGACCAATGGAGAAGCTCCCATCGCTTACATGGTCACCACAACCACCCTTCTCCGCAAATACACCTTTCTCGGTGACCTCACTCTGACCGCATTACCCTTTACCTGGCGCATCTTGGAAGCGATGGCTTTCCCATCCCCTGTGGCGGGTCTCAGCTACAGCCACAAAGCGCTGGTTGCCAATACGTGGCATCGATACATGAAGACTCGCAGTGCCTTCCGCAACCACAATAGCCAGTACTCGTGGGATCGGCACTTGTATCTAGTTTTGAGCCGGTATGTGTGGTTTAATGACCTAAAAAAGGTACCTAGCATAGAGGACAAAGCTTAATCATAATTCCCGTTACTCGTTTGGCCTTCCGAGGCTTCCGTTCCACATATATAAGCACCAAACCCCCCAATCACTTCCAGCGTGAAAAAACAAGCTCCCGAAGCTCCAATTTTAGCATTTTGGGTTGTTGTGCCATGATCTGAGACGTGGAGTTTACGACGTCTAGACCACTAATTGTTCCCAATCATGTCATTACGACTCTATCGCACGCACCCCATCATCTTCGCCTATGGCATCATTGTCGGGATTCTCACGCTCTACTATTTCCGCACCCTGATCTGCACGACCTACTCCCTCCTCTCCCTAACCTTTAATTGGCCACGGGGCGCGCCCGACTTCCTCATCTCACCCAACGCGGACCGCGACGCTTTTGATCTCAGCTTTGCGAACTACAGCCGCACGCAGGACTCGGCGGGTCCGTTGTACCGCGACCTCGTCCCACCTGTGCTGCACCATATTGCGCTGGGGAGTCACAAGCCGCAGGGGAAATGGATCGATGCGAGGAATGCGTGTTTGGAGCTGCATCCGGGATGGGAGGCGATGCTGTGGACGGATGGGAATGCGGGAGATTTTGTCAGGGAGAGATTTCCAGAGTTGCTGCATATGTGGGAGCGGTATGGTTATACGATTCAGAGGATTGATGCGTTGAGGTATATGGTGCTGTATGAGTATGGTGGTGAGTATTATTCTGCTCTCTCTTGCCTCTTAGGGAATTGGATATTGGTTTATATGTACAGTATTTAGATGCTAATGCTGACTTGGCACAGGAGTTGTTCTTGATATGGATCTGAAATGCACAAGATCGCTAGGTCCGCTACGAAGATTCAGCTTTGTTGCTCCAGCGGCACATCCGACGGGTTTCTCGATTGGGTTCATGATGGCGAGTAAAAGGAATGAGTTCGTGGGGAAGTTGGTGCGCAGTTTGAAGATGTATAATAGGCGGTGGTTTGGATTGCCATATCCGACTGTTATGTTCAGTACGGGGTGCCATTATGCTTCGTAAGTGATTATCCAGAGTTGCGGCAGCTGCTCGACTTGAAAGGTGCGCCTCCGACTGATTTTATATGACTAGGACAATCCATGCCCTGCAACCAAATAGATCAGAGTTGAAGATCCTTGCTGGACCCCTGGACAACTTCAAGCTGCACAGCTTGAACGGCCCTGTTTCGACTCCCATATTCAACCATCTTGGTAGCTCATCGTGGCACTCTTATGATGCATCTTTAATTGTTTCGTTAAGTAGGTCTGCCAAGTGGTGGATACCCTTGTTCGTACTCGGAGCTGCGGCAGCGGTGTTCTTTATGGTGAGGAGATTAAAAATCAAAGGAATGCTGAGGCGATATCAATCTTATAGGTCGATTTTACATGGCGAGAAGACGTCAGATACCGATTTAGAGGGCAGGATAGCGTGATAGTTGCTTTGATGGGTTTCAAGTGTTCTGACCGTTATGAGCGGGTGCCCTAACTCGTAGTCAGACCGTAAACGCCACATCTTAATCTGCAAAGATGCAGCTTGCCAGTTTCGAATACGGGTATCACTTTGCAAAAGGCAGGAGCTTAAGGCTATAGTTACAATAGCTATTCCTCATACTTGTAGCCCAGTTACCCATTATAACAACCGGAATGCAAATACAATGTGGTATTTAAAGCCGCATCGCAAAGCTTCAGTAATTGACAATCGTGAGACGACGCCATGTTACTAATACTATTCTAAAAAGTGTCTAACTGTCCTGTACTGTATTTAATTAATATATAGGCCAAATCCAGAGCGCAGAGCGGCTGCAGTATGGTGAGCGAATGAAAGAAGCTGGAGGGGTCAAGGAAACAGTGGAATGTCGTCGAGTTGCAAGTGATAAAGTTGAACAGGCTACTTATGATCAAGCTCTCCGTTCTTCAGAAGAAAGGACCTTGCAACAAATAGGATAAGGCAGAAAATGGAGCAAATATCTAACCTAGCAGACTGAGCTAAAGGAAATACAAAAAATGAGTTAATGACTATTCGACTTTATAGCCGCAAAGGATTTCACAGCTCCGTTGGCGTACTCTTTGCCTGTGGACGAGTCGTGCCAGTTCTGTCAATTGCGGGTTCAAACCAATCACACGAGAGAGAGCTAGAGTAAGACGTGATATGCGCGGCCGGGACGGGATGTGACAGGCAGCTGAGAAAAGCGCAAATCAAAAAGGACAGTCGAGATACTAACATTCCGCAGCCAGGGCTTGCCATTTGGTTATGATAAGCTTCTCATCAAGCTGCAGCAGGTAGTGGCCGTCCGTCTCGAGCTTGTCTGCGCTGACGATGGTCTGTACGCTTGAGAGATCGCTAGAGATGGCGTCGAAAATGCCTAGTTGCGTAAACTGTAAGCCATCGATGAAACGGGATGAAATTCAAACGCAGGTTCAAACTTGTAGGAAGTAGAACTGACCGATCATGGATTCAACGAGTTCAATTGTTTGTGGATCCATGGTGAAGTCAGGCCATGCGATAACGAACTATTTTTTGCGGAGCAGTCAGTCAGACTTTTGTTGATTGACATCAGCTCACTCAATCTAAAGCTCACAAAATAAGGGCGGCACCGCCGCCCCTATCCCAGGCACGAAGTGAGAATTCCACCATGGTTCGCTAGAATCAATAGTTGCCACAAAGTGGGCAAGTTAAGTATTGCGTGTAGCGATGCTCACTGATATTTTATTTGTAACTAGCACTATAGAATTTACCTTCCTGCGGGGGCTGATTCCTCCGATTAGAGAGGGATGGCACCAACTGAAGAAACCTCACGACTTGACATCATATATCAATTCCCCGTTATCATCACATCTTACAATATCCCACAAGACATGCTTCATAGGCTCTCCCTTTTTGATGCCTAAATGCTGTGCGTCCCATCCTTCTACTACCAGCGCATCTGCAATCATCCGCCGATGGCACCGCCACCAAAGCGTCTCGCTACACATGATCGCCACCAAATGGCCTCCCCTACTCTGCGGCTTTTTGCATAACGCCTTCAGCTCTTCCAACCCATCTCGAAAGTTCTGAGTGCTCATATAACCAGCGTAATTCCTAAATGCCGTGACGCGGATGGCTGTATGCTGCTCAACATTGGGCTGCTGTGCGTTGCGGCGACCGCCGAGTTTGACACCATACCATATATATTCTATGTTGGCTGCCTTTAATTCGGTAGATGTGACTAGATCATCGTGATTGAATTGGGGGTTTGTATAGGACTTCGGGATCGAGCGGACGTCTACGAGTCTGGTGACATGTGCGGATTGGAGGAGATCAATCAGGGTGGATAGTGTGCGCGTGCCGTGGCCAATGGTGAATATTATGGGGTGAGAAAACGTCGAGGAGGGTGGCCGTGTGGAGGTGGTAGTTTTTTTCTGCGCTGGTAGCACGACTCCGTCGTGACTCTCTACTGTTTGAGACTTATTGAGACGAGTTGGGGCATCCTCCCCCCGACGTTTGGGTTGAGGGTTGTCGGCTACATTCTGGTCATCTCCTGTAGAAGATGAGCGTTTGCGCTTAGAGCTGGCGCGTGTCGATACCTAGGAAATAAATGGAATGAGGATCAGCTTTTAGATTTGACATTTGATGGGGCTTTTTACTAACCATATTTTGTGAGTCGTTGCATTGAACGCAGCATGAGTGATAGATTAATCGTGACGATAAGGTGATGGTGGATGCTGATTAAACAACTAACTGTTCATGATCATGACGTAATGGTAGTACTTGTTACAATCGCAGGTCATAGCTGCCAGGATATTGCCAAAGCCACGAACGTTATCAATATATTCCGTTAGAGTGACACCAAGGGCCTCAGGAGTCGAGCTCAATACCAGGTTTGGCACTAGAATGGACACGCCCAGCTCACCCAGCCCACCCTGCCCACCCTCGCTTCACCCCAAGACTACCCTAAAATAAATCTCAATCCTTTAAATACGTTCTACTAATCCAACGTGTCTTTAACAATGGAAGCATGTTCATGCAATGCAGCCACAACGAGGCATGTCTAGTAAGGTCTAAGCCCTTCGACATGGCTCCCCGGGGGACAAGAGGCGCTTAACGATAATTTGATGCCCTTTTCGAGCGGCAACTCCGATGGCTGTTTCCCACTGGTCATACTTCAGATCTACGCAGAGCACTTGAAGTCAGGCCTGTTAGGGATACTTGATGCGCGCTCGTTACTCGCTAGAATGAATTCCCAGAATTTGGACCAGAGTCGGGTTCGTTGCTATGTTTAGCGTTGTTTGTGAACCCATGTGAAATAAGGTGCGGGGTTTCAGCCTGTCCTTTCCGTCCATTCTCCACACGGGGACGGCACGCGGGGACGGCGCGCGGGGAACCATACATTCCCGCCAAACCCGACGTGAACATGGCGCCAGCGTACGCCCAACGGCGAATCCGCTATCCAGCAAGCCACCACAGCTCTCAGCTAGCCACAACGGCTTTTGCAGCATACCTACGGATATCAGGGGCAGTCGCCAGCCAACAGATCCTTCACTCCGCATTACTCTAACGATTCTTCAGCGGTGTACAGCATGCGTCTAGAACCAGTCGCCAGGCAACGGATTCCTTCACTCCGCACCACTCCAATGAATATTATGCAATGCACACCATCTCTTTCGATAGATTGCATATCTCTCCGACCTCAATTTGTCCAGCTCGCAACTGTGGGCAATGGGACGTGCTGAGTGGTCGTGGTTAGCAAATTAGCACCAGATGCAGCATTGAATGCTTAACAATTCCACCACCCGCATACGGCGGGCACCTTCTTACGGCGATTCAGCTTGGACACGGTTACAAAACGGGCGGTGGCTTGCGCTGAGCGACCAGTGAAGAAGGACAGAAGAGCTGCAACAATGAGGAACCGTTCGATGTTACCATGCCTATCTTTATTGGCTCTCAGTCAGCCAAAGAGTGCGTTAAGCAGATGCAGGGTTGGCAAGTGTCAACTGAGACTGGATGAATGAACGCAGGAGCTGCGGACACAGCTTTGCGCAGCTGACGACGCTGTACATCAGCCAGCCACAGAATGAGTGTGAGCAAGAGCATTTCGGGTTCACGACAGGAGGTAGAAGTTGCGAGAGAACTCTTCCCTACTGCATAAAGGTTGGAAGGTGCCCGATATACCAATTTCCATCCTCCATACATCGATTCCAACACCAGAACTCATTGGACTGCGATTACCATGGCTACAGATATTCCACCATTCCAATTGCATTTGATGTTTAAGCTTCACAATGGCAAACAGCTCACCCTAAATGAGATCCGAAAGGCGCAAGAGATGGGGATTGAAATTCCATGGCCTCCCACTGAGGGTGCACCGTTCGTGAATGCTAGCGGAGAAGAAGAGCAAGAAGTAACAGCTCCCCTTCAACAAACTCAAAAAATTCTCTTCTATGATCATACAGCTCCTTCTTACACATGGAGATCTAATTTAGGCTAGGGATTTCCAATTGGGCCGGTTATGCATGCTGTACCCCCCGTTCGACGCAATCCCGAGCCATTCTTCCCCACACGCCGCGACGTCGTTACGAATCCTGATGATGGGGAGGGTGGTGTCACAAACACGGCTGGCGATGACATCCAAGAAGGAGTAGCTCCAGTCCAACCGCTTAACAAGTCGCAGCGTCCACCACCTCCTAGCAACGGGCAAGGTGGACGACATGACACGTGTTATCATCCTTCTCATGGCTCGTGTTATTATCCTTCTCACTATCTCCACCTGGCAACCAACAAGTACCAGTACCAGATTCCTGACTGGGCTGGTCCGACTCAAAGAGATCCATACGGGAATCCTAGGCCGCGCTATAACCCCAGAGATGATCAAGATGGACGACTAGACCGACGTTATCCTAGCTCTCAGTACTTCCATCTGGCGACTAACAAATACCAGTACCAGATCCCTGACTGGGCTCGTCAGACTGAAAGGGATCCATACGGAAATCCTAGGCCGCGTTATAATCCCAGAGATGATCAAGACGGACGACTAGACCGACGTTATCCTAGTAGTCAGTACTTCCATCTGGCGACTAACAAATACCAGTACCAGATCCCTGACTGGGCTCGTCAGACTGAAAGGGATCCATACGGGAATCCTAGGCCGCGTTATAATCCCAGAGATGATCAAGATGGACGACTAGACCGACGTTATCCTAGTACTCAGTACCAGCGTCGGACAGTAGATGGTGGCACCGCCAAAATTAATGGTACCACCGTTACACCGGACCAGATCTACAGCTGGCCTGGCAGTGGCGTCGGTCTCCGCATTGGAACGGGCGGGTCAGATCAGTCCGGCCTCCTGGTAAAGTTGCTTGATGGATACCTTCAATAGTAACTACTCTCACAATCATCCATATATATATATGATCTAACAGTGTGTTGATAGTTGTGTCGAGATCAAGAAAGAGACCCCATTCGTTGTTGAGTTCTACGCATCGGATTCAGGTGTCACTATAGACTATCTGTGCGAGAATATTATCGATATTGGCATTACGGATAGTGTTTTGCTTGACACACTCGCCACCAATCAAGGTATCATTGACCGGAGAGAGACTGGCTGGCGCGACCACTGGATGCTGGTTGGCCCGCAAAACAATCCAGCGAAACTCCCAGAGAACAGCGATACAAGCGTGTATGCACTGTTCTCAGCTCTTTACACCAGCCTCCAAGCCGACCCCGGCTCCTCCACAGTGTTCCTATCTCGCTCCGATGGGTCCGCGTCCAATGTTAAGGAATCATCCATCTGGTCCGCAATTGGTCGGACACCATCAGCCTCGGCTGGAGCATCCTGGTATGCGTCCTCCGAGAGCTCCGCCTTGGAGACCTTGGCTGAAGCTGCAATAATCGGCGCATACACCTTAACTGATAGCGGTATGTGAACCTAAATCTGTGCTATGATCTCAAAAACACGAAACATGGTCCACACTAGCAACGAGTGGTTACAATGACAATCAGATTACAATACATTGTCTTATACCCAGCTTGAACACTCTGCTGACTTTGAACACAGGTATATGGAATGCTGCAAGTGAGGAGAGCCGCAAGGAATTGACTATCTTTGTAAGCATGTTCCAGTTGATTCGTGAACATCTGCTCACTTATTTAGGCTGTTGGTAAGGATGACGACCAAGATCCGCTGCTGAAGCGTGCGGAGCTCGTCATCGGCAGCAAAGCCAACAATAAGCAGCGAGCTAATGACTTTGTGGACTGGATCATTCGCGCAGACGGTGGACAGAAAGAGATTGGGGACTTTTCCCCGAACGGAACTGTTGTGTTTTCACCTGCACCGCTTCCAGGATCCGTGACGGCCCGTCCCAATGGAATGACCAATGGACCCAACCTAAAACCTGACAACCTCGATAAAACGATCGATGACTCCAAGAAAAAGCCTGTTGAGGCCAATCCTGTTGTACTTGACAAAACGACGGACGGCGTTGACAAGAAGACCAACCTATCCCCCGAGCAAAAGCCTCCGCTAAAATCAAATCCTCTTCCGCGCGCCATATTGCATCTCCCGTGGTCGGTTAATGAAGTGTACTTCTTTGATGGTCCAAAATATCTCCGTCTTGACGCCGTGGATAAAACCAAAACTGGTACTCCAATTGAAGTCAAAGGCATGTGGCCCGCGCTAGCGGGTTTGCCTAATGGGGTCGATGCAGTCCTGACAGTAGATAAGGATGAGAAGGTAGCGTGGGTTTTCAGTGGGGATTCATGTATAGTTATGGACGTGGAGACTGGAAAACCCTTCCTGGGAGGCAAGTTAAACCCTTGGACGATGGTGTTTAAAGGTCTGAAGGAGAAGAGCGGCTTCGAGTCCATTGATTGCGTTGTGCCGCACTATTGGAAGGGAGGCGATCCAAACTGTTCTACATTCTTTTCCGGATCGAAGGAAATTGTCCACAGTATCTACGGTAAAAACAACGGCAAGCCAGAACCAGAAGTCTCGACTAATTCGCCGCTATTGGCTCTATTGGGATTCACAAAGATAGACGCATTTACCTTTGTGCCGGGAACGGATTTCGAAGAGGGATACTTCTTCTCTGGTGGCAAGTATGCGCACGTGAAGCTCCAACCGAGCACGGTTTTGAGTTTTGGAGACACGCATAAAAACTGGCTGGGGTTGGCAAAGGCTGGTTTCTTTAACTAGGAAATACTCCCTGACGCTCATAGCAAGTCGAGCCAATTCTTTCTGAATCTGTGGAGAGAAGCTATGTTATTGCAAATCATTTTTTGTTCTCATTTAGTAACGTGTAGGCAGACCATATAATATTATATTTTGACATGGATGCTAAAGTTTAGTAGACTAGTTATATATTCCTATATTTCTCCTCTTTCTAGGAAATATCCGATTGTGCACCCAGCCTACAGTCTGAGTCACTAATCCCTAGCGATGTAGGCAAGAGTCCTCCCTATTAATGGATCAATGACTGTAATCACATCTAATAGGATCATTGACAGGGATTGCGCGGGTTATTATGGGTAAGCATCCCTTGTTTCCGCCAGGCGTTGGATTGCTAGTATCAACCCAGAGGCTCCATGCCCGATCGATTGAATGGGGACAAGCAATCAGGGTCCTCCCATTAAAGCTCAGGTCGCCGGTACTGTCAATCTGCCAATTTTCGAGCTCGAAATGCGGAGGAACGTAGGGACTGTTCGTGAGGTAGCCCATCTTGCCTTGGCCTAACAAACAAGCATGTTAGTAAACCCAAGCTCATTCAGCTAACGATCGATATATAGCTGTGTAGGGAGGGTACCAGGTCTACATACCCATGCCAGAGCGGTCGACAAAGATCTCCTGGGTCTCACCGTCCTTAGAGTACAAGAACAGGCTGCCGTGCTTTATGTGGAAAGTTGCGCGGTTGGGGTGTTCGCCTTCGCAGCTGGCGTTCTGGTGTGGCAGATGTAGGAAGAGGTTGCTCTGTGCAGCGCTGAAGGGGGCGAGGTGGATTGGGCTGTCAGGTCGCAGCGCCATGAGCTCGAAGGCGGTGGCGAGGGCAGAGCTTGCGCCGGCGAGAGAGGCGACGGCGGCGGACAACTTCATGATGCTAGGTTGTATCGTTTTGCAAGTAGATGCGCATATACAGTCAATTCCTATTCGTTGATAATGAGCAAGAACACGTCTTCGACGACGACGTCCCCTTAGAGTCTTCTTATACAAGCGTGTAGGGCGTGTTGTCAGAATATCGGGCAAAGTCAGGGCAGCTCACCCTGATGTCTGACCATCATCTCGTATAGCTGCGCCGTGTTACCCAGAGGAGGACAGCATAGCCAGCCACAATTAGCGATCTACATGTCAAATCAAGTTGCTCCGAGATTCATCCCTAAAATAGAGATCAGTGTCTCGGGAGATTGACCACCTGCATGTATATATACATGCAGGCCTAATTAAGGAGGGCGATAGGAGTACCATAGCTTTCTATGTTACCATTCTATTAAACTGTTTGACTCTTCTCTAATTAATTAACTTGCATTATTGCGTTACTAGAGGTAAAGATCACAATGCTTGAAGGTGAAGATCACAATGTTTAGAGGCAAAGATGATAATGTTAGGTTGTTTAGTTTTATTAGTTAGGCTCTAGGGGACACGCAGGCTTTGCTGAGAAACCGAGACATGGCTGCGCTATGTCTTTCGCCTGTTGGCATCTCTTAGATATGTCTAATGTACGACCATTTAGGCTTGCGATCTGGCCCTCGGTCTACTCGACACCAGGGTCTACCCTCTTCTCCCCTTTTCCTCCCCGTTTCCGGGAGGAAATCCCCCCTCCCCGTTTTCTCATCCCCTACCATCCCCCCATCTCGTGCAGATTCGCACCCCTCTCCGCACCAGTAATCCGAATATACATCTCATATCTCGGCGGCGGGACTTCCCGCCTGGCTCGCCGTCGCAGTCCCATACTGTGACATCTGCTGCGGTAGTGGGGCAATCTGGGTAAACCCCCCTGGCGCGGGGGTACCACTTGATAACTCATGTTGTGGCATCTGCGCCACCGGCGGCGCCACCGGCGGCGCGGCCATGTGAGGTGGTCTCCCATTAAACACCTCTCCCGCATTCGGCGCCGGCGTGTTGGACATCTCATGATGTCTCTGTGGCGTCGAATTCCCCAGCCACTGAGGCTGCGTCGGTGCCTCCGTTCCTGGCAAGGGCGCCAAAGTCCCCTGGCGGAATGGTAGAATCTGAGGCTGCGCGATGGAGGATTGGGGGGACGGTGTTTGGTGTGTTTGCGTCTGTGCTTGGGAGTAGTTGGTAAGGTGGGGGGGGGTCGTCTGTCTGTGTCTGGGTCTGTTGCTGTTGGTTTGGGTTGAATGCGCCGGGGGGTTGGTTGGGATTGAAGGGTTGCTGGTTTGGGTTGATGAATGTGCCCTGCTGCTGGCCTGAGTCGAAAGTGGCAAGAGCGATTGGCACGTTGCGTTCAGCTTTACGCCGTCGGTGCGTCTCAACGCAAGCTATGACGAAGAGGGAGATCTGGATGAGTCTGATGATGAAGGGGTTAGCTTGTACTGACTAGTAGGCACATGTCCATCCAGGGGTTATCATACGTTACGATTATACTCACAGCCACACCACCGATTATAAGTCTCTGGGAAGAGTAGTCCACGGGGTCATGCCAGTTCCTCGAGGAGTAAATATTCGGATTCGAGATCTCCGGCCCCGTCATACCCACGCAAACCAAGTTGCCGAGCGATAGTAATAAGTCGAGGGCGACGCAGGCGCCGGGATGGATGCCTTCGTATGCGCGTCGACGGACGATCAGGGTGATTCCCTCGGCGACGTTCCATAGTATTATGAAAGCTGGCTGTATTAGGTAGGATTGTTAGTGAATCATTGGGTGTAAGACGTGGTATGGTGAACTCACCGGCATCATCAATGCAATCTCGACATTATGAGTGCTAGCCCCGGTGCCAATGATTGCGCAACTGAGGACGCTCGAGATGCATCGGAGAGTCAATTTTGTAACCCAAAGTCTCTCGGGTTCATTCTTCACACCCTTCTGTTTGAGAAAATCCATCGCTACCGACATATCGTCTCTCATATGAGAACGCCTTTCTCACTCCCTTGGAAATTTAGAAATCGTTCGCATAAACCCTCCTTTCGTCGCGCAAAGATTCCCCAGCACCGATGGATTGCAAGACTGAAGGAGCGCAATTGTTGCGCGAAGTGTCTGAGGAAAATATCAGGACCATTTTTGGGCGGAAGGGGAGCTCGTAGGATGCGAGGCGAGGTGTTCACGGACACAGGGGTGAGGCTGTCATAAATTGCATCGACGTTGGAGATGCCACACCCAAAAACGGGTGATAATACCCGGTATCCCTTAAGATTCCACAGTACAGACGGTGCCAGGGAGTATCACGAGTAAATACAGTATATAGAACATATAAAATCGATTTAATTATTTACCTATCTTACTGGGCTACGTGGCTATATACCTGATTCCTGGGGGGTAGCCAAAACCCTGAGTTTTGGCCGGTCTCCCATCAGCTGGGCAGCTGAATCGGTGGGCCAATGAGATAGGCTTGGGTAAAGTCCAAATACAGGGCTATTTCTTGGCAAATTCCGGATCATCTCCAGAATCTCCAACAAGTTGTATGTGTCGGTATGTCGGCACAGCGTTGGTTGACAGGTGCTATTTATAACATCCCGACTATGGGGAGGAGATTACATTTTGATGTATGGGGATATAACAGCAGCACAATCTCTAGTTATCTAATACATCTCAACCGTCAAAACACATAGATTAAGTGCCTCGATTCCCCGACGGAAAATCATCACCCGGATCCTCAAACCATTCATCCCCCAACAGCTCCCTCGCCGTCGGTCTATCCCTCGGATCCAACCTCATCATCTTCCCCAAAAACGTCCTATCCTCCTTCGAAATCTCCGACTCCCCAGCCAGGTAAAACGGCTTCCTCATATCCTTCCCCGAAGTCGCCCCACCAACGGTATTCATAACATGCGCGAGAACATACTGCGTGTCGAGGTCGGCGAGGTCTTTGTATGAGAGAGGATAGGGGCCAAAGTACTGGCAGTGTTTCATCAGGATCTCTAACTCGTATTCCTCGTGGTCGACGGGGACGGGGGGTTTGAAGATGTGGAAGTTTAGACCCCAGATGAGACTTGTGAGCTGTACAGAGTTAGATGGGTGATAATTGGCAATTGCCCTAGACACTCACCGTCGTCCCCAACGACCAAATATCCGTCGAGCACCCCCAAGGGAGTCTCAAAGCCGCCTCCGGACTCCTAAAAATTGGCGCCCCAATGGGAAACCCATCTCTAGCATACTCCGAGTCATTCGAGACCGTATTCCCCAAATCCGCCAATCTCGCTGTAGAAATCCTCGTCCTCTTAGGATCGAATTCAACCAACGGATTATAATTCACCAAAATATTATCCGGCTTAATATCTGCGCTTTCTTTCATCAGCATCCAACGCCAAGTCTTCAACATCATCCGATTCCCACTTACCAGTATGCACAAACCCCTCCCCATGCAACACCTCCAACGCCTCCAACACCGTCCGAGCCACATACTTCACCTCCCCCCTCGTGAACCTCCTCCCCCCCGAAGCATGTAACGCATCATCCTCAAACCACTTCAGCACAATCGCCTGCGCCTCCCCTCCCTCCCTTTCAATCTCATCAACCAACGGCCGTAAGCCCGGCGCGCTGTCCTGGAAGCGGCGGAGGACGTCACGCTCGTTTTGTAGACGCCAGTGGTTCACGCTTTTGATGATGGATTTTTCGCCGTGGAAGTTTCTGGGGGGGGGGTGTTAGTGGGGGGTTCCTAGGTGGGGAAGGCGGGGAGGGAGGGAGGGTACGTTGCGAGATAAACGGAGTCTTGGAGTTGTTTGGTGATGGTGTAGTTGCTTAGAGTGCCTTTCAGGAATTTGCCTAGGCGGAGGGTGGAGGTCATTGGAGAGGTGGGGGTGTGGGTAAGGTGTTGGATGGGATGGGACAGTTGATGGTGGGGTTGGGGAATACGAGGTTGGGCGCAAGGCGCGCAGGGGTCCATCGTGGGGGCTGGGACACTTTACGCGGATGTTGGTTCGTGACTGTGCTTTATGAAGCCACTTTTGGTTCCTTCATGGCCAGAGATAGCATATTCCATCAAAATTCTATTATCAGGGGACAGTTTCTGTTGCCATTCTAAGAGATGAAAGATGTAAGTATACCATATTCCCGTGCTCACAATAGCATCTGTCATATCAAGCCAAGCCTTAATAACATCCAGTGAGCGCAAATAGTTGAGAAATCTTTTGGTATCATGGAACGCATAGTCTATCTTATGTATACATTACTCATCTAGGAGGCGGATATCCATCCATCCATCCATCCACAGCATCCAGCCAAATGCCATAAAAAGCCCCGCCGACCATCCCAAACAGAAAAACGCCTTTAAATCCCCCATCCAAACTCCAATTCCATAACCCCCACCCCCCACCCCCCACCCCAATTCCTTCTCCTCCCAATCCTAAAATCCCAATCATCTCATATACATCCCTCAGCCCCCCTCCTCAAACAACCGCCCCCCCCTTCCTCCTCCTCGCCCTCCCACTCCCAAGATCAATACTCTTCATCTCCTCCAACAGCGCCCACGCATTCTCCTGTGGCTCCCCCCTCCCCCCCGCACTCATCGGCGGCGCACCCACACCACCTATCGGCACCTTCCCCGGCACCGGCGGCGGCCCCCCACCATCACGTCCCTGTCCCCTATACCCCGGCGAACCCGTACTATACCCATTCATCCCCCCTCCATACCCTCCATCTCCCCCTCCCCAATCCCCAGTCTGCGCCCTCGGCAGACTCCGTCCCCCGCCGTCCCGCGACCCAGGCGTCGACTGATAAAGATTCGGATTCGGACTAATCGGCGCCAGCGGACTCGACCCCCCCACCGGCGCAGCAGATACCCTATGCGCCTTCTTCTGCAACCTCGTGCGTCCCTGCGACGCCGGCGGGGGCGTCTGCTCTGCATACGAACTCATCGGTCTCTCGCGCCTCTCCATCCTCCTCGCCCCCCCCGCAGCAGCAGGAGGGGGCGCGGTGCGCTGACGCCCCGCAGCATCGAGTTTCTTCTGCAGATTCGGCGGCAGAGCCGCCCACGACGCCTCAGGGAGGTGGTCAGAGGGATCGACTTCCCTGCCGTCGTAGAGGATGATTTTAGCGTCTGGGTCGGGCTCGGTGGATGTCGCGGCTGGTGAGTTCGGGTTTAGGGACGAGTAGTCGTCCGGGCCGAAGGGGACGGAGGAGGAGAGCGGGCGCGGAGAGGGGGAGGGGGGGGCGGGGGACACGGATTTGCGGTGGATGGTGTGGGTGTGGCTTGGGGAGGGGTTGGGGGAAGGGGGGTGTGGGGAGACGGGTTGGGGTTTTATGACGTTGGTGTAGGTTTGGGGGATGCCGCGGGATTGGCGGTCGGAGGGGGCGGCTTGGGGGGGGTAGCCGGGGGGTTGGGTGTAGTGGTCATCGCGGTATTGAGGTTGCGGGGGTTGGTATGATTGCGGCGACTCGGAGTAGTGCGTTGGCGCGGCGGAGAACTGAGTGTAGCTGTCGCCTCTAGGCCGGGTGTCGGAGTGGATCCTGTCGGAGATCCCGCGCTGGATTAGGGGGTCAAAGCCGGCTACCAGCGATGGAGGGAGCGATGGCATTGGGCTAGTTTGTGGTGCCTCAATCGGATCTTGTGTGTATGACCGTGCTGGCGGTGGCTGGTCATAATAGGGATCCGCATGTCGGTTGTCAATGGCTTCGTGTGATGCATTGTTGTTGTTGTATTGTCGGTTGTCAATGACTTCGTGTGATGCATTGTTGTTGTATTGCCGGTTGTCAATGACTTCGTGCGACGCATTGCTGTTGTATGAATTGGCATTCATCTTATAGTTTCCAGATGTTGTACTTCCCCCACCATTCAAGTTCAAAGGCGCCGGGGATGGAACATCATCATATCGTCTATCTCCATATTGCGACATCTGCGGCTCACTAGCTCGGTGCGAAGCTGTAGCGTACGGTGTGGGCGATGGTGGCGCATCCTCAACTGTTGGTTGCATAGAGCTGAACGTGCTGTTGTGGTATCTATCATCATATGAGTTATGCCTTGAGATAGCTCCTTGATAGTGGTCCTGTTGGCCATACGACGACGGTGGTGGTGCCGGCACCGGAGCATGTTGCTGGCGCGGAGGAGTGTACGGCTGTGGCTGTTGTGGAGCATTCTGAGAATATGCTGGGATGGATTGCCTCTGGCTATCCTGCCTCAAGTGATCAAACTGTGCCTCTCTCGTTGGGTTTGGTGGAGGGAACCCATAGCCAGGGCTAGATGCAGGCGCGGCAGCGGTTTGGTGGACCCTGTGTACCGGAGGTGGCGGCGGTGGTCCTTCAGGACTGGATGGAGGGTCGTAATCCGAAACAGGAGGCTCGTAGGTCATTTGTTGGGGTGCGTACTCCTGCCGAAGATCGTTTCGGCTGCGGGTGTAAGAATCCTCGTGTCTACTGGAGACATTGCTTCCGTTGTAGTTCTCTGGCTGGCCATAGTCGTCATGTCTATCGTTGTACATGTCCCGTGGGTGGTGCCTGTCGGGCGTCATGCCTGGTGCTTGGTTGTAGCTATTGATAGCAGGTGAGACATGCTTGCTGTGAGATTGCGGGATAACATGTGGTGGCGGGGTATTATAGTCTGTTTGGAGCGGTGGTTGGTCCATTGCAGTAGGTCCATATCGCCCTTGGATAACTTGAGAGTGCGTCCTGACATGCGTCGGAGTGTTATACTCCAGATTTTGTAAAGGAGATTGCGTCTGGATATAGGCCGGCGGCGTATTATATGCTGATCCCCGCGGTTGCTGAACTTGTACGTGCTCAGGGGTAGCATACTGTCTTTGCTGCACAGGCTGGACATGCTCGGGCGTGTTGTATGCGATCGGCTGCGGTGATTGAGTGTACTCCGGTACTGGCGCAGTATGCATTTTAGGCTGCTGAGGCGGGTGATCCGGAGTTCCATTTGTATATCCCCTCGTGGGCTGTGGCAATATCCGCTCCGGCGTCTCAATCGGACTTGGTGTTGCGCCCGTAGGATCGCTCGGCAGTGGTCTCCTCTTCATCACTTTCTCCTTTGGGCCTCTGGGTCCGCTCAGGGACTCTCTGGGTCCTCCCTCCACTGTGCTCGGTGCGCCTTCTCTAACTCTCTCTCTCGGCTTCTCCTGCTTGGGCCTCGTGTCGTAGTATGTAATTTCGATTCTGATCTCTCCCGCGTATTTCCCACGGCAATTCAGGGTATGCCACAAGTCGTTCTGGCCACCACCCGCCACAAGCACGTCTTGGAGGTTTACCCAAGCCTCCCCAATAAGATCCGTCTTCTTATCATCATTGAAAACAGACACCTTGAGCTGATAATAGTCGGGAGAATCGTGTACTGTGAAACGGAGTTCCTGGTCCCTGCGATGCATGTGTTAGACACACAATACTACCCAACGTCGCACAGCGAACAGAAGGAAATTAGGAAATCGCGAGCGAGCTTACCACTTCGGCGTCTGGCCTCCGCGACGGTCTGTGTTCGTCTTCTTCGCCTCCTTCCCCAGTCGCGCCGCACAGTACGGGTCCTGCTTCCCAATGGACTTCCGGTTGGGCAGGTTCTTCGCGCGGTCCACGATAATGACCAGCGTCCCGATCTCCGGACCGTCCACGGTCATATCGGCGAATATGCCCGCCGAATGGACTTTCGTCTTTTCCGCCATGATTGCGATTTGTGTTGTTGTGTTTTGGGGGAGGGGTCGAGGGGAGGGGCGGTTGTGGCCGTTGGGCGGCGGGTTTTGTGTGTTGTTGTTGACGTCGAGTCGAGTAACGGTACAAAAGTACCTGGAAGTTATAAGAGGTGCAGAATTCAGCTGACCATATTATAGAGAGCAAAGGAATTGGCTCTAGGTTGGGAATGAGATATTAGATGGCAATTGCATTAGAGGCGACGGGCGATTGTCGTTAGTTGTTTGTTATATGGAAACTACTCAAGTAATAGATAGCTGCTGCGGTTTGTCGTTGCTGCGGCGGGAGTACTCGCGTCCAGTGGTTGACGAGGCTGGGAGTTTGCTAGAGTGGCTGGGCTGGAAGCGAACATTTACAAATTGACAGGCTACCAAGTTTCAGTATCCCTACAGCCGTGGATGTATATGAATTAATTATAAATTTTCTATTTTAATCAATTTGTCATTTATCATTATTCTATTTCTACACTTTCACTCCTCCATTTCTGGCATTCCTTTCCTGTGCTGTTGGTTACCCAAGAATTACGAACGATTTCATGATGACGACGTTGCCCAGCCGACGGCGATCATTGGCGTAGGTTGGCATCGCCAATGCTACGATTAACAGGGGTCTGGGCCATCTGGGCAACCAAATCCGTCGTTTTACACGCGCCAAACCCCAGGATACAGGATAAATAAATGCATTAGAGTTATGCATGTCATTCCACAAATTAGAGTAGATCGATCTTGTCAACGACACTCACGACGCATGACATAAACTGTAGACTGAGATGCTGTTTTCAGGTCGCATTACAGCCGCCGTTGACTGTCGACGGGGTATGCGATAAGTCCTTGATGTAACCTCAGGTACGTAGGGAAGGAACAAGGGGTAGGTCCCCTTATCACCCTGAAAAGTGGCGTGTTCTCACGATATATGTAAACAAAGTCAGTACGGCCAGAAAAGTCAAAAGTCAAGTCTTAAGTCTTAATAATGAATTTAATAATATTCAGTACAGCCCATCACGCAGCCTTTTAATATATGCTACATGCTCATCTATCCTGCAGTACACGGCCGGTAGCCGCCTAAAAAAGAAATACTCCCGTCATCCTCCTCCACCCTACGTAACAATCACTCATTTGAACTGGTCCTCCGTAACACCAGCACCCATAGCACTCGTACTCGACACACCACCCTGCACCATCTTCAGCAACTCATCCGCATAGTTCGCACCCGACCACTTCTGATGCTTAACCACATCCACACCACCATCCATCTCCGGCTCCTGGACCAACTCGCCGTACGCACGCATGCCCTGCTGGCTGTACGCGCTGCTGAACTTATCCGAGATAAGAGCAGTGGTGTGCAGACCAGCCAGGGTGATGAACTGCCAGCAGTAACCGAGGCTAGCAAGACGCTTGATGTACGTCTCCTGCTCAGCGCGCGGCATCGCAGTCTTCCAGTTGAACGACGGCGACAAGTTGTACGCGAGCTTCTGCTGGGGGTACACGGCGTGGACGCCCTTAGCGAAGGCCTCAGCCTGCTTGTAGTCTGGCAGCTTCGACTCCATCCAGATGGCGTCGGCGTATGGGGCGTAGGCGAGAGCGCGGTTGATGCCGCACTCGATGCCGCCCTGCATGCGGTAGTAACCCTCGCGGGTTCTTGGGTTGTCCCAGTCCCAGAAGACGTCCTTGCCGACGATGGCGCGGGCGATGGCGCGGGCCTCGGTGTTGCTCTTGCCCTTGGACTCCTGGGTGAACTTGGCGATGAGGGACTTGGCGTTTGCGCGCTGGGTGGCGGTGATGGCGGCGGCGACGGCCTCGGCGAAGGTCTTGAGACCGGCCTTGGCGTTCCAGTCATCCTCGATGGCTTGGAGCTCGCCGCCGGTCTTGCCGGCCTCTAGGGCCTTGATGAGGAGCTCGTTGACGGGCTGGAGGTTGGGGTTGGTCGTGCCGAGGATGAAGGCGTGGTCGCGGGGGTCGATGGTGGTGGTGATCAGGGTGGCGGCCTCGGCGTCAGTGCGGGCAATGGCGAGGAGATCAGTGCCCATGATATCGGCCTGGGCTCTGATGGCAACGAGACGGTTGATGTGCTCGCTGATTGGGACCAGGACCTTACCGGCCATGTGGCCGCACTTCTTGGTACCAGGGGCCTGGTCCTCAATGTGGATACCAGCAGCACCCTTCTCAATGAAGAGCTTGGTGAGCTTCATGACGGCGGTCAAACCACCGTGTCCGGTATCGGCATCAGCAACGATTGGGCGGAGGTAATCGATGTTGGCCACGCCAGCGCGGTTAGCCTTGGGGGTTGTAGAGCGCTCCTCGCGCTGCTTGCGGTCGTGGAAAAGTTGTGCCATGAAGAGCTGGTTCACTTTGTTGGGGACGGTGGTCTAGGTTTGTTAGCCATGATCCTGCTGCTGCTGTTATCATATAGGGCAACTCACGTATGGGTAATCAGCCAAATCTGGGCCGGGCTCGTCGCTCGCCGAGGCGGTCGAAGATGATTGCCATCCAGAGACGTAGACGGTATCAAGGTACTTCGCCATCTGGGTCAACATCGTTGGCTCGAGGCAGCCGTATGTGTAACTCGCATCTCCCTCCTAAGAATCACATGTCAGCGCTACATTCTCACCACCACCACACTGCCACAAAAAAAATACAACATACCTTGAATCTTTGCTCCAGGATGTTCCAGAGCTTCTTCGACTGGTTGTTGCTGGGGTAGTTGATTTGGATTGTGCCCCTCTTCGAAACGATCTGCTCGGCAGTGAACGGCCTCTTGGTCTGCCTCCATCTCGAATCCGACCACCACTGCTTAACAGCGGCAACCTCAGCAGCAAAAGCCGCGTCCTCCTTCGCCAGATCCGCAGGCGGCGCCGCCATCTTGTTCGAAGCCATAATTGAGGTTTTTGGGGTCGCGTGAGTCACGGGTATAGGTGGTATATATGATGTCAGAGGTATGAGATGCGGCTATTGTATTCCAGGGCGAGATGAGGAATACGAGTGAATATAAATTTCTACAAGCAAACGGTAGAAACAACAAAGGGTTCGATCTGGGCAATCGAGTAAATATATAATACAGTAGAAAGTCCCTGCGAGGGGGCAGGGCCTCGTGGTATATATGACTCCTTGAGCCGTGAAAATGCCCCACGACCGGCACGAGGCGAAAACAGTTCCAGAACTGGCTCGGGAAGGGTCGGCCAAAGTACCTCGTTCTTGCGCTCTCCCGACACTTCAGAGGGCGAAACCTCACATATTTCCTGCTGAGCTCAGCAAGGTTCACGCCGATACACCAATGGCATTCGTTGAATTCCCCAGAATTTGGGGTTTCGTGGCGTTACCACCAAGGTCGGCGGTCGAAACTTACCTCGGACATTCTAAAGTCTCTACCGAAAACAGTCTAGTTCTCTTATCGATTATTTCCGGGCCAAGGGACATGGTTTTGGAGAAGTGCGCGGCCTCTGATTGGCTAGGTTGTTGACCATGACGTTCTCAGCGACCCCAAAATTCCTTGCATGTGAAGGAAAACCGCTTACCTAAGCAACGAGGCTGACGTGCCCAAGCCTCCCCCACCACCAAATTTCGACATTTCGACAGCGCTATCTCCAATTGAAACAAACCTCGGCACAGGAGGCTGAGCATCGAGTCGAGAGCGTGGCCAGACGCGAAAGCAGGTGAGGAGTCCACATGAAATCGGTACCTGAACATGGGCCCGTGAGTATCTTGGGCTTCTTGGGTGTGTATGGCACACGCCGACTGTCGCTCCGTTTCTACCCGGGTGACTGCGTGGTGAGCGTGGTGAGTGCGTAGCTCGGAAGTACCCCGAGGGATTTGGAGATGGGGGGTTGTTGTGCATCATGATGATGGCTTCGAGAAGCGTACAGGAGTCAGAGTAGCCAGTGATCGTTGGAGCAGAGTTGGGGTAGGAGTTGGGGGTTTGGAGACAGACGTTTGCATGGGTCCCTATGGGGTCACGGTATTGGGGTTTATACAGTAGCTCCCACTGGTGGCGTTCTATAATATACTCTCCATATAGAGTAGTCAGTTTGCCTCGGGAATTGTTTGCGAACTGGGGCTTGTCAAGCTGGTACAGGCGGGGTTGATAGTTTTACGTTGTGTTGTGGAATTTTGAATATAATAATTATTTTTTAATATCTCTCTTCTAGTAATTTATTGTGGAGTTGAAACCTTCAAATTGAGTAGATATAACAATGCCTTAGAAGAGGCATATTTATTTATTTATAGTATTTTATATTCAAGTTTAACTGTATATTTTCATACGTACTTAGAGTATGTGTATATACAATAAATAGTTGGTGATATAATATAATATCACTAAAATAAAATACGTGTATGACATACAATTTCACCACCCCCGATTTCTCTGTTGACTCATTTTCCCAGCGGTTGCTCTGAGAAATATCTTCCATGCGGCATTTTATTATTTTATGATACTATAGCTTTCAATGACCGACGGCGTAGAAGCCACAAATGAGAATTGTTCATTATCTATCAACCCCTCTCCGGCGCATCCGCATCAAGCAGAAGCATCTAGCAACGCAGTTGTCCATCTAACCCCTCATCCTATTATCATATACAACCCCTCCCCCTCCACCTCCTCACAATTTACTCTGCACACACAACCCAATCCCAACCAAACTCAACGTCATCCCAATCCACGTATCCCTACTAATCACCTTCCCCTCCACATACCAATCCCCAATAACCGTAAACAAAAACGCCAGCGAATTCGTAATCGGCACCGTAAGACTCAATTCTGTCATGCATCCATTAGCCCTCATCCCTAATCCCTCACCCGGAACCCCTCCGAACTCACCAGCCTGCCCAATCAACAAAAAGAACCACACGCTCCCCGTCAAATTCACCACCAACGGCACCGCATACCGCCAATTCCTCAACAAATCCGTAATCCCAAAAAACGCGCCATACACCGCGCTCCGGATCCGACTCCCCTTCACCGCCGCCGTCTCGAGAATCGGGTGCGCGGGAGGCTTATGCGAGCGCGCGGCCGCGCGGATGAAGGGCGTTGTGAAGCCCCAGGCCAGTCCGATTAGGAGGAAGCCTAGGATGTAGTTCCCGATGGGCGGTGCGGGGGCGGGGAGGGAGGGGGTGGTGTCAGCCATTTTGTGGTGTTTGGGGTGGTGGTGGTGTTGAGGGGTTGGGGTGGTTGTCGTGGTGGGTGGTGGTGGTTTGTGGTTCGGGGAGGCTCCGAGACATAGAGCTGGGCTGGAGCTGCTGTTGGTGGTCGTTATCGTTATCGCAGCGGCTGGGTCAGCTTTCCCCACATTTGGGGTGTTGGGAGCTTGGATGCTATGGACGTTGTATGGCGTGAGCTCGTGAGGAGTATGGGATGTGTCATAGGGCAAAGAGGGGTATATGCGAATTTACAATTTACACCATTATTTCATCAATCGCCTTTTAATCATCAAGTTTGGATGTATTTGTATGTATATGCGATTCAATGTTCTCGAAATGAGGAGTCGTGACACCTATTTAATTCGCCATAAGGGCCACTAAGTCAAATCCGGCACTTTGGCGGAGTGGTTAACGCGATGCCCTGCTATTTCCACAGGAAGTATTTAGGCATTTCCTTCGGGAGCGAGTGTTCGAATCACTCAGGTGTCGTTTTTTTTGCATTTTTGCCAGCTGGATCGTATGACCGTGTGGAGTTAGCTACTATAATTATTACTCTATCGAGCACCACTAATTTGAAACTAAGCGAAATATGCTGGCTTCCTATTCCTTTTTTGGACGGGAGAAATATGGGGGTCTGGATTTGATATTTGTAACTCTACGAACACTGCTAATGGGACTAAATACTGGATGAAACAGCTATCAATACGAAGTACATACTTATTTCTGTAGTATAGAACCCTTACAATTACGACAAACTCAGCTCCAAACAAACCTGACATGTGAATCCCACAGCATGTGAGAGGCAGCGTGACCATCCCACCTCCCACCCATCCCCCTTTCCGCCCCGCCCCGCCATTAAGTGGGCAGTCACCAACTCACCCGCTGCCCCGCGTTTCTCCATGAGACCGCAAGAAAATGCCTCGGGATCTCTAGCCACCCGACGGTGCGTCACCTACATCACCCTCACGCAGTGCAGGCATTGGTTCGTTGGACCACGGCGTTCGGCAATGGGGTTGATCTACCGGCAGCTTCCAGAGTCTATATACAATGGATATCTTCATGCGTTTTAAAATGCACCCTCTACCCTACGACCGGCTTCGCCTTCGAATTTCTTGGCGGCCTATCTGAGACTCTATCCCGTCCTTATATCACTATTCTCCTCCTCCACCGCTCTATGTGCGAAATTGAACGACCGCAGCGACGTTGCTCAAGAGTGCTTTGTTAGGCCTTTCCGTATGAGCCATTGAGTGCATTGTCAATGGGGAGCTGGACATATACATTTCCAACAACGATGATGTGAAAAATCCCAGTCAACACGACTAGGCATCACCATTGGAAATGTGTGTTTTATAAGTCCAACTCCCGGACAAAGCGAGGTGACAGGACACCAGCGCCTCCAGCTGAGCTGCCATGCACTTTAAGAAACCCAACAGAAAGACCTGACAAGAACTCAAGGACATCGCCGCCTAGGCCGGCTTCGACATGTACACACAACACATTTACAGGGAGGCCTTAAGCGCCTTCTGCATCCTCCTCTCAACAGCCTCCATGTACTGCTTGGTGGTGACGTAGCTCTCACGGCTGGTCTGTCCGCACGCAAGCGCCAAATCCTTGGTCATGATGCCATCAACATCGACGGTGTCGATACAGGCCTTCTCGAGGGCCTCAGCGAAGCTGACAACCTCGGGGGTGTTGTCGAGGGTTCCACGCTGGATGAGACCACGGGTCCATGCGAAGATGGAGGCGATGGGGTTAGTGGAGGTCTCGTTACCCTTCTGGTGCTCGCGGTAATGGCGGGTGACGGTGCCGTGGGCGGCCTCGGACTCGAAGCTCTTTCCGTCGGGGGTGATGAGGACGGAGGTCATTAGGCCGAGAGAGCCGAAGCCCTGGGCCACGATGTCGGACTGAACATCTCCGTCGTAGTCTGAAAAAAAATTAGTAAGTGGGCTCTTTGTGCGGGAGTGGGTGGACAAACTCTTGAGGGCCATGATGTATCCTCCGCTGGACTTCATCATCTGGGCGACCATGTCGTCGATGAGTCTGTGCTCGTACCAGATCTTCTTGGCCTCGAACTCCTTGGCATAGGTGGTATCATAGATCTCCTGGAAGATGTCCTTGAAACGGCCATCATACTTCTTTAGGATGGTGTTCTTGGTGGACATGTACAGGGGAAGGCTCTTGGAGAGGGCAAGCTTGAAAGAAGCGTGTGCAAATCCGGCGATAGACTCATCGGTGTTGTACTGGGTCTGGGCGACACCACCACCGTTGAAGTTGTAGACCTCAATCTCCTCTGGCTTTCCTCCCTCGGGAGTGAAGACCATGGAGAGCTTACCCTTGCCCTTGATCACGGTATCCTTAGCACGGTATTGGTCACCGAAGGCATGGCGGCCGATGATGATGGGCTTCTTCCATCCCGGAACTAAACGTGGGATTCTTGGGATGACGATGGGCTCACGGAAAACGGTTCCTCCAAGAGCATTGCGGATGGTGCCGTTGGGCGACAGCCACACTATGGTAAGTTAGTAAATTATATGTCACATGTAGATTGTGATGCCTACTCTGCTTAAGCTTGAACTCCTCCACACGAGCCTCATCTGGGGTGATGGTGGCACACTTGACACCGACAGAGTACTTCTTGATAGCCTCGGCGGCATCGATGGTAACCTGGTCGTTGGTCTCGTCACGGTACTCGAGTCCCAGATCGTAGTACTTGAGGTCGATATCGAGGTATGGGTGGATGAACTTGTCCTTGATATCCTGCCAGATGATCCGGGTCATCTCATCACCATCCAACTCCACCACCGGGTTCTTGACCTTGATCTTCTGGAATCCCACCGTCATGGTTGAGTATTGTAGTTGAGTGAAGCGCGCGAATGCGGATTTCTTGTTGTATGCGAGGATAGACGCCCTGGAGGCTTGGGAAACGGGTCGAGTAGCGAGTGAGGAGAGGGACCGCGAGAGAACTGTTCGTGAGGGGCTCATGATGGCGGTAGGAGAGGGGAAGAATTTCCAGAGACGTTAATGCAGTGTTCGGAGTAACACTTACGCGCCGTCGGTGGTTGGCCGAGCGCAAAGTGGGATTGCCTCGGGAGTTCGGGTCCCGCGCTAGGTTACCCGCGGGGAAATGCGCGGTCGAGAGGGTGTGAGAGAGGGCTTAGGCAGGTATGAAACCCAAGGGGGAAGGCAGAGACGACAGTTGAGGTCTTGGACTGAAAGCGGAGTTAGTACTCCGTTGCGTGCTTTGTGGGGTAATGCGGAATTGCAGCGAGGCAGCGACGCAGCGAGAGAAGATGATGATGCCTTTCCGACTCTAAACCACGTACCAGGAAGTTATTTTGTATGTGAGCTCTCAGCCTCTTTTCGCTGTTTCTGTCGCCGATATCGTAACTAATAGTGGGGTAAGGCAGTTGAATCGATGGAGAAGATAATGATGGAGTGGAGAACAAGTGGAGGTTTTGTAGTGTCGTCGTCAATCGGCTGAGACCCTAGGCTCCTTCCTTCGGTCCGTTTCAATTGTATATATGGAAGGCTGGGGATCAGTTGGAGGTTGCAATCCCAATACAGCAGCTTGTTCAGCCTGTTATCCCGTTCATCCGGGTGGGCGCCAAGCTGGATTCTATGGTTTTTGAGTGTATAATATAATATGTAGATGTATAATTCGACGAATCCATCGATTTATGCTGTACACCATGGATATTGGTGTGCCAAGCACGTGCCTTTGGCTTCGGGCCGCATTTCGGACGGAGAAATTATTGTCCCAGTTGAGCCAAGTATGATCCAGTATAACAAGATCTTGTACGCTTGGCCAGTATAAAACATGGCTTGGTGCTCAATATTTGAAGCTGAACCAGTGTAACAAGATCTTGTAGGCTCGGCCAGTATAAAACATGCTTCGTGCTCAATAATTCAATATCATTTGTCTCATCTAGCTTCATTGTTTGCTGCCATGACATCACAATATAGCATCTTGATCTCCATACCGAAGAAAAACAGTATAAACATGCTTGGAGCTCAATATTCGAAGTTGAATCACTATAGTAATATCTTTACACTCTTGGTCACTATAAACATGCTTGGTTCCCAATTATCTCAATTCGAACTAGTATAATAAACATGCTTGGTGCTCAATATTCGAAGTTGAACCACCGTAGTAAGATTTTGTACGCTTGGCCATTGTTCTGTTCGGTGCTCAATATCCGATATCATTCATCTCAACTAACCCCATGGCCCCGCTACCACGGCACCAGACTATGGCACATCATGAACTCCTTTCTGAAGAAACCAGCAAATCCCAGAACCCCCCAAGCTATTAGACACACCCCTTCCCTTCCCTCGCGACGCCATAAACCCAAGTAGTAACAAATACACGGCATACCAGCCACTCACAACCCCGACAGTCCCTACTTCTCCACCGCCAACACCTCATCCGCCATATCCACATCCTCATCCCTCTCAGTCTTCTCCCTCCTACTCCCCGTGCTCGCCCTCCCCTCTCCCCTCTTCTTCTTCGCCGCCCTGCTCGCCCCTCCCTTCGGCCTATACCCCCCATCCTCATCCGTCGCCCCACGCTTCCTCTTCCCCCCCGACCCCGTCTTATCCTTCACATACTGATCGCTTATGCTCGCAAAATACTTCAGCCCATCCTCCTCCACGAACTCCACGACATCAGGTCTAGTCGGCGCCGCGATCGCTGCGCGCTTCCCGGCTCCCCTCAACGCACCGGGGCGCGAGACTGCCTTTTCGGCTAAGTCGGCGGGCTCGTCGTCTTGGAGGAAGATCTTGGGCTCGTGTTCGCGGAGCCAGTTGTACACTGAGACTGGGTTCTTGAATTCCAAATCCTTGTCGCTTAGATGTAAGGGCGCGGGCACGAAATTTGGGTTGCTGGTGTACAGCGTCGGTTCGGAGGGGAGGTCCAGGTTCGCGTCGGTGAGCGCGCAGTGCTCGTCGATGCGATCGGCGGATAGATATGCAACTGGCTCTGGCTTGTCGGATCCGATTTCGAGGTCCTTGGCGATGTCGGGTAGTACGCCCGGGACGTTGTAGACGGATGGTGGCACGGTGGTCACTTCGAAGGGGCGATGGGGGACGTTTGCCATCATTGAGGCGAGGGATTTTTGTGGTCGAGGAGCAGCGGATCGCTTGTCTGTCATGGAAGAATGCATGTACGCGTGAAGCTTGTTGTAAGATTCTTGGCCACGAGTCATGCCCTTTTGGTCTGGGGATGCAGCTGGAGTCGGCGGGAAGAGTAGTGGAAGTGGTGCCAGGGAGACGTTCGGTGCTGTGGCGCTCAGATCGATGCGTTGGCCGGAGGGGAGGTTCGGGGAGTTGTTCATGTCGAGGAGGAGCTCGAGGAGGCCACTGGATGGAGTCAGTATGATGCGTGTATATGGAATTGGGTGAGTATATAAGGTCGGACGTACTCATTTTCTAAAGCCAGGCGTCTTGAGGTCTCAGCAGCTTCTTGTTCTTGCTTGTAGAGCGACCTGCTCAGGTTCATCTTCAGGTCGAACTGATGGCGCATCTTGCGATACTTCTTCCTATGATGTCTTTCGTCAGCCAATTATCCCAAAGTGAGCACAAGAATGAACATGATCTTGAAAACAGGATCTATATGGGCAGTGAATCGCCCCGAGAACTGCTCCTGCCATTGCGACATCGAGAATGGTAGAGCGTACTTGTATGATTTGTATGTCTCCTTTGACGCATCATGCTCATTCGCATTGCCCTCATCCATCTTCTTAAGAGGCGGCAACTCGCTTTCCGCCATCGCTGATATATAGTTGAACCCAAAGGTTCCGATCCGCGTAGTTGAAAGTGTGTTGAAGAGTCGTCAGCTCGATCCGTTTGAGTGAATTGAAAGTGTTGGCGCGAGCTTGTCGCGCCTCAAAGTCCCGACCACCACGCTTTCCAAGTCGCTTTTGGGAAAGAATCCACACCTAAGGCAGGAGGTCGGCGAATAGTTGATGCGGATAAGGCTGAGCAAGGGCGGGATTTTTTGCGATTACGGCGGTCGGGAGGGACGTTAGCATGCAAAAAGTGAATTTATTTTGTTACTTTGTGAAAACCACCAAACTTGCTGCACACTCAAGCATTTTCTTGTATTTCACAAGACGTCAATCAACCAATATGTCGTCTACTAAGGAAGTCAAGATTAAGAAGGACAAGTCGGCCAAGAAAAGCAAGTCGGCCGACAAAACCGATGTTCCTGCCGCCGTCGAAACCAGCGAAGATGTTGTACTAGAAGATGCACCCGAAGAGGTGAAGCCAAAGAAGGAGAAGAAAGATAAGAAGGAAAAGAAGGAAAAGAAAGACAAATCCGAAAAGTCCAGCAAGAAGCGCAAGTCCACCACCACCACCGGCGAAGAAGAAGGACCAATCGCCGAGTCCACTCCCAAAAAGTCCAAACGCACCCGCTCAACTGAAGACGATGCTGCTCCAACCAAGAGCGCAAGCCCACAGCCAGAGGCAATGGAAGTCGACACCAACGGCAACGACGAAACCGAGCCTCCCGCAAAGAAGCGCAAGTCAGCAGTCGACGGCGAAGAACTCGAAGTCGACGTAACCAAGCCCCAACCCCCGTCCAAAAAAGACCTCCGTCGCCTCAAGAAGGGCAAATCCCTCTCCAAAGCCAAAACCGTCTCCGACGTCAAACCCGCCCCCGCACCCAAAGCCGACGGCGAAGAAGGCGCTGATGGATCTGGAGCCGAAGACGCCTCTGCCCCGCAGAAACCCGAGCAGGAGAAGCGCTCCGAGCACGGAATCTGGGTGGGTAATTTACCCTGGAGCGTTAGCAAGGAGGACCTAAAGTCCTTCCTCATCAACCAAGGTCCCATGCCTGAAGAAGCCATCACGCGCATCCACATGCCGTCGCCTGATGACAAGAGGTCAGCCAACCAAGTCGAGTCCCGGTTCACCCGCACACAGCACAACAAGGGTTTCGCATACGTTGATTTCTCAACAGCAGAGCACACTCTCGCCGCCGTAGCGCTATCCGAGGAGCTGCTAGGAGGAAGGAGGGTGCTGATTAAGAACAACAAGTCCTTCGAGGGGCGTCCTTTAGTAGCTAAAGACGCCGCAGCGAAGAAAGAAACCAAGGCGCCGAGTAAGCGTATCTTCCTAGGAAACCTGCGCTTTGATACCACAGAGGAGAGTTTGAAAGAGCATTTCGAGCGCTGTGGTCCCATTGAGACGTGTATGGTTGCCACGTTTGAGGATTCCGGGAAATGCAAGGGGTACGCGTGGATCACCTTTGCTGATCTCGAGGCCTCAGCTCGGGCAGTACGTGGATTCGTCCTAGAGGAAGAGGAAAACTCCGACGTGGACACCTCCGATGAGGAAGAGAGCGACCTCGACGAAGACCCAGAAGACTACGCTCTCGCCGCCACCAAGCCAAAGAAGAAGGAGCGCAAGGTCCCCATGAAGCGCGTATATGTCAACATGATCCAGCGCCGCCCGGTGCGCATCGAGTTCGCCGAAGACGCACAGGTGCGGTATAAGAAGCGATATGGCGCGGGAGGCACCAAGAATCCGGTGAATGCGGATGGGGAGACAGAGAAGAAGGAGAAGAAGGAGAAGAAGGAGAAGGTTGTTAGTGGGGTTATTGTGCCGAGTAAGAAGGCGCAGAATATCGAGTATAGGACGGAGTATGCGCCGAGGTTGACGGGGGGGATTGTGGAGAGTAAGGGGACGAAGGTTGCTTTTGATTAGGTTGAATGAATTGATATGGATGGATACCCGAGACCTCGTTTTTTTTTTATGGGAATATTGAATATACTGTGAATTGACTGTGAAGACTGTGTTTTTTTGACGAAACTGGTGACCAGAGGCTATGCTCATACACTGCGAGCCTATTATGTTTAACATGGTAGGATATAACACGGTTGCCAAAGCCTCTAGAGTCGGTATCCTCAAAAATGTTTATGGATATGCGTCCGAACCCATCCGTACTGCCCGAAAGTCCAGAGACGGAATGTGCATCATGACACTGACTACGGTAACTGCAAGTAAAACAAATGCTCTCAATAACCCAGGGCTGTAGATGTAGATGATCAAGGTAATTGCCCAAAAGCATACACAAAATAATACTTTCTGACAGCCTAAACCTCAATATCAATCCTCACCTTCAAGCAGTCCAACCTCCAACACTTGGGCCACACGATTATCGTCATCACAATTCACCCACCCAATCATGAAACCCAGTTGCGAAGGTAAAATATACATATAAATTATCCCTCCCCCCCCAAAAAAAAGTTATAACTCTACCTAAATACCACTTACCCCTAATCCTCCTTCTCCCTACCAATACCCCACCACCCCCCACCCGGCGTACTCAACTCCAACAACTTCTTAAAATCCGGCGTCCCATGCCCCGTAACCGGGTCCCACCCCTCCGTCGCATTCCAGCTCGCAAACGGCACCACAGGCGTCGGAAGCTTGGAGTAGATGTCCTTCCCCGTGCACCCCGTCGATCCGCCGTGCGTGACGTCGTTGAGACCGTAGTGGCCGATGGAGTAGATCCATGGGTTCAGGAAGCCGAGGGGGGGGAGGTGGCGGGATGTGCGAGCATTGTTGAGGAGGGCTACGATGGCGGCGAAGGCGGGTGCGGAGGCGCTGTGGGGGGTGTTAGTTGGGTGTTCTACTGTAAGGGAAAACAGCGGGGGGCGGGGAGGGGAGAGGAGGACATACCTGGTGCCACCGACTAGAATGTCAGGGTTAGTCTTGTTGGCAAGCTCATCAATGACGTGGAACCTATATCCCTGCGCAGCAACATCCGGGAATCCACGCCCGGCGGGGTTGTAGAGGCCCTTCCACCTATCACCCAAGATACGCAGGAACCCCTTCACAGCTTTATCCTGGTACTTAGGCCGCGGGAAGAGATCACTGAATCCCCCCGAGGAGAACGACACAGCGCGCTCGGGCTGGACCTGGTACGTGCCTCCGACGGACGTAACCCACGGACACGCAGCGGGGAAGATGGGCAAGAAACGCGTGGTGTTCTTCCCGTCGTTCGTCTGGCACGCTGATCCGACACCGGTGTCACCCGAGGAGAAAAGGACAGAGACGCCGCGCAGACCGAGCTCGCCGAACATACTGCACACTTTCTTAGCGTACTTGGGGGGGACGGATTGCTCGTTCTCGCCATAGGATGTGGTGATTGTCTGCGGCAGCTTGTCTTTGGGGAGCGAGAGGAGGTAGGTGATGAAATCGAGGTAGGGCTCGTTCTGTCCGGTGGCTTTGTCGGGTTGGTCGAGGTCTGGGACCAGCTCGCCGAGGCCGGAGGTGCTGTAGTAGGTTACGGGGATGTTGTAGGACATGGCTACCGCGTACTGGATGTCCAGGTTTGCCTCGACGTCGTCCTCGGTGGTGTTTTGCGGGTTGTTGGGCCCGTTGACGCCGACGGAGTTGAATGTTGTGCCCTTGGCGTAGGGGGCGTACTTGGCGATGAAGTTATTCAGGTCATTGATCTTGGCGTATTGCTGGAGGTAACCCGCGACGCCGAAGAGGGACTTGCCCTTGGGATCGGCTTGGTAGTCTCCGACGTTGTAGAGGGCCCTGAGGCAGGCGGGGGTGATGGAGGCGTTGCAAGCCTTGACGTCTAGTTCGGTGGATGGGATGGCGGGGGCGGGCTTGTGGTTGGTTGCTGCGACGCCGAAGACGGCGTTCATGGCGCTGATGTCGTGGATTGTGCTGCGCTGGGCCATCATCCTGGAGAAGCGGGTGGTTGGCTGGATGGTGAGGACATGCGGCGCGACGGAGCTTGGGAGAGAGTATTCAAGCGTGCGGATCATCTCCTTGTTGTCCTCATTGTGCTTGTAGACGTAGAACTTGGTTGACAGGAGCTCCTCAGCCTGCGCAACAGTGGCGCGGAAGTTGATCCACTCCCCATCGTTCTTGATCTCGCTCGCTGGCACGTTCGAGCTCGCCAGCCATGTCATGACCGACTCGGTGGAGTCGTCGCGGGGCTTCAGCATGTACTTCAGCTCGGCTCCCGTGAGATGCTGGCCGTACTTGGGGTGGTCTGGGGTCGACACGTCCAAGAGGGTCTGCTCGAAGAGTTCTTGGTTCGGGTGCTCCAATGCAACGCGCAGACTGACAATTGTCTCGGGAGCTGGGGTGCGAACTTGAGTCCATCCCTCGGGAAGCTCGTTCACAGACTCAAAAACCTCAACTGCCGGCTTAGCAAGGGCGCTGCCTACAAGAGACAGCAGCCCGACGACGATTCCTCCAGCGCGCATGATGGCAACTTCTCTGCGCGATTGTTAGTGACGTGTTCTGTGTAATTGACCGGATTGACGGGTGGAATGTCTCAGGACTTACAAATGCTAGAGGATATTCTAACAATGAAGGAAGCAGATGAGAACGCAGAGAAGAAACGAAACGAAACAGAAATGGAGGGGAAGAAGAAAGTGTTCCACCTTATATACAGCCCGGACGATCTTTTGACTTACCTCAGTAACCTTATGCATCTGGATCAATGTCAGTCAAACCCCCCCGGGTCTCTTCGCTTCGTGTCTGTGTCTAGGTAGGGCATCTGGTAATTCCGAAAAGAGCAGGAGGTTAGACATGGTCGGTGATAGCGGAAGGTAAGGTAAACACAGGTTGGTGTAAGGTGAAAGGTGAGTGGTGCAGCCGATGTACAGTAGCACCCCTCAGGGTCCCACTTGCCTTGCCAATCCCAATCCCCACATGGAGATAGATACCAGCAGAGGGAGTACATGAGTAGTACGAGGAGGGCAGGAGCGGAATGTAGGAGATCACCGGTGCGTGCCAGTGTGAAAGTAGGTACTTTATTGTACTGGGAATGCTGATCTCCGTTGGACAGGTCGTTGCGGGGGGTGGTAATGGCGATGAGGATCAACATGGCCTAAATGAGGCTATACACGAGCAACTACGCGTGAAATCCGCCTGTTATTAATGCCGAGTAAAACTGCCTGTTATTAATGCCAACCAAACCTACGATAATCCAACAAGGAACCAGCTTCCAGCTTCCATCTTCGCGAGTAACTCCGCATAATAGACCAGACGAAGGAGGCATGTGCTTGGCTGTGGATAATAGGGAAAATAGGGATAACAGGTCGATAAATGCCCAGTATACGCCCAGCGCCTGCCTAGTAAACGGACATTCCTTGTTAAAGCTTGGTCCCGTGCAGTAGCCCCGCCATCGCGCGCCACCGGGGGCCATCACCTCGCATTAAAGGGCATTAAAGGCACGGGTCGTCGCCTCGCAACTGCCACTTCCGGCAGTAGTCCTAGTTATAGTCCTAGTTATAGTCCTAGTATAGTCTTAGTATAGCTCCAGGCACCTCTGTCGCCGTCGTTGATCGCGCAAGCACTAGGAAATCTTTACTGTTCTAACCATACAAACACACGCTCCAACCACCAAGCCGAGGTGCCGACTGGCTGGTCGCCCTATTACAATATTCTATGTGTTACTATACAGCAAAAACGAGATATATCCATTCGCACTTGCCTCTTGCTACGTAGTATCCTCCCTCCTCCCCTAATACTTGGCGCGAAGCTTACTCGTATGGGGCGATGGATTGCCTTTCCCCATCGTCCGTTGACAAGTCGAGCGCCACAACGGACTTGGCGGTATAGTACAGATCAGCCCTCGTACAGCTGACTCCCGATCGCCACGATCAACAACCCCTTTTCTCATCAAACGCCCTCTGTGGCTGTCAGCATCTCCTTCCAGGTAAAGAATTGCGCAGAACTCACTCGCTGCAACTTCGTGCTCACCAAAGAGCTGCCCTTATACGAGTTCGATCAGTACCTCACACTCCCAAAGCCGCAGCTCAGACGATGCAGGGTGCCTTAAGCTCGTGCTCGTGTGCTGGCCCGATCTACAACGCCGTTTCTCGCCAAGCGCAACACGCTGAGATTACCGTCTCGGAGCACCGCGCCACTACGAGGGTTGAGACATCAACAACCACCAGCAGCCAGGGATGCGCCTTGTCCTCCCCCCTACGCCCCCACGGTTCGGTGCGGCGAGTAAGGTAATACAGTATTGGGACAAAGAATGCGCTTCTCGCCACTTGACTTGCTACTACATAATCCCATAGCTATGCAGTGAGAAGTGCAATACCTGACAAATGCCCGGCGAAGTCGCAATCCCCAAACCCGCCCCGTCGTCCATCTAAACACCACACCACCTTCCTACCTCGTCCCGCCCCGGACCGGACCCCGAATGCACGCACCGGGGTAAGACAAGATGCAAGGCCGAACCAGGCCCAAGGCGGGATGAACGAATGCGGTGTTAGACAAGGTAAGGTGCTGGCTGGGCAACCATGTCATATTTGTGCACAAGGAGTGAGGTAGACGAGGAGAGGGAGGGTGGGAATGTTGGTATATGTAGACTGGAGGCACTGCAGTATCCAAACTGGAGTCCGGACACTGCAGTCTGGATGGATACTCTGTCCATTGGTGTAGGGTAATGGAAGCTAGCTGCGTTTGCGTTTAAATAGAGTTGATGGCGGGCGGGCGTGGATTGCTTGACGCCAAGTTCGTGAATTGCCGCCAAGTTCACGATCCGTTCCCGCGAGCCGCCAAGGAGGACAACTGTTGTTAGTGTAACGGGTTAAGTATATCCACTGTTGCCAATATTCTAGGGATGGGTATGCAAGGTAGCTGTGCGATTCTTGGCTTTTGGAGTGCTGTTGTTAAACTTTTGAATGAATGAATTCCAGATCTCTGTTAATTTCAATGCAATTCCATATACTACATACCTCAATTCCAAATGACCGTAATTGAGCTGCCTTAACATGTAGGCAGGTATAGTAACCATTTCAACCACAGCGAAAGTCACCAGACAAACAGAGGAAAGAAGCAGCGAACACTCGGGCCCCGAACAAGCTTCATTATATATAGTTTCAAGAATAAAGCCTACGTCCATCCCCATTTGTGGTCTGTAAATCCTTCAAGCTTTCAAGCCCGACAGCAACCAGGGTCAACGCCCAATATTGCCCATTTTATAACCTCCCAAGCCCTTCAAGCCTAACAGCAATATAACGCCAACCTCTGATATACCCAGCGTAAACCCGACAGCAATCCGATGATGATGATGACCATCTCCAAAAACGCCTCGCTAAACCGGCAGCAAATCTGTATGAGACCCAGGATGAAGGCCATGGCTGAACAAGCAATCCATATCCCGCTTCCGCAAGGCAATTGTAGTCATCTTGAAGCCATGGCGAGACAAGACAACCACAGTCCATTTCCTCAACCGGTTCGTAGTCATCCCGAAGGCATGACCACACAGACAAACAGTGTTCGCTTCCTCAACCCCTTCGTAGCCATCTCAAACGTAGCCACCTCAAAGCCAAACACAGCTCCGTACCACAGTTCCATATCACATCTAAACCCCCCATGCAGCCCACACAAAGACGAATAGATAAGCCCATCCAGACTGCCTCTGCGCACCCACCTTCCCAGCCATCCAGAAGCAAACCACAGCCCATACCAACACGCAACCAACTAACCGCACACAGACCCAGAACTCAGCCCCAAACGCTGCCTCTTCGACGGCGGCGGCGCCTCGCGGCTGGGAAAGAAGTCGGTCCCGCGAACGAGACCGTGGGCCTCAAATGGTTTGTCCGGGCGATTGCGAATCCTTTTGGTAGTAAGTTCGTGAAAGTCGTCGCGTTCAAGGCGATCAAAGTTGGCGACCGTTGGGAATTGCTCCATGAATTCTACGAGACGCGTTTTGTTGTACGGGCTTTCGGCTTCGCGCTCGGGATCGGACTCCCAGTCCAGGAAGAGTTTGGTTTTCGCACAGTAGTGCGAATATACTTCCTCAATGTAGTACTGTCCGAGATCGGTGCTTTTTTTGATGTCGATGTAATTAATGCTGGATGAATCCGAAGGCCTGGAGAAAGTTCTCGGGAGTGTAGAGCTCTTGGAAATGTGCCACTAGATCCTCCATGCTAAGACAGCCTTCGAGCAAATCTGGGGCGTCTTGTACAGCAGTCTTCACATGTAACTGCGGGGGTATTAGTAGGTGTGTCGGAATCAGAGTTGTATGGCTTACTTGTAGACTCTTCAGCATGTTGTATCTCATCTGCTTCGACTTATCCATTATGAAGGCCCGCAAGCTTGCGTAGGTTCTCGAGAACCACTTCAGGTCGGGGCGATCTTCGCGATAAGTCCTTCCTTTAGCCCCGGAACACAATGCTGGAAATTCATGAGGAACACGTAGCGCGTTTCGCGGTCCAAGATCTCCATCATTCCTTTCCATTTTGCCTCGATTTCGTGCTGCTGCACGTCGGGATACGCATTCCTCATCTCCGACCTAATAGCTGCGTCGAGCGTTCCCCCCACCACTGCACCAGCTCCTTTGCCATAGAGAGTGAATCCAACTGCAGCAGCCGCTTCCTGACGGCGCTTCATCGTAGGAATCACACGAGGTAAAAGTTGATGAGAGCGGATATCGAGGATGTGTCTTCCTTGATAGACGAAAACGAAGGTGGTGGATGGGCCTCAGACCAGAAGGGCAGACCTGAAGGTGAAATTGAAATAAAGGGGAGGTTCACGATATCTAAGACTGATTGGTATACCATAAATCCCAATTTTGAAGAAAATAGATGTGGAATTTCTTAGACCTCAAGATGGGACTAAAGAGGAAGAGGGAGAGAGTAGTGAGGTTGACGCGAAAAGAAAGAAATAAACTAAAGTGGGCGAGGTTGAGTTGGAATTACCTCAAAACGGTTGTAAACCTCAAAACGGTCCTGGGACCGTAATTTGCCGCGAATTCCGTCTTACGGTTAACAAACAAAGTAAAAGGAAAAGTTGAAGTAGGAAGTATATACAAAACAGCCTCATAACTGTTATAGTAGTGAAATAGAAAAGAAAGCACAACTAAGTAAAGTAATAGATTCCAATGAAGGAAGCTTTCCTCACCTTAGCCTTTGGAGTGAAGTCGAAGACTTGGCCTCGTATGTTTTTGTTAACAAAAGAGATTGATGATCTGATATTAAGAGGGAAGAGAACAACAAACATAGTCTACCATAACAGGCTGTATAGTTTGGATTCGATTTTCAGTCACAATCGTTTACCTCTGAGAGAGTTGAATGAATGGTGGAGGCTGAAAATAAAAGGAACGTGTTATATCCTTCCACTTAGGTTGGTGGGCCCGTAAGCAGAACTGACATCATCCCGGAACTCCGACATGCGTGTACCTCAACTGCTGTCAACACCTACAAGGTACTAATCTTACTTTTTGTTGAGTACGACTGTTGATTGCTGCAGTATTCCGACAACTTTGTAAGAGGCATAATAAACAAATAAAGAGTAATATGTGAGAAGCAATCACCCATTATATAGAACCAGTAGAATAGAATATATGTGGCTTCAAATGCCAGAGCTGCGTGATTTATAAGTACCAAGTGGCATCTGGGGAGACCATAAATTTCCACGTAGGGTCGCGGGTCGCGCTTTCAGATTTAGGGAGTCTCGGCGCAACGACATCCATTAAATTGGCCTGGAGACAAAAACGACAGCCAAACAACCACCGACTGTGGCCTTCTGTACGATTAAATTACTTTCATGTTTCAATTACAATCTACCTTTCATATTGCTTGAATGCTTGGGCTTGAAGGCATTGCTACAGATGCTTTGGTTACGAGGGAAAGGGAAATTGACAGTTGCAGATCGACCCGAACACTCTGGGCTCAGGAGTTGAAAGCGCAGGCATGGCCAAACACGACGACACATCCATATCACCCATGACGCGGAGTCCTGCGAACCTCTCGCCGGCTGCAAGCTCTACGAACATTCCCACAGCGGCATTCCGACAATCGGGTCTCCGCACCGAACTCAACACCGATGGCTCAACCACAACGGATTTACGGCCGACCTTCAAGGACTCCAGCCAGCCCACAACACCACGCCAGGCAGAGCTGCGCGAGGCGGATGACTATATGAATGGGGGCCTCCCGCACGAATCTTCAGGGACTCCTCCGCCCATTGCCTCAACAGAAGCGTCCGCAATCTCCCGGCCATCGAGCATCAGACAAACTTCCGCTGCACCAAGCGTCAGGGGAGCTATCTACAGTGGGACACAAACGCCCCCCGGACGAAGGAGTGTACAATTCGCAAGAACAGATTCGGCGGATATAGCAATACCAGCGCGATGGGATGTCTCAGATGCGGACGGGGATCCGCAGGGCAAAGGCATATCTCTCATGTCTAAACTGAGAGCTCTGGCAATAACAGGAGGATTGAACACACACACACGGAGCAAAAGCACGGGCAATATACAACCTTACGCTGGGGGGTCGTTATCTGCACCGCACTCGCCGACTGCGGATAGATTTGGCTCGTCAATTGGGGTGCCTGGGACTCTGGAGGAGGAGGGCAGCGATGCCGATGCCGATGCGGAGCAAACAGCTGATGAACAAACCGTGGAAGATGCTGCACGTGCGAAGAAGAAGCGTCGATACCGTAGGCCGCCCTGGGGAAGCCTGCAAATCGACCATTCGACCTCAGCGGAAGTGGGCGCATCGTCTAGCAGGATTAGACGCCGAAACACTATGCCTGATGATCTCGAGGAACCTCGTGGCGGCGTCTCTGAAGGCGAAGGAAGGGACAGACTGGGCATGGGATCTGCTTGGAGAAAGGGAAGCTCATGGGTATCTGGAGGGCGCGGCCATAATTATACAGGGAGCAATCCGAATGATCCCAATGTGACTCCTGGGCGCCGACCACTCACACTCAGACGACTGACGGGTATGGGTGGATCTGATAACGAGGGCCAATCGCCGAGGCGGCCATTCTTGGGCTTTGATCGGGCAGGAACTACCGGCGCGGCAGCACGTCGCTGGGGAGTTGTCAAACATGGACTTAAGCTGCTGGGACAAAAGAAAGAGCCTCACATGGTTGACTACAAGAAATCTGCAGAGTTGATGGCGGAGCTGCGTGCTGGTGCACCGGCTGCCTTGATGCTGGCGAGCATGATTCAAAGAGATGAGCACGGCAACAAGAGGATACCGGTCTTGCTTGAACAGCTCAAGCTCACGATTACCGATAGTAGTACTACCCAGGACGGCAAAGTCGCCGAGTCAGAACGGCACCTTAATTACCGCATCATGCTCGAGTATGGTAGTGGCCAGAACCGCATGAAGTGGGTTATTGATCGGTCACTGAAGGATTTCTTGAACCTGCATCTGCGATACAAGCTCCAGGCCAGCACCGACAAGTATCTTCAACTGAGAGATATAGAGCACAGGCCGAAACAGCCAAAGTTCCCCAGGACAGCGTTTCCTTATCTCAGAGGCGTTCGTGGTATAGGCGACAGCGACGAAGAAGGTGGGGATGCTGATACAATTAGAGGTGATGACACCGCTGGCGAAGCCACACACAGCGAGCTAGACTTGCCTGGTAGGAGAAGAAGGCCGACACGCCCAGGTATGGGACACCGCAGGAGATCCAGTGCCCAACTCGAGAGCACCGCCGGCATGACTGCAGAAGAGATTGCGATACACGCCAGGGAGGCCAAGAGGCAATACAACGAGAGGCAACGGAAGAAGCTCGAGGAGTATTTGCAGGCGATGATACGCTGGCTTATTTTCCGGGCTGATAGCAACCGCCTGTGTAAGTTCCTCGAGCTGTCCGCGCTGGGCGTTAGACTTGCGGCTGAGGGGAGCTATCATGGCAAGGAGGGGTTCCTGGTCTTTGGGACGTCGAAGGGGATTGATTTTAGGAGGATACTTACGCCGACTGCGATATTCGCGAGGCATACGCCGAAGTGGTTCCTGGTTCGGCACAGTTATATTGTCTGTGTGGATTCGCCTGAGAATATGCATATTTACGACGTGTATCTCCTCGATGGCAAGTTTGAGATCGTGTCCAAGGAGAAGAAGCTGAAGCAGAAAATCAAGGATACGAATGCCATGGATATGGCCATCAGAGCCAAGACCAAGGCGACGTATCCCCAGCATCACAGGCTCAAGTTGCGCAATTCGGAGAGGAGGATTGATCTCTTGGCCAAGAACGAGCGGATCATGAGACAGTTCCAGGAGTCGATTCAGTTCATTATGAAAACATCGCTGTGGTCTAAGCCGAATCGCTTTGATAGTTTCGCTCCCGTCCGACAGGGAGTTTATGCGCAATGGCTTGTGGATGGTCGGGATTACATGTGGAATGTATCTCGCGCCATCAACATGGCTAAGGACGTTATCTATATCCATGATTGGTGGCTCAGTCCTCAGTTGTATATGCGTCGTCCGGCAGCAATCAGCCAGAAGTGGCGATTGGATCGACTTCTCCGGAAGAAGGCCCGGGAAGGCGTTAAGATCTTCATCATCATCTACCGTAATGTTGAGGCTGCTGTCCCCATCGACTCTGAGTTCACCAAGTTCTCGATGCTGGATCTGCATCCGAATATCTTCCTCCAGAGATCTCCTAACCAGTTCAAGAAGAATCAGTTCTTCTTTGCGCATCACGAGAAGATTTGCATTGTTGATCACACAGTGGCGTTTGTTGGAGGCATCGATTTGTGCTTTGGTAGGTGGGACACCCCGCAGCACTCTGTTTGTGACGACAAGCCTACTGGCTTTGAACACTCGGATGAGCCGAAGGATGCCGACCACTGCCAGTTATGGCCTGGAAAGGATTACTCGAATCCTCGTGTGCAGGACTTCTTCCAATTGAATGCACCGTATGCTGAGATGTATGATCGTTCGAAAACACCGAGAATGCCGTGGCACGACGTCTCCATGCAAGTTGTTGGGCAACCGGCTCGCGATCTGACAAGGCATTTTGTTCAGCGCTGGAATTATGTCCTACGGGGCCGAAAGCCAACGAGGCCAACACCGTTCTTACTGCCTCCACCAGATTTTAGCCAATCTGAGCTTGAAAGCCTTGGACTGAACGGCACGTGCGAAGTACAGATCTTGCGATCGGCTTCCAACTGGTCGCTGGGAATCGATGACACTGAACACAGCATCATGAACGCGTATTGCAAGATGATCGAGGAGTCGGAGCATTTCGTCTACATGGAGAACCAGTTCTTCATTACGAGCTGTGAGACGATGGGCGTGAAGATTGTCAACAAGATCGGTGATGCCATCGTCGAGCGCGCAGTGAGGGCGTACAAGAACAATGAGAACTGGCGCATTGTCATTCTCATCCCACTCATGCCCGGATTCCAGAACACGGTCGATGCACCAGATGGGACCAGTGTTCGTTTGATCATGCAGTGCCAGTTCCGCAGTATCTCGCGTGGCGAGAACTCCATATTTGGGCGACTGAGAAATGAAGGCATTGAGCCCGAGGATTTCGTCTCCTTTTACAGTTTGAGAGCTTGGGGCAAGATCGGGCCGAACAAGACGCTGGTCACGGAGCAGCTGTATATTCACGCGAAGGTTATCATCGTGGATGATCGCATTGCGCTTATTGGATCGGCCAATATCAATGAGAGGTCTATGTTGGGCTCGAGAGATTCAGAGTGTGCTGCTGTCGTCAGAGACACGGATGTCCTGTGGTCAACTATGGGCGGTGAGCCGTTCCAGGTGGGCCGCTTTGCGCACACGCTGCGAATGCGTCTTATGCGTGAGCATATCGGCATTGACGTAGACGACGTCATGGAAGAAGAGCGCCGCGCCGAATTAGACCGAGAGGAAGAGCTGTTCGAGTCCAGAATGGACGGTGTCTACGACGACGATTCCGATAACGAGTTTGCAAGCGGCCAGGCCCGCCCGGCGCGCAAGAAGGCCGATACGACTGCCCAGAATAGCAGCCTGCATAGTTTCAACAATAGTGTTGATACGGATGGGGAGGGTAATTCGAACTTCATGCGCGCACATGTTAGTGCGAAGACGCGTTCCTCGAATGAGGAAGGGAATGGGGTTCCAGATGTTGAGGGCGATGGCCCGGATAGGATGATACAGGCTGAGGAGTCTGGGTTAATCCACGGCCGCGACTCGACACTGATTAGTGGACGCGAGGTTTTGGTCGCCGATATTGCCCCTGAGGGTAAAGGTACTCTTCAACATCCGAAGCACCCACATAAACGACGTGCTTCGAAAGCAGGCAAAGAGTCGGAACAGGCTAAGGAGACCGGTAACATTGGTTTACCTCCTTTTCTCTCGACCCGTAGCAACACAGAGACTTTGGGACTACCACAGCTTTCTCAACTTCCTTCTCTCCCTGTCGTCGATGATACGGATATTGGCGGTCCCCCGGTGTACAGAGACCCCAAGGGTGGCAAAAACGCGGGTTTCAACCCCTTAACCGCGGATATTACGCGTGCCCTCGTGGACAAGGACTGCATGCGCGACCCCCTCAACGACACCTTCTTCGACGACGTGTGGACCCGCATCGCCGAGAACAACACCAAGATCTTCCGCCGCGTCTTCCGCTGCAACCCCGACAACGAAGTCACGAACTGGCACGAGTACACCGAGTTCCAGGCCTACTCCGAGCGCTTCGCCCAGTCCCAGGGCGTCAAGAGCGAGGGCAGACAGGAGCAGGAGAGTAAAGGCAAGAGTGGCCCACCTGGTGCTACCATGCCGCTGCAAAGCCTTGGCGTGTTGGGTGAGACCGTCACAAATGTTGCTGAGAAACTGAGCGCTGCTGGTCACGCCGACGACGAACATCCCCACGGCGGCGTGAAGAAGTGGGCCGACGATGCGGATGCGAGACATAGACATCTCTCCAATGCAGCCGAGATGGAAGCTACACTCTCCAAGAGCAAGGGACCAGAATTCGACGAGAAGTCCCCTGCGCCTGTTGATCGCCAGAGCACCATCGATAGCGCTGCAGCCCGTGTCCCGACTACGGGTCTAGACTCGACGACTACGCGCACGACTACCTTCTCTGCGTCCCTACCTACTACTACCACTACTGGCGCAACGGAGAGCACCGCGGCGCCTACGCACCAGGGCTCGACGAGGGCGAGGCGCAGGCGCGGGACGACGAAGAGTAAGAAGGGGTTCTCGGCTGCGGAGGATCTGTTGACGCGCGAGGAGGCGTTGTCGATGCTGGAGCTTGTGCAGGGAAATTTGGTGGTGTTCCCGACGGAGTGGTTGAAGTCGGAGGAGCATAATAGTAATTGGCTGTATCAGGTTGATCAGGTGGCGCCGTTGCAGATTTAGTAAGTTTTCCTCTCCCCTCCCCTGGCAGATTCAAACTGCAGGTTTTTTTTTGCGGAGTGGATTCTAACGTAGTCTTTTTAGTGATTAAGCAAGGCGAAGTGAGATGCAGTGGGATGATGGGAGACGGTGGAGATGATGTGAGTTGGATGGCATGGGGAAAGCTCGAAACGTAAGTATTGATATTAGAGAGCCGTACATATTCGTCGATGTGATTTGGCGTCGGTGGGGAGTGAAGAAGGGGGGTTGCATGGTCTAGCGATTATGGTGTATATTCTTGTAGTCAGTTCGAATAGACTTGTTTAAACATAGTATAACAATGCCATCATATGTGTAATAAATATCTTTTGGACATCGTTATTGTCCTCTCTTGGAATACAACTAATTACATAATATGACAGTTATACATATTCGTACCTCTTCTTTCTATACAACATACACACCCACCCCCAACCTCCTCACACCCTCTCACTAACCCAAATCGCCCCTCGACACCCCAACCTAATAACCCCCGTCAACAACTCATGCGGCACCGCCAACTTCGCATCATTCTCCACCGCATGATCCAAATGCTCCAACTCCTCATCCCTAATCCTCCTAATCTCCCCCACCAACCCCCTCAACTCCCCCCCCACCTCCACCCCCTCCTCCTCCATCCCCTCAACCATCTCCAGCAGCGTAGCAACCTGCTCATTATAATGCCCCCCTATCTCCGTCTCCACCGCCTCCGTACACGCCATCGCTGCTTCGCGGCCTAGGAACGCGGTGCCCCACCCTAGGGCTGTGGCGGCGGCCACCCAGACGGGGTAGAGAGCGGTAGGGCGCACGCGGTGCTTGGCGAGGAGGGCGTTGAAGGTGGAGAAGTGGGCGGCTTCTTGGTCGTACATGTGTTTCATTAATGGCCGGAGGTGGGGGTGGGAGGCGACGATGGGAGGGGTTTGGGCGCGGTAGATTAGGGTTGCGGCGAGCTCGCCGGCTTGGTTGACGCGGAGCTGGGGGGCGTTAGTCCTAGCTGGAGAGAGAGGGGGGGGGAGGTGGGAGGAAGGGGGACTTACGGCGCTGGAGAGGAAGTCTCGTTGGGCTTGGGTTAGGGGTTTGGAGGGCTTGGAAGCTCCTGCGGCGGGCGAGGTGGCTGCGCTGTCGGTGGGGGGCGAGGGAGAGGTGTTGGGGGAAGGTGCAGCTGCAGCAGCTGCGGCGGCGCGGTCTCGAGGCGATGTGTGGAGAGCTCGTGTGCGGGTTGCTTGGGAGAATCGTGGGGTAAGGAAATCATATATTGGGAGGTTGCATCGGACGAGGCGGGCTGCGGGTTTGGTGGTGAGTGGTGCCATTGTGGCTATATAAAGGAGATTTAGCCAGAAAGGTAGCAAATAAATGGTAAATAGCTGGTAGATAAGCGTATAGATAGATCAGAGCTGAGATATTCGAGGTGGAAATTGTTGGTTTGTTGCTGCGTTCGAGGTTTATCGAGGCATTATTGGCATTCCGATGATGGCCGGCCACTGACCCATGGGCGCCCGGAAATTTAAGGTTTTCGGAACAAGTATTGTCCGTGATAAAGTTAGTGCACCCTCAGCCGCCTCTGGACCCATATCGCCCTCCATTTCCATCCAGACTACTTACTCTCTTTATTCTTTCTTCTTCCAACAACCCCGACAACTTCTTTCTTCTACTTCTTTACTTTGCCTCACAAACTTTTCCGATACATCGCACCGAGTCTGTGACTTTCTGATATCGGACTTTAACTAGTTCGCTTCATCTGTTCTTGCGCTTCACGAGGCAACCCCTTGTCGACAAGCACACGAATTCACCAAGGCCCTTTGTGCCAGCGCCCGCACACAGGCCTTGCATACACTCAATCAACATAATCGCATACTTCAAATAATCTATCGCAATCTATCACAATGTCGGATATCGACGAAGAGCTCCTCGCCCTTGCGGGTGACGCATCCTCGGATGAGGAAGACACCGCGCCGGTGACAGCTACCCGCACTGCATCGGACTCCCCAGACGCAAACACGCCTTCTGGGAGCAAAGGCACGGCTAAGAAGGCCCGCGGCAGACGCGCCGAGTCGGAAGAAGAGGGCGAAGCGTAAGCATTTCCAACTCGACCTCACTTTGCCACCCGACTCAAATATCGCGTCGCGCGCTGCAATGTACTATTTGCTGACTCTGCGTTAGTTCTTCGAGGAACTCGTCACCGGACTCACAGCGATCAGCTCCTATGGATGAATCGGAGTCGGATTCAGACAATGGCCCGGCAATGTTCGATGATGGAGACAGATACCCGCTCGAGGGCAAATTCGTGAATTCCTCTGATAGAGCGGAGATTCTTGCGATGCCCGAGATCAAACGTGAGGAGATCCTTGCAGAGCGCTCGATGGAAATTGAACGCGATCGCCAGAATAGGGCTTTGCGCCAACTCCTCCACGCGCGCGAGGCTGAGCAGAAGAGAGGCGACAAGAAGCGCAAGGCTGGCAATGCCGACTTGGACGAAAACCAGCGCAAGACTTCCAGGCAGCGCACCAAGGTTGGTGGTGGACGTGTCGGAGAGGCGAGCAGTGGCATCGACAGCTTGAAGCGCGCTAGAGATGAGAAGGCTGACCGATTGAAACGCCGCAAGGAGGATTTGGAGCGCAACGGCGGCCACAGGGCTAACAATCACGACCAGTCCGATGACGATGCTGGTGCGGATAGCGAGTTGGAATGGGATGATGGGAAGGCTAAGCATGGCCGTTCAGCCTCCCCGCCGACACACTCTCCGCCTTGCGAATTGCCCGACGTTCAGAAGGTGTCCATTGGGAGAACGAAGTTTGCGAAGCTCTGTTTCTATCCTGGTTTCGAAGATGCGTACAATGGTGGATTTGTTCGTGTCAGTGTTGGGGCGGATAAGGCGACTGGTGATAATGTCTATCGCATGGCTCAAATCATGGGTTAGTACCTCTGTTGCGTTTCTTCGGGGATCGATTTAACAAATTTTTAGGCTTTGAAGAGGGCAAACCGTATGCCTTGGAGAAGGAAAACGGCCAGACCTTTGTCACAACGCAATATGTCACCGCCGCTCACGGGAAAGCAGTCCGTCCCTGGCCATTCTTCACCTGTTCTAACTCGCCCATCACCGAAGCCGAGTTTAAACGCTACATGCAGACTTGCGCCGTCGAGAAGGTTAATATCCCTACTCGCCGCCAGCTCGCCACCCAGGTGGGACGCATCGACGCCCTCGTGAACCGCAGCTGGACCGAAGCCGAGCTGACCGAGAAGCTCCGCCGCTCCGGCGCCCTCGCCGCAAAATACAAGTCCGTCGACCGCAACAAGCTCAACAAGCGCCTCAACCAAGCTAAACTCCTCGGCGACGTCGACCGCCAAGAGGAGATCAAAGCCGAGCTCGCCGCCCTCGAGGGCCCCAAACTCGCCTTCGGCACCTCCCTCCACAAGACCCCCGCCCAGACCGGCCCCAGGACCCTGTCCCAGCAGGACCGCCTCGCTATTCTCAACCAGGAGAACCGCCGCAAGAACAATGAGGAGATTAAGGCTGCCCAGCTGCGCGAGATGCGCGAGCAGCGCCGGATTGAGGCTGCGATTGCGCGTGGTGAAGATGCGGTTGTAGATCACAGCCGTCGCGTACGCACGCGCGCTGTGCTCAAGCACGATGTGAATAAGGAGTCTGGCAGCGGTGCTAGCACGCCTGCTAAGGTGGCGACGCCGAAGCTGAGCCCGAAGAAGGAGTCGGGGGTTCTGCCGCACATGGCGAAGCTGCACGCGGAGATGGAGAAGCAGAAGCAGAATGGGGGCATTGCTACGATGAGGAGGCCGTTGTGCGATGATGATATCATTGGCGCGATTGACTTGGGCATTGAGATTGAGCTATAGATTGTTGTTGTTACGATAGGATTTTTCACTGGCGGGTGAGGGTGTTTGCCTGCCTAGAGCGTGGTTTTACATATTGTATTGTTCATTTACCTTTACATCACATTTGGGGCGGGGTTTTGGCGATGCATGCACATTGAGGAGTCAAGCCTGAAGGTCCCAGGCATAGCGTTGATGGAGAGCTACGGGCATGTGTGCACCTGTTGAGCTGCTCAACATCGTGGGGAGTCGATGAGGTGGTAGTTACAGACGGGATAGGGGGTATAGACTTGGATGGAAGAAATTGGCAAAAAAGAGAAGCAGAGAAGCTATGGAGATTTGACCACACTCGTCCCCAATCTCAGAGACATGTGAATATGGAATTCAAGTGCACATGAACTTTGGAAGAAACAAGCCTCGGCCCTCACCGTTCGTTTCCATGTTCTCGTTCTGGAGTCTTTTGCGATTGGGATTTCCAGATTGGTGGAAATTATCAAGGGGCAAGAAGTTGATAAGTCTGTTTATTTACTATGCGTGCATCTCTTTGATGCTGCATCATACGTCCAAGCTCACTAGAACACAAATAACAAACGCATCTCAACGAACACAAAAATGCAAATCATCCCAATAATCCCAGCCCCCATCATGCACCGTACTCGTACTTTCCCCCCCGACTTAACCGAGAACTCCCCAACCCCCTGAAACCAAGCCCTAACCTCCCTCCCATGCCTCTCCCCCCCCCCACGATCCGATCGCCATCCCAGCATCCTATCCCCCCCATCTATCCCAATCCCAGCCTCTAACAGACAAACTCACCCCACATCCGCAACCTCCCCCCCCCATTCGAAGAAACCACCTCTCCGCTCCACTCACCCGCCCCGCGCGACTGCGCCCCAATCCACGATGACGCGTAGACGAGACGCATCTCTTGCACCTCCGCACACGCTACGCGGGTGACGTGTCAGGGCGCCGTAAGTGCCGCAAGGGCGACCGCCCGGGTGGGGGGGGTGCGCCGCAAGCAGACGTGCGTGCGCGCCGATCAGACGTGGTATGTTGGAAAAGTCTCCGACAAAGAAGCGGATACCGCGACCGACCTGTAGCGTGCTGCGGTGTTGCTGTGGTGTGGGTGCGTTGGCCCCGTATTTTTTTGTTGTTATTGGCGGTGCGACGGCGCGCGACTTAGGGGGGGATGGGGATGGGTATTTTTAGGATGGCGCACACGGTAGCGTGGCGCTGTGGGTGTGGAGTGGATGCGTAGACGCGGGGGGTGGGAGAGTGACACAGGGGAAGGCAGGTATGTCACGGGCCAGGTGTTTGCGCGATGGTTTGTCTGTGCTGGTCGTGCGGGTTTTGGGGCGACGAGGGGGACGAGGGGGAGTTTGTGCTTTTGTGCCTTTGTGTGTCTGTGCTGGGGCCTGGATGCTGCTTACAACTTTCTGACTTTCTCTTTGTCGCCTCTTTGTCGCCTCCTTGTCGCCGAGACGGGAATCGGTCCGGTGCCACGTAGAGTGGTGGTGTTGTTGATATTGAAATTGAAATTGAAAGTGCCGTTTAAACCTCGGGAGGATGTGGAAATGATAAATCCCGAAGAGTTAAACCCGGTCAATTAGAGTCTACTAGAAGTCTATCAGAGTCTAATCGAGTAGCTCAAATTTATGACGCGTGTTTATTGTGGCTCCTTCGTACCTGTCATATGGGTTTGAATACGTGTTGTACAGTAAATAGACATTGGGGCTGACCGGAACAAGATTTTCTAACACGCTTTTCTGGGCCCACAGTCTTTGTTTCTTGCCTCTTGCCTTCTGTTTCTTGCCTCTTGTCTCTATGGCTCTGTACACCTGCCGCCGGCGGGGGTATGTGCAATCCACAGCTAAAGTACATTACATACTGTACGTAGATTCCAAATCCGAAAATATGAGACCGCGCAAGCCCACTATACTTGAACATGTTCCCCGCCGGTGACGTTTGTCGCCAATTGCCATGCCCACGTCGTGGAGCTTCAATGCTTCCATCCACTCATCTTCCATCGGGTCGGGCCTTCATCGCGCATGCTTCTGCGAGACCGCAGGAAAGTGATAGCTCGCGCATCATCTCATAACTTCCCGTGTGGCTGATGCTTCTGGCCTCTTTTCGCAAGCAACCAAGACATTATCCCGCTTGATTGTTCGGCGAGTTTGACTAGGATAATAACCCGACACACTGCGGTTTCAGCCGATCGCGATCTGGACACTCACGGCTCCTCACAAGTATGCAGCCGCAGAACGCACTTTATTTGGTCCTGATTTGCACTGCAGATTCTGAAACGGGCCGCAATGGGCGCTCCCACCAATGAGATAGGGCTCCATGGGAGGAGCTACGGCAGGAGTAACGTTCTATTGCACATCGGAGGCATGGCTAGGCTTCCCCAACCAACCCCATTTTTGCGGGAAGCTCGGGAGAAAGTTCCAATGGAGCTCACTGGTTGTTGGCCATGGCCAATGACCCGTGTTGGGCACGAACTGCTCACGTATGCTTCTCAACGATATATGTGAGCTGCCTTGGTTGAGTCTTTTTGCCTTGCGTGTGACGAATGTCAGGAGAACGCCCAGAAATAACACTGTTTGTTCGAGCCAGGGACCGTACACTCTGGCATCTCCAATGCAACATTACCTTTCGCCAGCTTTAGAGACATTGACGAACCAGGCAAGACACTATCCAGCGGCTCATTTCCATGCACAGGGCCTTGAGACCCCAGAGCTATGGGGCCTTTTTCAGATGGTGGAAGACGCATTAAGTTAGTTGTGTAGATCTTAGAATAACTTGAGATCCATTTGAATCGCCGCACCATCCGATCTTATCAATTCACGGCCTGCTGCAAGAATGCCGCGCGGGCCGTCGTCCATGAGAGCGGCGCGTGAGCACAAGGGCAAGTGCCTACTTCGTGTTCTTTAGTTGCAGATCTCTCAGACAGGTCTTACATCTCAATCTCATCCCGCCCTGTCGAGCATGGTTACACTGTAGGTGACGCAGCGGTGGCCATGGTAACACCGGTAGTGATGATAAACTAGCCTTCAATCTTTCATCCTGTATCCGGCTGGTGTTAGATCTTGATGGCACAGAATATATTTGACACCGACATATCTGATATCTCGCCATCCGATGATAGCTAATAGCCATGAACTCTATCCTCCGCGCGCGTTTGACTACCGCATGATCGGCAGTACCGACGAAGTAATCCGTTCATTGCATTGACGGAGTGGATCAGTCAAGTGTGAAGACGGCTAAGACAGCGAAATGTGGCTTTGGGACCGGATCGAAACTGCACCTATGGCAGAGGCTCTAGAGCGGAAATTCGCGCAAATAGCATTCATCAGTGGAGTTGAAGTCCTATAATTATAATAGTCGTCGTCAGTAAAAATGGAGACGATACTCTATGCTATACTGTACCTGCACACGTCGATGTTATTCCCTGAAAAGCCAATTGTCGATTTATTGGGCTCAGCGAAGCTTAATTGCCAATTCAGTTCATTTGAAATGATAACAGTAATACAATACCGCACCTATAGTGTCATTGAGTTATGTGGGAGGCAGATTTGAGGGATCGGGATCTGTAACGGGGAGGAATTCTGGTGGAGACGGGCTTTGCTTGGATACTTGCATATTATTTCCAAAACACCAACAACGGCACAGGGGCTAATTACCCACAAACCACCCGCCACCACCCACCACCACCAACAACAATCACTTACCACACACCATTAAGCTTCAAAAAGTAACTACCCACGAGCAATTTATGGCCCAATCTATGAGCAATTTGTGAGCCATGAGCCGGCCACGAGTACCGAAACATGGCCCATGAACCTTGACCATGAGTGTCACTACAGGCATTCATTGCCTCAAAAGACGTTACTCGTTACAATGCCGCCAACCTCTTAGCTTCTACTATGGATAGCTCCTTCCGCCATGACAACGATGCCCTGTCTCAACCTTCCTCTCTCTAGCCTCACTTACTACACTAAATTAAACTAACTGTTGACTATCTCGCTATGGCTGCCGGACTGCAGATGCACAGAGCTTTACCGTGCATATCACCATTCACCATGTTCGGTAGGTATCTGTCTTGTCTTGCTCCTTGTCTGTTGTCTCTCCCCCCCCCTCCTCCTACCCCCCCCACACACACTCCCTATGGCGTGGGATGTGAGACTACATGTAGCACACAGGCTTATACTTCTTAGAGACCTTCCTCCCACAAATAGACTCCGCCATGCTGGATACTGCCGTGCGAGGTGCCGCCGAGACCACGACACGGCTTGTCACAGATTCCACCTTCTTCCTCTCTTCCTTCCCTGGATGATACAAACGGCATCTCTTGGCCTTATGCAAACGAGCAACTTCCTTTACTAGCTGTCTCTTCTGTCATATTTCATTACTTTTGATACAACATATTTATTCTATCAAACTCCTGTCATTATCGTCTCATTGGCTCTTCAGTTAGTGTGTCCACCAACGCAACGTTAATTCCTCACACCTTCTTACTTTGGCCGGCATTGGAGGGAAGTGACAGGCACATCAAAACTCACAGATCGTCGACGGCTTGCAGGATAGTCCCAGGATCTGAAGGCAATAAATCTTCTATTTTATGAGCTAGAAGTGAGATACTGCTGTAGGTTTGCATTCCATCTCTCTGATTTGCACGCATGTCAACCGAATCGGATATATCATGCATAGTCCCGGAGGTTAGAGCACATATTTTCCGCCTCGACAGCACGGTGACGGCGATGCCCCCCGCTAGGACTTCTCACAACCTAAGTTTTACCCCACCGGGCCCGGTCCAGTTGGTGGTTTGAAGTCAAGCACTCGGTATCTTCAGGCGAAAGAGCTGTATACACCGTGCCGTGCCTGGCGTTTCGACAGTTTCACTCCTCGGCGGCTGTGCATACACCTGCGAAGAAGAAGCAACACACTTTTTAACATTGCCTCTGTCCATCTCTACCTCTGGGCGTCCTAAAAGGGAAATGCATGCGAGGTTTATAGCGGAGAAGAAAACGACGCCAGCAGTGTTTCATTCTTTGACACTATAGTAACTAATATATCAACAGTCGTATGATCTTATTCGTTCGCCTCATCGTCTGCCAGGACGTTGATTACCCTTGGCATCAAGATTAAGAAGATATCTGGAAGGCTGGATCCATTTTATCTGGTCGACATCCCTACGTTCGATCACTCGACTAGCATCGGATGGCAACTGTCAGCTAACAACCAAACATTTTACCTGGATGATTGTTCCACCAAGACATATCTTACTGCCTACGCGGATACAATAACAAAATGGAAGTCGGATTGATGCTAAATGCATCGCCCGACGATGCAGAGCAACCACGGCCACTACTCACCTGGGAAGCCACTATCCGAAGTCGGACGCCCTGGGACGCTGGCGGTTATTCACTACCCGTGAATCACGATCTGGATACGACAATCAGCAAACACATTCACCATCATGACTCCTCCCTTGAATCATCACAGACATATCCCACCAAGCATAGCTTATCAGACAGCCGCGGATCCCTCTCTTCTCTTGCTTCTGCATCAACTTCAACGCACTCAAGATTTTCCTCAGCATCAACTGTTGGCGGGTTTCAAGCCTTCACCAACTTCACGGACAGTTCCAAGTTATCAGATTCTACTGTGGACTGGACCAGTATTCTGGCAAACTCTGCAACTCTTTCACCAGCTTCTCCTGCCACGTTCAGCTTCCACCACTACCCGCCATCACCACGTGCGGAGCCAATACACGTCCTGGCTCAGATCGCTGAGCGACGATACATGGACGCTGACAGCGCTTCAGAAGAACACTACAAAGATAGTGAGATGGCTGATGCCGATACTAGAGCGACCAGCACCACCTCGGAACAGCCAGCGTTGTCGAGGACTGCATCGCCTACGGATGCTTTGCTTATCAAAAGGCACTCACCGCTAACACCCCAAGAGTCCGAGACAGCTGGGAGTGTGTCTACTCAGCCTCATCCTGCCGGCGAAGAAAACACCGCACCTTGGAAGTATCAACCACGAGCACAGCTCGACCGCCTGAACTCATTTCCACCATCGGAGAACCGCCGAGAGTTTGAGTCTCACTCGGGCCGGTTCGCTATGGAGTCTAGGCGTCATAAAAGGGCCTTCTCTGAGCCGCATATTCAAGGCCAGTCAGGTGCTTCATTTGGACAGCCTACAACCGATATGTTGGCAAGGTATCAGAGATCTGAGCCTACTCCACCATCCTCCCAGCACCCCGAGAATGAGTCGCCACAGGCCGAGACCCTAGATGGTACGTCGCATTTGGGTCCGCAATATACACCGCCACTACAGGACCAGCACTCGACATGCATGTTCAAAGAAGGATGCGATACGGGCTCGCAACCCCGGAAGGCCGTGTCTCACATCTTTGGTCGCAACAAGATGTGCACGCGACTAATCCCAGAGCACGTGTGGGTGCGATACTGCCGCAAACACTACCAAAGGAGTCGATACCGCGAGCCAAAGAACTGGCCTCGCTGCCAGTGTGATCTCGTCCAGAAACAGATCCAGAGACTAGAAGAATGGAGCGCCGAGAATGAGCGGCGTGGGGAAGGCGGTGTGGTCAGGAGCTGGGGTCTCGCCGTCCGAAAGCGAGAACAGAAACGACTTGATGATCTCGCATTATCAAAGGCGAGAGGTGGAAGGGGAAACCCATACGGTGGAAACTACGACGATGTCGACCCTTCCGCACCAGCCACCGCCGTCCCGTTGTGGCTCAGAAACCTATGCGGCAAGACCTACAGCACCCTCGACATCCGCGACATATTCAACCGTGTCCACCAAGAACTCCTTAACTCCCCTAGCCCCGTCTTCCCCGACATCGAGATCCTCCCACACATCACCCTCGACGGCGAAGAATCCGAATCCCCCATGCGCTACGGCGGGCGCCGCAAGACACCCACCACTGGCCACCACCAGCGATCCCGCTCGATGGGCGGCGCACTACCACCTCCGCTCGACAGTTTTCCGGAAGACTTGCAGTTCAACGCCGCTTCGAGGTCGAGGTCGAATAGCAATTTTGAAAATCAGGATAGTCCGCTTCATCACAAGAGGAAGCGTCGCGATTGCTCCCCTGAGGATGTGGATGCGGAACTCACGGCGCAGAGTCAGAGGCTTAGGCTTAATGTTACGACGGGGGCGTATGAAGCACACCCGTCTATCCTGTCTGCGTCCTCGAGCGCAAGTGACGTGTTCCAGGGCCATGGACCTTATCGATCGCCTCTACCCACGCCGCCCGCACTAACACCATCGTTGCAATCCCTCTCCAGCATCCTCGCCAACGAAGGACCAGCGACGCGCTACCCACTGCGCTCTAGCTCGACCATGCTCCTCGCCGCCCCCGATAATGGACATCGTCGCTCGCGATCCGATATCAATGGTTTCCCGTTCCCGGAACAGCCTGTGATGCTGTCGCATGTGCGCTCGTATTCTGGGGCCGCGGGGTATCAGTTTCCCGAGAACCACCATAGCCACCACAACCAGCACCCTCACCACCACCAACAGAACCAGGGAGTGCAGGCGGGGCAAGCGGGACAGACGGGACAGAGATACGCATCTGCTGCGAACGCGTTTGCGCGGGGAGGACATTCGAGACATCAGAGTACGCCTGTTGGGCCGAGATCGAGTCTTACGCCGCCTGGGGGGATGTCACTGCAGCCGCCGTCGTTGGGGAGGGGGTAGGAGAGGTTTGGAGGGGTGTTGGTGGCGAGGGGGCAGGAGTATGAGAAGAGATGATGGGCGCTATGTTGTTGTTGATGGGGGTGGGGATTATGGTATACGCTGCTCTCTTTTTTATTTCTTGCGATTTATTTTGGGTTTGTTGTAGATATCATATCGCCTGGACTGGAGGGACAGCACAAAAAAGGGCGGCTGTTTCTCTTCCGTCTGCCTACCTGTCTGTTCAGCTCTGGTTTTGGGGGGATCTCGGTTTTCATTCATGTTCATTGTTTTGGCTCGTTTATATAAATCCCTGGAGGATTCTTTTGTATTTGGGCGCACAAATGGGGGAAGGGAACGGGATGGGATAGGATGGGAAAGGGATTGGAATGGGAAAATGGCGTCGGGATCATTCTGTTGTTTTGTGTGCATTGCGCTGATTTCTCGGGATTGGAAGGCATGGGGTGGTGTATAAATGCCTGGCTGGGCTGGGTTGGGTTGGGTTGGGGTTTGGGGGTTGGCCATGGCTGGATACATGGCCTGGTCTGATCGGTAGCGTGGTAGATAGATAGTGTTGGAATAGAAAGCATGGTTATGTATCAATCAAATCAGTAATGAATCATTCGATCATTAAACAGTCAGTCAGTCATTCATTCAATCAATCTATCGGTGAAGGAATACAGTGCAGGTATCATCACACATTACCCCCCTCCTTCTATCTACCCTATCTACCCCCTCCTTTTCCTCCCCTCCTTTTAACTAGACACCTCAACACCCAACCCCTGCATCTCAACCCCCAAAAACTCTCCCGCACTCACAATCTCCGTACTCCCATAAACCACCCTCCTCCTCCCCGCCCCCTTCGCTGCACCCACACCCCCCTCACCCGTCCGCTTCGCCCACTCCAAAAGGTTACCGTATTCATCCATACTCCCGCCCCCCACTGTAAACACCACCGCCTCGCTGAACCCCTGGCGTCTTTGTCCAAAGCTCGCTCCTGTCCCGGGACCGAGACTACCCAGTCCGCCAGGCATAGGTGATGCCGTCCCACCGCGCGGCGCAGACGGCGGGGGGGCCGTCCCGCGCGCGTTGGCGGAGCGCGGGTCGAAATAAAGGTAATTCTCCGTCTTAGCAATCGCCGAACTGGAAGCAGCAGCAGGGTCCATAATACTCTCCGTAATCTTGGTAATAGTCAAATCGCGATTCGCAGGCAAAAAGTTTTTGACACCAGAGATTAGGGTCTCGAAGTTGGCGGTTACGCCGGTGGCGGCGAGGCGGTCGGTTAGGCGGTTGGAGATGGAGGAGAAGTTGCGGAAGAGGTCGGAGGAGGAGGAGGGGGGTGGGGCGGAGGGGGGGAGGGCGGTGGAGGTTAGCATTGTCATGCGGGTTGTTGCGCGGACTCTGTTGGGTTGGTTAGTTTGGGTTGCCAAAGGGGGGGTGAAATGGGAGAGGGGTAAACAGGAGAAAGACACGAACTTCTGAATATAAGCAACCGCACTAGTATCCGCCCCCGCCTTCCCCAGCGCCTCCACAAACCGATCCATATCCCCCTTCGAAACCTCCTGCTCAGTGCTCAAGAACCAGATAATGAAAACCCTCAACTTATCCAACGGTTCCTTCCCCTTATCCTCATCATTCAGCAACTCCAGCATCTGCGCCTTGGAGGTCTTCGTGATCGTCTCCTCGAGCTGGAAGTAGTTGTCCAGCTGGCGATTCTTTATTCCGTTCAAGAGCGCCGCGAGGATGTTCATGTGGATATCCAACACGGCTTTGCGCTCGCGCAGCTCGGGGAGAAGGGTTATGGCTGCTTTGAGGTGTTGTGCGGAGGCGCTGGTGTCGTTTTGGAGGTCCTCGAGGGAGGAGGCGCCGGTTTTCTTGGTGATTTCCGCGGCATCGTCTTTATACCGCATTAGCTCCGCATCAATATCCTCGGCGACTTGGGGGAATGGCAGGCCGGCGTTTTTGGTCCAGAAGAAGTCGTTGGCCGTAAGGTCGTAGCTGCGCTTCGTGGTGCCCTTGGCGGGGTTCTCCTCATCGATGGGGGACTCGACGGTGATGCGGTTGAGTTTCATGTTTAGCACGTCGTGGACGAGGGATTGGTATGTCCATGAGTGCGAGAGCATGGGGATCAGATCTACGTTCCTGTCTAGGATCAGGAGGACGGGGCGCGAGGATGTGGCGCTGGTGGATGTGGATGGTCGGTTGCCGGAGCTGGAGAAGAGGTTATCTTTCGAGTTTAGGATGTGGTCGCGTAGCTTGCGGTCGAGTTTCGCGGAGATCATCTCAGCTGCTGCGCCTTTGGGACAGCGGATGATGGGGATGACACCTGATATGATTAGCTACATCTTGCGATCCTGGAAATCGGCAAACATACCCATCGTAACAACGACGCTGAAGAGCCCGCTCACAATCCGCTCAATTATATTCTCCAACTGCTGATCCGTCGTCTTCGCGCTATTGAGCGCCCAGTACGTGTGATCCTTTCGCATCCCCAGACTAAACAGATCCGGCTCGCTAACGATGAAATTAAGGTACTGGTCGAAGACCTGGGCGATGTTCTCGGAGGTCCCGGCGTCGGCGGTCTGGGAGGCGAAGTCTTCGAGCAGGGGGCGGGGTATCGAGGAGAGGAAGTTGATGTAGGCGGGGGAGTAGAGGCCGCGGGTTAGGTCGGTGGTGATGGCTTTGAGGTTGTCGGGGGAGGGCTCGACGAGGTAGAGGACGGGGACGTCGGGGATGGGGTTTCGTGCTGATGCGATGTGCCTGGAGAAAGAAGTCAGCTGTGTGTTCTGGGAGTGGATGAGCTCAAGATGTGAGCTGTGAGAGCTCTAAAGTGTGAGCGTACATGTGCATTGTGACCCCCCATGTTCGCAAATCGCTGACCCTCAGCACGCTGCTAATGATATCCCGCCCAAGGTCGTCAAACACCAGGATCTTCCAGATAGGGTTTCCATCCTCATCCAGGATCGGCACGGAGGACGAGGTTATCTCATGGGAGCTGGCGTTCGGGTCGGCATGGCTGGCTGCGGGATCCTGGGCGTGGTTTAAATTGAGGATCTTCTCGATGGAGCCTGTTTGTGTCCCAGTTAGCTGTGGTTCTATTGTATTCGCAGTGGTGTTTGGTGCTTACGGATTTGGCGTTCGCGGAGGGATTGGTGGGTGGTCGCCATTCTTCGGCTGGTGGGTGGTTGATTAAGGAAGGGGGGGAGAGTTGGCGGGAGATGGGCGCATCAGTGTAGCGTGGGGAATGCTCTCATACAATTCTTGCAGTAGATGGCTGGGAGCTTCAATAATGGTAGTATTTGAGAGAATGAAGTTATCGTGAAGATATGGTGAGGTGAGGTGAGTTTCTTGTGCCTTGCCTGTGCCTCCGCGTCTATAATTATTAGAAGTGTCCCGTAGCAGTAGTGTAGTACAGTAGAGCTCTCCCTCCCTCCCACCGCCCACCACCACCAATCACCAACGGCACTCTCCGTCGTCATAGCTTACCTAAGCGAGACGTGGCCAGTGCATCAAGGATCTTCTTTCAATGGACCCAACGTCAAACACCGAAACCTCCTCCTCCTCCTTTCCCATCTCCTCCCTCTCTCTCTCCCTTCATACAATCGTAATAAATTCATCACCTCAAGCAGCGTACGAATACTCAAATTAAAAGGAACGCACGCGCAGTGTTTGCGCTGTTGTCCTGGCTGTACTGACAGGTCGCTGAACAGGCGCTGTAAAGGGGTGTAATACTCCCACGCAGGCGCTGGTCAGGACTGTCGGGTTCAGGGTCAACAGCAGGCGCATCGTTCTTTTTTCGTTGCGCGCGCGAGGAAGGAGTGAACAGGATACAGATACAGGATACAGTTGGTGGACAGAGGACAGTGTATACAAACAGACAGACAGACAAGACAAGCAGCAGTTGCAAAATACACGCGCAGGAACGTGTGTTGCTGCTGCGTGTTGCGCTGTTGTTGTCCCGCCTAAAAGGGTGTTTTTCTGCATTTACGTGCGTTGTCTGTTGTTGTCAGTCTGTTCTGGGGCTTTCCTGGGTTCTTTTACAGCGTCAAATATTGGCTGTACATACAGACAGTACAGTCGATCGCGAGAAGAGAAGCGCGTACAAATTGAGGCAGGAGAGGAGACCGAGGAGATATACCATACCGTACGTACGTACTCTTAATTCGACGTACAGAGAGAGCAGAGCAGAGCGACTTCATTTACAGTACGACATCACGACTATCTCACCTCATTCTGCAGTCCTCATTCTATCCTCATTCTATCCTCATTCTACACATTCTACACTCATTCTACAGTACATCATCCATGACTTTTAGCTGGGGAACAAGACCCGTTTGAACCCGTCCGTTGTTGACGAGTCGACCTTTTCTGGGAATTTACTGGGAACTGCCACCTTGTTCACGGTTCACGGCCCTGTTCTTGCAGCTGATTGGTTCTTTATCGCTTAGTGTCCCTTATCTCCACCGTCTCTGTCCAATACTCTCGCTGCTTTTAACGGCCTAAGAACGGCTCTGAACAACCTCCGCTGCTTTAACCCACCAGCCACCCAACCCAGCGGTCACGGGGTCAAATAACAAAAATAATCCGATAAAGCGGCACCCCCGCACGGTCCATCTAACAAATATGGATCACGTGCAGGATAATAACCCCATGAGAGGCAATGATAACTACTCGCATGAATTGGGTCAACAGATGAATAATTACATCGTCGATCCGTCTTTAATTGACCAAAATCAATGGGTGCAGCAGCAGCAGCCACAGTATGCTGAGGATATTTTCAATCCACAGCAGTACCAGCACCCGCATGCCCACCAGGAGCAGCAGCACCAACTCTCACATCAGCACCCCCAGCAGATCCAGCAGCAGCAGCAACAACAATATATCCAGCCTGCTCAGTCGCAATTTAATTACGTCGCTTCCCAGTCACCCGTGTATCCAAATGCGCAATATCAGGCCGTATATGGCCAGGAGCCTCTGCGCTCAAATAGCAGCCTCGGACAGTATGGGATTCAGTATGGCGCCTACCCGACCACCAGCCAGAGCCCTATACAGCAGATGGCCCAGCAGATGCCGCAACAGGTGCCTCTTCAATCGCACCAGCAGTATGCGCAAAACCAAGGCCAATACTCTTATTCCCCTCAACCTCAGGTGCCTGTAACGATCTCGCCGCATGACCTCGACAGAGCTGTGCAGTACCCTGCACCAGCACCGTCGAGAATTGTCTTGACACCACAGCCACTCCCCAGCAATGCTGCCAGCCAGAATTTCCGCCAGTCGTGGACGTCAGAGCCGGAGTTCCTGGAACAGCCTATTCCTGTCTCGACTCCGGTTCCTCAGTACCACCCTATCCAGCCGGAGATCCAGACTCAGCATGCCCCTATTCGACCTGTGGTTAGCCAACATGCCGCCATCTCACCCGTGCCTGCTTTGCCTTCTATTGCTGCAATCAACCCAGAACCAGTAAACCAACCGTCGCCAGCGAGCCAGCCTTTACCTAGCCAGCCTATTCCCAGTGTTTCGGACGCAGCTCAGAAATACGCTTCCGCACAGCTCAGGGTTACGCACCCAGAGCTGTTGGCTGAGACAAAGGATATTCCATCTCGCAGATTCTCGCAGGCACCTTTTGCGGTTCTTGGTGTAGGCTCGATTGAACTAGACAATAAGTATTCTTGTAAGTTAAAATCAGTAATCAAATGGTGTACTCACCCTCTTTGTGAGAACACCGAACTAATTGTCGTCCGTAGCAAAAGCACTTCCCGTCTGGCAAGGACGCCCTAACAGAAGTGGAAAGGTCCTAGTACCTGGCCTCGAGCATAGTAAGTGCTACCGAACCCCGCCCCCAACTTAGTCTCTTTATACAAGAGCCCATTTTTGACATCCCCCCGTCTAGAACTCTCCGCCATTCCCACAAGCAAACCCAAGAAAATCCGGGCCCCAGGTACAAAGAAGTACGCCAGTGCGAGGAAGTCTAATTTACTCTCGAAGGAGCGACTCGCGCCTTTATCTGCTGCTGCTGCTGCGAATATTCCTGCAGGTGAGATAGCGAGTCTTAGGCCGCCGTCGCAGTCGCAGTCGCCGGAATCGAGTGAGGAGGAGTATACGAGCTCGGAGGATGAGTCGGAGTATTCGGATGAGGAGGAGGAGGAGGTGGGGGATATGAGGACGCTAGACGAGGTAAGGACGTTTTTTTTTGTTGTTGTTTGTTGGTGGGGGTGGTGGTGAACGTTAAGCGTTTATGTTAAGCGTTTATGTTCGAGTCCCGAGACTTGAGTTTCCTTGATGATCAACAGAGTCTTGGGTTTCCTAGGCGATCAACAAAGAACCCTCCACTTCTCCTCCACCCTTTCCTTGTTCTTCTTATCATTGTTATTTTCTATTGTTTATTACTTGTTACTAACAATGGCACAGATTCGTCCCGAGCCGCGTCCAACGGATGTCGCCGAGGCGGCAACCTGGGATGCCCTTGGCATTATTTACAGTCCGCCAGGTCGTCGCGCAACAGCAGATGAGAAGATGAAAGTTGCTATGGGGTTCCATCCCTTCATTGCAGGTCTACGTGAAGAACTAGTACGAGTTACAGGAGAACTTGCCAAAGCGGAAACCGAGAAGCGTGATGCCGATGTCAAGAAGTTGAAAGTTGAGCGAGCTACGAGACAACAAGCTCTTGTTAATGCTTTGAATGTCGCCATCACTAAGGGACATCAAGATCTCAAAGACACGCTGGCTACGCATGACAAGTTCGTTGTTGGATTGACCAATATCCTCAGAAACTGTATCAAAGCAGATGACTACCTGGGCGATCTCGCTCTCGCAGTCTTCCACCTCATGTCCTCCTTCAACAAAATGAGCGAGGCCGTCTTGACTAGATCTAAATTCGATGGCATTGTCAAGAAGTTCAACAAAAACAGACTAGAAAGCAAGAATGTCGATCTCGAGGGAAAGCGGAGACAGGAAGATATTAGGCGCTTTGTGGAGAGTATCATGAAGAGCACGACTGAAGCACAGGATAGGGCTATAATGGCTGCTGCTGAAGACTCTGCGAAGAGAGCTGAAATGAAGGAGCCTATTGCGAGGGGGGAGCATAAACCTACACCTCCTGCGGATACCAAGGCGGGAATACAGGCGGTGTCGAGCTTGAAGAGACCTCACGAGCCTGATAGTGCTAGTAATTCACCAAATAAGAAGGTTGCTGCGGAAGGTGCGAAGGGACTTCCTGCCAAACCATCAGGCAACAAGATCCCCATCAAGGCTACTGGTTTCTTCGCCAAGCTCGGAAAACAAGGTCCGAAAGCCGCGCCAGCCACGACAATACCAGCAGCCAAGCCTGTGGCCAAAAGGCCCGCTCCATCTACAGGACCCTCTGCGCTATCTATGCTTCTTGACGACATCTCAAAGCCGAAAGAAATCCCCAAAGCACCCGCCGCACCCAAGCGCCCTGACGAAACACCCGAGCAGAAAGCCAGGAGAGAGCGCAAGGAGTCTAGACGTCATCTCAGGGTTCACTTCAAAGAGGGGGATAGCCTCACCGAAGTGCGGATTTTCACACACGAGCGATCGGAGGATGAGGGGCGCCAGGGTGAGATGCTGAGGGATGCACATGATGATCGTTCTGAGGGGATGATGCATAAACAGCGCTTCCAGGGCGTGGTGGAGGTGGATGATGAGGAGACTGAAGCTGAGGTGAATAGCAAGCCCTGGCCTGTGTTGAGTGAGGTTGATTTCTCAGCCTTGCCCGAGGGGTATTATGGGAAGGGTTTCACGTCGAGAGGTGGGCCGGTGGAGTTCGAGACGGAGCAACAAAGGATTCAGAGTAAGCGTGAGGATACGGAGTTGATGGTTGTTTACACGGATATTAAAGATATCCCGCATTCACCCAAGGAACCGCCCTTTGAACCTACAACCCCAGGAACAGAGGTACAACTCCGCCAACCGACAAACTTCCCAAAAGTCCAACGTCGACTCCTCGATATCAGACTCTACGGCCCTGAAGCAGCGATGTCACGTCTCTCCCGCAAAGAAGAAGAAGAACGCCTCGGTATCCACAGAGAAATGCAACATAAACGCGCTGCTGAAATCCTCGGGCTGCCGCCAGCTAAAGTTACCGTCCCGGACATGCTCAACGCTATCGGCACAAGCCCCCGTTTTGCCAAGAAATCGGCCCCACAAAAATCAATGGAGCAAATTATCTCAACCCTCGCAGAATTACAAGCTGGTACTACACCGATGTCAGCGCTCTTCCCACCCACCACCACCACCGCCGCTACCCAGCAACTCCAGCAGGCTCAACTCGCCTACCCCACACCGCCTGGCATGGATCCAGCGGATTGGACAAACCTCGCCACCATCTTCGCATCCAAGATCGGTCTCCCCTTCCCCGCTATCGAGGCACCGGAGTGGATGACCCCGGCCTCGAAGAAGATTTATTATGAGACCCTTCTTAAAGACCAGATCGCCAAGGCGGCGAGGGATAAGGCGTTCCTGGATCGGCAGATTGCGGAGGCGCAGCACCATGCGAGGGTTAAGTCTACCACCACTACGCAAGATGAGTTGATGGGGCAGCTGCAGAAGATTATGGGACAGGAACAGGTGTATCAGCCTCCCGCCGCTGCTGCGGCGAAGGATCAGGGAGAGTATGATCCTTCTGACCTCCAGAATATCCTCGCGGGGATGGGGTACCCGCAAAAACAGCAGCAGCAGTTGCCGTGGCCTAGCCAGCCACAAACAACCACCACCGCCGCCGCCACCAACTATGGAGCGCAGCAGACGCAGTATCAAGAACAGCCTGCTTGGCTCGCATACGCTGCTAGTCTGCAACAAGCTGCCCCTGCTCCACCTCCTACCTGGAACACTTCCTCTTCCGCCCAACAGCAGCAGTCTGGTGCGCAGACTTGGGGATCGTCGGGGGGTTATGGACAAGATGGTGCGGAGGGGGGAAAGAAACCGTGGGATAGCGGCGGTAGAGGAGAGGGTGGGGGGAAGTTTAATAAGAATAGGTTGGATCCGGATTATAAGCGCGGGACGAAGCCGTGTCGGTTCTGGCAGGAGGGGAAGTGTGCGAAGGGGGCGAATTGCACTTTTATTCATGAGCAGCAGTAGAGCCTGTTTGTGGAGGGGGGTTTTCTTTTGTGGACTGGGGAGGGAGGGTGTTTGTATAGCGCGGCGTTTGGGCTTGGGCATGAGTGGATGGGTGGTTTGGGGGAGGAAAGGGATGGGGGGTATACTACTGTATTTTGTAACAATAGGGGGTGCATATTGAGGAGGGAGGGGGGTGGTTGTATTATAGCGGAATGGAGAGATTAAGATTTGATTTGTGTGTGTGTGTGTGTGTGATGAAGATGTGTGGTTGAAGTGCTGATAGTGAAGTGAATGCTTTGCTATGGTGATGTTTGGTTTGTGAGAATATTGTTGTGGAATGTTCTGTTAAGTAAAATTCACTGTAATTATTTTACCGTGTTCGAAATTAGAAAATTGTAGAACGAAATAAGTAGATGGTAAATAAAGAAACCAGCAGTATAATGTAATTATAATTCTCTTATTGAATACAAAATACAAAACTACCCATATCTTCCCGAATACATTGTCAAGCTCCTAGATTCGAGGTGAATTTCTCACCACACATATTAAAATAAAATAAAATAATTTGTTTTAAGCTTTTGGATTTTTTGACTCCCAAAATTAGATTTATCATTCTAAGCACCTCTATCCACCCAAGTAGTTATCAATCGCCACAAACAAGGTCCCGAGTAACTCCGAGTCTGAATTACAATATGTGATAAACGAGGCTGAAAGGCTTTGTTTACATCGTATGATAACCCCCCCCCAATCGCTCCTTCCCCAACTCCTCAACCTCTCGCACCTTCCTCTCAATTCACCTCCCTCGCGCCTTCGCTATTCATCACAATTAAATCGTTTACATCCTAACCCCCCAAAATCCCCAAAATGTCCACCCACTGTAACTCCCACCACGCATCTCCCAACTCAGTAACTCACAATCCCCCCCCATCTCCCAAACCCCAACGTCACATCATCACACTCTCAGCCCCTATTATCTCATCCTCTCCCCACCCCACCTCACCCCACGCCTCACCCCATCCACAAACAGCCCACCATGCCCCCCCGCTCCAACGACAGAATACCACCCCCCAGAAACCCCCCCAGTACCTACAACGCCTTCTACACCTCCCTCCCCCCCAGCACCCCCAACCCCTTCTACACCTCCAACAACGCACTCAACACAACCGACCTCCCCCCCCAAACATCCCACTCTGACCGCAACTCCCTCCCACGCCCTAGCTACAGAACAGGACGCGTCGATCCAAATTTCGACGCCGCACGTATCGGACTTGATCTTGGCTCGCAACTCGAAGCGGAGTTACAGGCTGGGAGAGAGGCTGGAAGAGAGGCTGGAAGAGAGCAGATCGAGAGAAATTATAGGGAGGGACTGGATCGGGCGTTTAACGGACGAGAGGAGCAGGTTCAATATCCATTCGGCGGACAGTGGGAGACTCAGTCGCTTTTCGGAGGAGGGGAGCCGGTTCAGCAATCATACGGTGCACAGTGGCAGGCTCAGCAACCGTACGGCGAACAGTGGCAGGCTCAGATGCCATACTTTGGAGAGTGGCAGGATCAGCAACCATACGGCGGACAGTGGCAGGCTCAGCCGCCACACATTGGAGTGTCGCTAGCTCAGCCGCCATACGTTGGAGAGTCGCTGGCCCAGCAGTCCTACGTCGAAGAAACGGTTGCGCCCCCTGCTGCGTATGACAGTGTGCAAGATAGGCAAGGATATCTACTGACTGACCCTGCCGCAGCTGCAGCAGCTGTTACGACTGAGGCTTTAAGTTCCTCAAATCCCCAACCACAGGCGCCACACCAAGGGTCTACAAGGCGGCTGCGCGACTTACCGTTCCACCCTGATAACGTGAGAAAGCGGGAAAAAAAGCAGCTCGTGCGGCCTTGACCACCGAGCCCAAACCAAGCAGACTATCTGCTAGGGCTCGTCCCTTCCAAAGCCTGCGGAAACTGGCCCCAAAAGAAGCAGTGTCACTTCAGGACCTCGACACCGAACAAGACGGAATATATCAGGACCTCGACGCCGAACAAGACGGAATATATCAGGACCTCGACGCCGAACAAGACGGAATATATCAGGACCTCGCCGCCGAACAAGACGGAATATATGACATGGCGCCTCCCTCCTGGAATGTGGTCCCACAAGTGGGAGCGCCGCTCCAGGACCTCCCTGCCGGACAAGTCGGAGGATTTAACATGGTGCCTATCCCTACCCCCCAGGAAGTTGACCTAAACCTCGTAGCGCAGCTCCAAGATCTCACCTACCAACCAGGAGGAATACCTGACATATTACCTGCAGGCTTAACCCAGATGCCGGGCTTGGATCCGAGGTTTCTGCTTGGACCAGATGGACGACCTCCTGTCTTGCCGCCTCCACCCTCGGAACCGCTGCCGGATTTGGCAACGCAGTTTCGGAACGCGTTCGCCCAGTTGGAGGTTGGTAATGCGGCGGCGGCGGCTGCTGGGCCGGTAGAGCCCGTTGTTCCTGCTGCCCCGAAGAAGTTGGTCGTGGTTTGTTGTCTGGCGACGTGGGTAGGGGCGAAGGATACGGAGGATAAGTGGATTGGCATGCCGGCGCAGGGGACGAGGAAGGGGTGGGGGATGGATATGGCGAATCCGCAGGAGAGGGAATGTTGGAAGAAACACATTTGGAAGGGGTTGGAGGTTTTGAAGGAGATGGATGGGGAGGGGGTGTTGATGTTTTCGGGGTAAGTTCTCGTTTTTATATTTCGTCGCCTGACTGGACCATGAAATGTTTCTACATTTGTTTTGCTTGCACAGTTTCTTTGGCTGTGGTATTCTGCTACCTTTATGGTCTTTTTTATGTTTTCATATTTGTTTCATTACTGTCCTGAGATTTACGCTTTGTTTGGTTTTGGCGCTCTACTGTTATACCCCTTTCACTTGTTTATTTTTCCCCCAATCTTAAATTTTATGAATTTTCTGGGCCTGGTTACTCCGTAGAATAGTATCTAACATTATATAGGGGCCCGTGGTACGATAATAGTAGAATCTCAGCGGCAGAATCATACCAGGATTTCGCCAGAGCTTCAAACTACTGGGGCCACCTCAGGGGCGACAAGTACAAAGATTACCCCTCCCGCATCATCACCGAGGACCGTGCTATGGATTCCCTCCAGAACGTCATGTTCTCCCTCATCGAGTTCAATATCCGTTACAAGAACTTCCCTGAGGAAATGACGGTCATCAGCTACGAGCTCAAGCGCGAGCGCTTTGAGAATATTCACTTCAAGACGGCCAAGGAGATTCTGTTCCCGACACCACAGGAAGATATCGATGTCTCGTGGCAGGGAATCCCCACATTTATCGGCATCGACCCGCGAGATCTATCGGATAATTTCGGACCCGAGAAGGGAATCGCTATCGCTGAGCTGGAGACGCAGGTGAGGGATCTCTGGAGGGAGTCGCCGTATGGCCTCTCGCGGGAGTTGATGAGCAGGAAGGAGGAGAGAAATAGGTTGGTGATCGATCTCCATTATCAGCTTGTTTTTGCGGGGGGGGCGGAGCTGGTTGCGGCGCTGGAGAAGAATGCTAAGGCGGCTCCTCCGATTGAGGAGGTTATTGATATGAGTGTGAATTGAGGGTGGGACGTTGGGATGGGTAATGTTCTTGTAAATGGGTTTTGGGGGGCGTTTTGGCACGAGGGTAGCGTTGGAGTTTCACGGTGGGATAGAGGATCATGGTGTTTGTCCTCCAGCGTATTGGATTAAGAAATTGGTAGGCTCGGAAGCTGGGCTGGCCACCGTTCTTGCATTATGGGTTTGTGGGGTTGTTTCTGCATAATGGAGTATTGGAGTTTCACCGCAGGAGATAGGGTTATAGAGCTTGTTGCATAAATTTGAGGGCATTCGAACTCAATCCTTTACTTGTTAAGGCGAGCTACTGTAATTGCTACACCAGACTATAAACATCCAACCCACACAGTCTACAACTTAGTCTCCTCCTGCGCCGCCAGCACCCTAAACCCATGTCTCGGCGCATGCACCCTCACCGTCCCCTTCTGCGTCTTAACCTCAATCACAATCTCCTCGCCATCCAGTCCCACCAACGTCCCGCGATCCTTATGCGTAACCCCCGAATCCGTAGGATGCACAAGCACCTCCTGCCCCGGCTTCAACCCCAACGGATCCCGCTCATCCACCCCCTTCAACCCCTCCGCCCACTCACTCCCCCAAATCTTCTCCGCGGCCTCAAAACCCTTAAGTGCCTTCGCCTTCCCATTCGCCTTCCGCGCAGCTCCTGCCGCGGCATTGAAACGCTCCACCCACGCAAACACCTTAGGAAACGTCTCCTTGCTCGCCACCTCAGCGGGAATAGCGCCGGGCATCCCGAATACCCAGTGCAGCGGCCAGATGGCCTCGAGATCAACGCTCGACACCTGGGGGGTGTTGAGGAGCCACTTGCGTCCGTCGGCGAGGAGTCCGTTCTCCAAAAATGCGATGGCGGCGCGGACTTCGACTAGGGAGTCTGGACGCGCGCGCTCGATGAAGGCGGCGGACCAGGGGCGACCGCTCATGGAGGCGCGATCAGCGGTGAATTTCGGATCCTTGAAGAGTGGCAGGGAAGTAGGAATTAGCAGTGCTGCGCGGCCGAAGAGACCGCCGTCCGTGGTGGACGTGGAGAACAGTGCCGCAAGGGCGCGGTGCTCGGGGGTGGTAGGGGAGAGAGCTGGGTGTGCTGAGGAAGCGGGGAATAGCTCGTCGAGCTTGGAGAGGATGAGGCGCGTGTCGTGGTAGATGTCTCGGCCGATGGCGACGATGGGGATGCGGCGGTAGGAGACGCCGAGGGCGGCGACGTCGGGGCGAGGCATGATGGGTGGCTGGACGCATTCGGAGAAGGGGATGTTGCGGAGGTGGAGGTACCAGACTACGCGGCGGGCGTAGGGGGAGTAGGAGTAGTGGTAGACGATGATATCTCTGGAGGAAGACATGGTTGCGGTTGGGGATGTGGTGTTTGGTTTGGGGATTGAAGATGTTGGAGTGACGTGGTGGTATGAGAGTCAATGCTTGGGGATAGGTCGCTTTATATCAAATCGGAGTCGGGCAGATCAATTGCTCCGCTTGTGGTAAATATCTTGACTTGGATAGTAAGATGTGCAGTTCAAAGAGAGGAGAGATTACTTCAATTGAGAGGATCATTGAGCACTTATCATGTGTTCTTGGAAGTCGGCACGACAATCATCAAAAGTGTGGGGTAGCTAGTGTGGGGTGCCGAGGTCCCCAAAAGCCAAGGAATCTGGATGCATCTCCAACCCACTCTAAAAATAAGCCAATCACGTGCCTTGGATTTACGCCGCCAGATAGATTGATGTTTAAAATTCAACTCAATGAAGAATGATTAGTTTTTGAGATTTCCTCAAGTTAATATTCAATTCTCACTAAACATGAAATCATGATGAGTGCCTTGAGCTACGGGGCGTCGCGAGGGTTAAAATAGAACCCCTCAGTACTTCTCTCCGGTGATCTCCTCCCTTGTCTCAAGCTCCGTCAAGTTCTTGTCTTTGCGCAAATCATCTGGCAACGTACCCAATGCTCTCTCGCCAAACAGAAGATCGATATCCTCGAGCGATACTTGGTTGGTCTCCTTGAAGAAGAAGAAGATGACGGGGAACGTAATGACGACGTTGAACGCAACAAAGACGAAGTAGAACTTGTAGCCCAACTTCTCAAGTCCCAATGGGCTGACCTGCGCGAACAGCGTCGCGACGAGCCAGTTTCCAATACCGGTGGCGAAGGCGTTTCCGCGAGCACGGATCTGCATAGGCATGACTTCGGACATGTACACCCAGGAGATGGGACCGAAGGACCAGGAAAAGATGGCGGAGACCAGGAAGAGGAAGAAGACGCCGGCAATGGAGAGGCTGTGCCTCGAGCCGTCTGTGTTCTGGGAATTGATGGCTCCCTCGCAGATTAGGGCGCAAGTGATACCGATGGTGCCCATGAGGAGAGGCTTGCGACGGCCAACGCGATCGAGGATGAAGACGATGAAGATCAAATCTGAAGATGAAATATTAGTACATAGGTCCATAGGGAAGATCAGAGTAATTGGACAGTGGGGTGGAGATACGTACTTGCTAGTGGACCAACACAGTTGTAGATACCAGAGAGGAGAATTTCCTTGCCGCCTGTGAAGCCTAAAGCCTTGTACATGGGAACTTGATAGTAGCCAATAACATCTAGAGATGTCAGTATGATTTCTCAATGGGTATGATATCCAGAAACTCACTGATTCCACTGAGTTGAGTGAAGACTTGGACCGCAACACCATGGAACAATCTTATCCTCCATTCCTTCACTGTAAACATGACTCTCCAGCCTGGAACCGTGATGGCCTTCTCAGCCGCGATGGTCTGTCTGATCTCGTTAAATTCGCTCTCTATCCACTCGTCTGTAGGTTTTATTAGTAAAGTCGTATGAACTAATGGATCAGACAAAAATAACATACCATTGTGTCCATCGTAGTGGAGCTTCTTCAACACCCTCAAGCCCTCGTCCTCCCTATCGGTGGCGATCAAGTGACGTGGGCTTTCGGGGAAGAAGAACAAGCCGCAGAATAGGATCTACCAACCAGTCAGATCAACATTTGGAACAGAGCGAGGTTAGCAACTTACGATACATGGTACAGCCTGGAAGGCCAAGGGGAATCGCCATTGGAACGCAGATTGATCTCTGTGATGAGCTCCGTATCCCACCCATGTCGAACTACATCAGAATTAGCCTCTCGTCGTGACCATTAACCACCGAGAGTACTCACACAATGAAACCAACACCAATCATTTGCTGGGCCATGCCGACAATCATACCACGAATCTTCGGGTGCGCACACTCAGATTGGTAAACCGGTACACTCATACTGAGCAACCCCACCGCCCACCCAGCCATGATACGGCCAGCAAGCATCATCCCCAAGTTCACAGCCGCAGCTTGGAGAATCGCACCAACCATGCAAATCAGCGCGCCCATCTGAATCGTCATCTTTCTCCCGAAGCGATCCATGGTGAGACCTCCCATCAGCGACCCAAATACGGCGCCACCATTGAAGGTGGAATTGATGGCACCAATAATGGAGGAGGTATCAGTGGTGTTGAAGTACTCGAGGAAATTTGGGGACCCGATAACATCGGTCATGACACCGGCATCGTATCCAAACAGGAAAGAACTGGACGAAGGTTAGCAGCCTCCTCGCGCATTTTCTTACTATCCCCAGTGGTACCAACCCCGTAGCAGCGAAGATCGCGAGCGAGACATTAAATATTTTGCCCATGGCGACGATCTGGCCCAGCTCAGGCGACTACAATATCCAGGCGGGGGGATTCTGAGCGTTCTTCTATTTTGAAGCAAAAGCGCGACTTCAACTTCTTGTCGACAAACACCTCTGACTGCATGGGAAAAAAAGCTGGGCGCGCGACGCTCATTATGAATAGTCGCAGCATCTCGGTCCGATGAGGCTACAAGGGCCATATCCAGAGAAATCTTACCGCGTGGTCCACACGCGCCACGAGATCGCCGCCGGAGTGGTTGTACGCTACCCCTCTCATGTTCCGGTTAAATCTACGGTGAAAGCTCATTCGTTAATAGCACAGGCATGTTGGAGACAAAGGAGCAAAGGAGCAAAGTAACGCTTGACTATTCCGACGAGTTCAGTGGGAATAAACCTACCAGAGCATGTGGAGTGCTCATACGAAACTTCTCCGCAAAGTGTACTTTTTCCAACCTTGGGGATTCTCGGGACGGAGCTTGAAGGGGTGTCCGCCACTCAGAAAATTATCCGTAGTGGCCCTGGACCGGCCTGGGTTTGGACCCGGAGCTGACACTGGCTGTCACTGGACTGACAGCGATAGTCGCCCCACAGCGGAGGGACGTTACCGGACTGGGGTCGGCCAACTTCCCCACCCCCGCAGGTCTTTCTATTGTGGTTTTACGTCGGTTTACGTGGGGAGGCACGGGGAAGCATTGGGGTTGACAATATCCCCACCGGAGCTTGTGCAATGGGGGTTGCCGACTCTAGAACGACCAAGAATATCTCAAGAACATGCCGGACTGCACTAAGGTACAGTAGCATAATGCATAGTATAGTGCGCAGCATAGTGCAATACAGAAATCACCCTCCGAAGCTACTCAAGTCCATACATGGCGTTAACCCTAAAAGGAAGTAACGCACCAGCAATCATACCTCACTAAATGACGCTGTAATATCCATGCCGAACCCCGCAGGAAACCTCACCGTTGATCACTTCTCAACGCGGGGCACAACCTGGTCTCGCGCTGCCAAAGATTAATTTTCACTTTGGACCGCCTCGTGGCAGGCAGAAAATACCGCTGGAATGATCCGAAAGAGCTGATCTCTTTAGCCAACATCGGATGCAGATTTAGATGAGATGATGGGGTTAATGCAGGCGGAGAAAGGCGGTGCCTGACGGATGACGCTGCGAAGAACATGGGCTATAAGATGGAGCTTCGGGAACTGAGTCTTGAGCTCTGAAGCGCATCGTCGATCACTCGCAGTAACATTTACTTGTTCCTCTAAAATCTGCTGGCCTTCGAGCACCCGCCTCAACAATGAAGCTCTCCATTGCGGCAGCCACTGCGCTGCTCTTCGCGATCAGCGAAGCCGCCGCTGATGTCTCCTCCAAGACACCCCTCTACAAGAACCCCAAGGCCAAAGTCGACGACAGAGTGGCTGATCTGCTCAAGCGGATGACAATTGAGGACAAGACATCCCAATTGGTCCAGGGAGACATCCGGAACTGGCTCGACACGGACACCGGTGCCTTCAACAAAACTGGCCTGGAATGGAGCATGGCTACGCGCAGTGGTTCCTTCTATGTCGGTGTTCCAGTTGACCAGCAATGGATCGCAGAGAACATCAAGAAGGCCCAGGACTACCTCGTGCACAACACCACACTCGGGATTCCGTCTTTCACCCAGACCGAGGGTATCCACGGCTTCTTGATTGGGGGCGCTACCATCTTCAACTCCCCAATTGCATACGCCTGTTCCTTCAACCGCGACCTGATTCGCAAGATGGGCAAGGTAATTGCTCAGGAAAGCGCCGCCCTCGGCGTCAACCAGATCTTTGCTCCATTGGCTGATTTGGCCCGCGAGCTGCGTTACGGTAGAGTTGAGGAGACCTTTGGTGAGGATGGATACTTGGCTGGAGAGATTGGCTACGAGTACATCAAGGGTAATAACTCTCATATGCAAACGACGGAATTCTGCTAATATTTTACAGGCATGCAAGGAGAGGGCGTCAGCGCCATGGTCAAGCATTTCGCAGCGTTCGGAACCCCTGAGCAGGGTCTCAACACTGGCCCAGTTCACGGTGGAGAGAGAGAGCTCAGGACCACCTATCTCCCATCGTTCAAGCGCCAAATTATCGATGCTGATGTTTACTCCATCATGACCTCGTATAACTCGTATGATGGTGTCGCCATGGTTGCCAACTACCACGTCTTGACCGAGATCTTGAGAAACGAGTGGGGCTACAAGTACTTCACCATGAGTGATGCGGGTGGAACCGATCGCCTCTGCGACCAGTTCAAGATGTGCAAGACCAACCCTGTGGATATGGAGGCTATTGTCAACTATGTACGTAAACTCTGCTTTGAGAAGAAGTTCCATTCTAACCATCCCAGGCTCTTCCCGCAGGAAACGATGTCGAGATGGGCGGTGGATCTTACAGCTTCACCCAGATTCCCAAGATGGTCAAGTCTGGGAAGCTGGACATCAAGATCGTCGACCAGGCAGTCTCGCGTCTTCTCAAGGCCAAGTTCACCTGCGGCCTTTTCGAGAACCCATACCTCGGTGTCCCAGCAGCGGAAACCCCAAAGCACATACACACCAAGGCGAATGTTGCTCTGGCTCGCCAGATTGATACCGAGTCGATTGTATTGCTTGAGAACCACAACAACATCCTTCCTCTGTCCAAGACAGCTAACATTGCTGTTATCGGACCAATGGGACATGGTTACATGAACGTGAGTTATCATCCAAATATCCACAATTAGAATGCCTTGCTGATAATTTGCAGTACGGCGACTACGTCGTAAACGGCAGCTACCTCACCGGAGTCACCCCCTACGACGGCATCAAAGCCGCCAGCAAAGGATGTAAGTACCCTTTCCCCACCACTCCCCACCCCTTAACAATCGACCCCTTCCTAACACATCCCAGCCACCACCTTCACCCAAGGTTGCGAGCGCTGGTCCTCTGACCAATCTGGTTTCGCCGACGCTGTCGCCGCCGCCACCGCCGCCGATGTCGCTGTCGTAGTCGTCGGCACTTGGTCCCGCGACCAGAACCAGCTCTGGCAAGGCCTCAACGCCACCACCGGTGAGCACGTCGACGTCTCGAACCTCAACCTCGTCGGCGCCATGCCTCACCTCGTCAAGGCCATCATTGACACCGGCAAGCCAACCGTCGTCGTTTTCTCCTCCGGAAAGCCCATTACCGAGGCCTGGATCTCGGAGCAGGCGTCGGCGCTTGTTCAGCAATTCTACCCCTCTGAGGAGGGCGGAAACTCCCTCGCTGACATCCTTTTCGGCAACGAGAACCCATCCGGAAAGCTCTCCGTCGGCTTCCCATACGATGTCGGAACTACCCCCGTCTACTACGATTACCTCAACTCCGGTCGTCCCGTCGATATCGGCAAGGAATACGAGAACGGCACCCTCCAATTCGGCCACCAGTACGTTCTCAACAACCCACTCCCTCTCTACGAATTCGGTTACGGCAAGTCCTACTCCACTTTCGAGTACGGCCCTGTCAAGCTCTCGAAGACGAAGGTGAGCGCCAAGGACACCGTCACTGTCTCCGTGGACGTAACCAACAAGTCCACCCGCGACGGCGCGGAGGTCGTGCAGGTCTACGTTAAGGATCTGATCACCAGCGTCGTGGTGCCGAATATCCAGCTCAAGGGGTTCGAGAAGGTGGTTGTTAAGGCCGGGAAGACTGTTACAGTCAAGATTCCGTTGAACGTGCAGGATTTGGGGCTGTGGGATATTAGGATGAAGTATGTTGTTGAGCCTGGAGACTTCCAGGTGTTGGTGGGCAGCTCGAGCAAGGACCTCAGGGGCACTGCTACGTTTACTGTGTAATGAGCTAGGTAGTCGCGTGCGGGAGGGTGGATGGTTGGAAGGCAATTCCACATAAAGAAGATAGTATAGTAGTAATCGAAGCGCAATGAAGTGCCGTATTAATCGAGCCCATAATCTTATTTCGCGGTACTGTCAACTTGCAAATCTACCACCATATCAACCACTCTCCACCTCATACATCCCATTTATCATCACCACCAACTTACAATCCAACCAAAACCTCAACTTACATCACGGCTCGGATCCACTCCCTCCATATTACTCTCTACCCTCGCTGGGCTAAATAACGGGTAAACCAAACCCAGTCCTCGCAGGGCTGCAAGATAATCCACCATTCATCGCCCGCGTTGTGCATGGGTTGTCGGGTGCGCATCGGTCCGGTAACCGATCACATTTTTTGTCGCAGGTGTCTGGAGATATATTTTCTGCCTATTGGAAATAACGAAGGAAGAGGACTAATATTTAAATTCGTTATCCCTACCATCGCGCTCTTTTCTAATATCCCATTCCCGTTAAATACAACACACCACCCGCCTTCTCAACCCATCATCCTTACTGTAACCTATGCTACCAGAACTCACAACCTACAAACCTCCATGCGCCACCCTCAGCCACAGATCATCAACGACAACGTTTCAAGTTTCATTAGAGCAGACGTCCTCAAAGATAGTACTGCGATATGCACAGTGGAGCAGGAGTCGCAGTAGGTGAGAGAGAACATCGCAGTAAAGAGCTGTTATATATATAATTATACATATAACGGGGTTCTCCTTCCAGCACCAAAACCATTATTGTATATGCTGTAATAAATTTAGTCTGGTTGAAGTTACGCCACCAAGAGGGATACGCCACATTGAGGGATTTGGGGCTTCTAAAATAAGCATATACGAGCCCCTTCAACTTCAAATGACCTTTAATTTCCCATTTCTCTATATATCGCCTGACAGAAGAGTGAGATAGCTATTTACTGTGAAATATATATTTATACCATCGCCACTGTCTCTCCTGCATTATAAAAAAGTTGCCTTGGTGTCGAAATCCTGACCCCTACACTCAAAAATGGACGATAAGAAACGCGAATACTCTCCAAACATGCATCCAGCTGATGCTCGTAATCTTCATAGTCCATCGTCAATCACAAGCAGCCCAATTATCTCCATTCTAGCGTATTGTGCGGCCTCGATTTCCATGACAATTATCAACAAGTTTTGTGTCTCTGGGAAGGACTTCAACCTAAACTTCTTCTTTTTGGCTGTTCAAGTATTTTAGTCTTTGACAATCATTTCAGGCGGATTCTGACAATATAATAGTCTTTGGTGTGCATTGTCGCCATTATTGTATGCAAGTCTACGGGTTTTATAGAGAATCTGGCCAAGTTCGACATCGAAAAGGCGAAGACATGTATGAATTCTGTGTTGGAAGTGAGAATCGTGCAGTAGCTGATAATTACAACAGGGTTCCCAATCTCTCTTCTTCTTGTCAGCATGATTTACACTGGAACGAAGGCGCTCCAATTTCTCTCGGTCCCGGTCTATACGATCTTCAAGAACTTGTCTATCATTGTTATTGCATATGGAGAAGTTCTTTGGTTTGGCGGCAGTGTTACTCCAGCCGCCCTTTCCTCATTCGGTCTTATGGTGCTTAGTTCGGTGGTCGCTGCGTGGGCTGATATCCAGCATACCCTCAACAGTTTTGGTGATGTCAAGGATCCAGCTGCAGCAGCTGCTCTATCATCGCTGAATGCTGGATACATGTGGGTGGGTCTGAATGTGGTATGCAATTCACTGTACCTTCTGTGTATGCGCAAGGTTATTCGAAAGATGAACTTTAAGGACTGGGATAGTAAGTTCCAAAGGAATGCTGACAGTGCATAAGGCTAACTTCGAATAGCAATGTTCTACAACAACCTTCTCACCATCCCAGTGTTGATCATCTGCAGTCTCGTTGTTGAAGACTGGTCAGCGGAGAATATGGCCAAGAACTTCCCAGTCGCGACCCGAAACAGCTTGATGCTTGCCATGTTTTATTCTGGTCTAGGCACCATTTTCATCTCATACGCTTCCGCCTGGTGTATCCGTGTGACCTCTTCGACCACATACTCCATGGTAGGATCCCTCAACAAGCTACCAATCGCTATCTCTGGTCTTATTTTCTTTGATGCACCTGTAACTTTCGGCTCCGTTTCTGCCATCTTCATTGGCTTCGTTTCTGGCATAATCTACACCCGGGCCAAGGTCAGACAATCGGCCGATTCAAAGATGTCTCTCCCAACGTCTCTACCAGCAAAGTCATAGAAACTCATAATGTCCGGTTATTATAGAAGCGCAAGAGCGAGGTGGGCCTTAACTTTCGCTTTCCACCATCCTTTACCGCTTCTCAATAGCTGCCACATGCTAGTCTTGAAGAGAAAGTGGTTTTAGTGGAGAAATAACCATTATATCATAGAGCCGCGGTCTCTAAAAACAGCCTAGATGGTCACCGTATGCAGACTAGCCAGGGTATAAGCAAGCCGAAGGCGTGACGATTGTCATTTTGCAATGAATGTATAAGTAGAAACAGTGCTTGCAGATTGTAGTCTGAAGAGGATACAAAACAAATTATACATTGCTAGGAAAAGCCACCCCTTTGAACCTTTTTGGAAGAGAACAGACGAGATCTCACTGTTATAATTCAATGTTTAACTTTCCCCTTGGGCTCAGATAGATACTGCTCAGACTTTAATTACAATTGTTTAAACACCGTCGTTTCATAACTGGTATATAAACCTACCAATGTTAAGGCGAATATGCGCGTAAAAACATACTCGCTGATGACTGGTAGGAGTTAACTCAATTCATTTGATAATTGATAATCTATAAAGTTGAGCCCCCCACCCCCCCCTTTCCAGCGGCGCGAACATATAATAGCGGGTATTCGCTGGTAGAGCATGTCTTAATTGGAACCCGAACTCTGTTCTAGCCCAACTCTACTATCTAGAGCGCTTTTCACGAGTCTCTCGATATCTCCTCCAGCCTTGCTAGCTTCGGCCTTCAGTTTCTTCTCGCTATCTTTGGGGATGGCTCCTGGGTGACCAAGTAATGCGGTGACAATATTTAGATGTTTATATACTACCGCCATTATTAGAGGCGTCCGGTAAAGGTGGTCCCTCACACTAGCGTCTGCCTTTCTCTGGAGTAACAATGTAACAATATCCAGTCTCCGACTGTGTACTCCAGCCATTAGAGGTGTCTCATAGGCGACTTTTGCTTCAATATCCGCCTTGTTGTCTAGTAGAAATTTAACCATTGCTGCACTGTCAGCCCGTATGGCAGTGATCAGAGGTGTCTCGCCATTGACGCCTTTGGCTTCAATATCTACCTTGTTGTCCAGTAACAATTTAACCATTGCTTCATTCCTATTCCATACCGCAGTGGTTATAGGTACCTGGCGTTTTCCAAACCTAGCCCCAGCATTCGCCTTGTTGTGCAGTAATAATGTAGCCATGTCTATATCGTTATTATTCACCGAAATTATTAGAGGTGTATGAAGGTCGCCATCCCTCGCCTCAACATCCGCCTTGTTGTCAAGTAACAATTTCGCAATTTCCACATCTCCGTTCTTCGCAGCAATGACAAGAGGTGTCCGGCCATTGATATCTATCGCGTTGGCGTCCACATTCAGCTCAAGTAAATTCTTCACCATTTCTCTGTACCCTTTCTCTGTCGCATAGTGCATCGGCCAAGGCGTCTCGCTCGCATCCTTATCAACTGTTAGTTGATTTTTTGTAACGACTTCTGGAGGCTCAGCGAGAATCTCTTCAGGGGTTTTTAATCGGCTAGCCGTTGGTTCCGTGACAGCGAAAGACCCCTTAAACTTGATGAACGGGACGTCAAACGAAGAGAGCAGGTTTCTAAAATATTCAAAGCTTGATGCTTCGGTGCCATCGCTATCGTTCATAAATTTATAGACTGTGCCTGTGTGTACCCGAGCCAATTGTGCCGTTGGTGGCGTCTTTGGCGGATTTCGCATTATTGACAACCTATAAACAGATAAAATGCGGTCTGTCATGGAATTGAGATAACCCATTGAGTCTCCCATTAGGTCTATCAAGTGCTTGGGTAAACCACCATCTGAGAGCCGATTTAAATTGGTCCCCCTAAGGCCAAGGTATGGGATGCGGAGGAAAGCTGCTTGAATTGCTAGATCGCCATTTCTGTCTGCTATCTTCCATATGGTGTGATTTCGGACGTTGTCGTGGGACTGGAAGATGCTGTCATGAGACTCAGACATATGGTAAAACCCTTCGTCTGTGGCTAGAGATGTTTCCATCTCTAGTACGGCTAGATTCAGCTCTAGAAACTGTCGTGTCTTGGTGTCGTTAAACTCGCAATCTACGTCCACAATGCGTTCAAATTTATCCAGCATCGTTTGAGCATCTTGGATAAGCCCGCGAGCGGGATATCTTCCTTCTCTCCTATCGCCTAGTCGGCGAGTGTATACAATTCTGTCACCCCTAGCGATTAGGTGGCGAATGTATGCGGTTGTAATAGACAGACCCGCTATGAGTCCTTCCTCAGTTGAAAATTTGCGCCCATAAGCTGAATAGTCGCGCCCGTTTATTTTAGAGTCTAGCGAGCGAAAAGACTCGCTGCCTCCTTATGAGAGAGTACAGGTAACAGCAACCGGAAGAGCGCCTGTGCGTCCCAGAAGTCAACAGGGTTTCCGCTAAATTGTACACATAGGCCGATGAACCAGAACCACAGTTGATTTTGGGGTTCTTGGAATTCGGTAGACGACGTCCAAGGCGGTTGTGTGTGTTGTGGCTCAACCCAAGTAGAGTTTATGTATGCTAATGTGATAATGTGCAAGTAAACTCGAAGGCTATGGGTCTGTAAAGAAAACGCTAGCATATTTATTTGATTTCAAGGCTACAACAACCGAGAGAAAGCTTACTTCAAGGGCAGAGAGTTTATCTGGCCTTATTGACGTTGCCCCAGCTCGCCATGACGAGGCCTCGTCCAAGGCTTCACGAGGTTTTCCCTCGGTATGGATATTAGCGACGCATTGTAAGAGACATAACGTATTTATTTGGTCTTCTTCGAAACGATATTTCTCGGGCTGTTTGATTTTGTCGCCCAGAAAGCTAGACAAATCGCGGTAGCGGCCTTGCGCGAGCAATGAATCAGCACGCTCCGCGATGATTGCAAAGCAAGTCTCATTTCCCTCGGAGATTTCCAAATACAATTCCTCGGCCTCCTTAAATAGTCCTAATCGACTGTATCGAACGAAGGCGTGAAGTTCATCCTGGAGATCGATAGTAATTTTAAAGCTGAACTTGGAATCCGACGAACCACCGGGATTTGGGGTGGGTGGAGAAATATCCTCAGCCATAGCTTCAAACCCAAAGTTACATGAATTAACTCGTCTTCGAACAATACTTAGTGCTGTAGGCTCAATATAAATCGCATTCACAACAGAAGAGATTATAAAGCATAGGATAAACGACTGAGGTCAGAGATTTGGAATGCTAAGAATATAAATCTACGTTACCTCCGCAGCAAGGCTGCCATCACGTAATGCCAAACAGCAAATGGCCAAGCCCAACACATAATGTCGCATAGTAAATGGAGAAGCAAGACTCATTGGCTAACGCCTACTGCCAATATCTAATTGTGCCCAACGTAAATCTTCTAGTACCCGACGATTATCTTCATGTCACTTCAAAAATACATCTTATGATTGGATTTGCCTGATACTCTTCTGTCGTCGTCGCTATAATTATATGATCTATTACGGCACCTACTATAACATTTGCTACCAACCCTACTGATTCGCCGATCAGGTCTGGGTTGGCTATTGCCTTTCCTACCCCAACAAATTCTGTTGCCCATCTACTTTACCGCCACAGTTACACTAACTGCAGTCATATTGCAGCAAACTTTTACCCTGTCACCATGTTTGATGGAAAGTCTAAGTCGAAGTATTCTGTCAGAGAAGGCGCAGGGGGTGCTACGCTAGGGGCTATAGAGCTCTGGGGTAGTTTCTCTTTTATGTCTCGCTCGCATAACATGATTGAAGATCCGATTTCTAGGTGGGGTCATGATGGAAATGGCAACCAGTTCTGTATCCTCCATTTTGACATACAGATCAGCGAGGGTACGAGAAGCTACATGTTTAGAAGAGCATCCGTTGGCCTCGATTTCGACACAAACGAACAAAACATTCGGATTCAAAGCATTACACCAGAGAGAGAGCAAGTTCGGAGATTAGCAGGCAAAATTACTTAAGGCTACAATATTGAGCCAAATGTAGACTTTGGTGTAGGTGGTGGGGGCCTAGGAAGTTACCACAGAGATGCCGATATCCCCGGGCCGCTCGATTGGAGATTTTTTGGAAATCGGGGAGGGGATTAGGTGGATTGGACGTGGATGTGCGAGAGAAGTTATTCCACGGCCCAGGGAGCGCCGTCACCGCTGGTTGGAGTGGTGATACCGCTTCAAAACCACGAGGTTATTAAGTGCAATGTGTTGATGAAGGTTTCGCCTCGCCACTTCTGGCACAGAATCGGCAACCCAATAATCAACTTTCCCATGGAGTTCATTCCGCCGCCTAGGCCAAACGAGAAAGACATCTCAAACCATATCAGAGATTTTCAAAGAAGTTTTAGAAGGTAAGTACAGGTTTGATTTGATACCACCAGCTATGACTTCTAACCTATGTGCCTCATAGACGAGACCCTAACGAAGGCGACGAACCAGCTCTGGGTGCTTAATAGGTGTGATCGGATTATTGGCTAAGAGGGGGGAGATTTAGGCAGTTGATACAGAATGTGCAGCATGCGTAACAAAATATAGTTTACATATCTCAAATACTTTGTGGAGAACGAACCTCTACTTGCACTGACCACTTACCAACCATTTCTCTTTTCTTGTATAGGGGTCGTGGATATCTCGTAGGAGATGTACTATATACTGTGTATAAGTGCGGCTTGTGGTTTTCGATCTTCTTGGAGAGTTCGTTCTATGCAAGGATAAGTTAGTGGATACATGGTAAAAGTTCATCGAGACCATCGGGTGGTCCGCGGTCGTCCGTGAGTCGATTCATCGCCCGCGTTCACCATGGGTTATCGAGTGCGCGTTGGTCGGGTAACCGATAACTTTTTGGGTCGAGGGATCGGGTTGTAGGTGTATTGAGATTGTGCATTATAAATAATGAGGTGATATGACTAAAATATATATTCTTCCTCCCTACCATTGCGTGAGCTCAATCTATTCTATGCTGATACAGATTTTCCCAACATGGCTACCGCCTTGCATGTACTCATATGCCGCCATGACCTCTTCTGGGCTGAACCCAAAAGTTTTTTCCACAGGAGGCTCCAATCCCTTAGTTACAACAAACTGTACCAATTCTTCCAATAGCTGCTTTGACCCAACGGTAATTCCTCTGACGATACACCCCTTCGAGAGCGCAAGCCCAGCAACATCTGGCATGTCCTCCTGCTTTGCAGCCGCTAGGAAGCCAATAACGGCAATACTGCCTCCCATCTTGATACATTCAATACTTTGCTTGATGGTGCCAGAACCGCCGTTTTCCAAAATATAGTCGACGCCTTCACCTCCAGTGATTTTCTTGACCTCAGCCGCCCAGTCAGGTGTGGACTTGTAGTTGATGATGTGGTCAACTCCATACTTTTTCTGCACGAACTCGAGCTTGTCATCGGAGGATGAAGTGATGATTGTTCGAGCGCCAGCCGCCTTTGCCAACATCAGTCCGGTGAGTGAAACGCCCCCAGTACCTTTCTTTCAGTTAGTATCAAACAAGCACAAACCATGAGAGAAACCACATACCTTGAAATAACACGGCCTGTCCGGGCCTCAAGGGAATATTTCCATAAAGCGCATTCCAAGCCGTAACGCCCGTACAAACCAGCCCTGCCATCTGTGGAAAACTCAAATTCGCCTCATCTGCAATCTTGACCACGGCAGTGGCCGGCAGAGCTGCAAATTCGCGCAAAAATCCATCGACAGGACCTCCGTGCCCATGATTCCAGTTTTTCTGCGGTCCGTACAGGTTCGTCCCGTCGAAACTCGCAATGACGCGATCTCCAACCTTGAAGCCCTCAACACGAGAGCCAACTTCAACTATCTCGCCGGCTGCATCAGAGCAAGGAATTACTTGGGTTTTGACGGGAAATGGGTATTGTCCCTTGGTGATGGCAATGTCCCGGTAGTTGAGAGAGACGGCGCGAATTTTTAGCAGGATTTCGTGGCCTTCGATGGTGGGAATGGGTTCGGAGCTTTGTTTGATGTTTTGATGAGAGCCCTGGGACTGGAGACGAAAGACATTATAGGTTGCCATTTTCAAGAAGAAACGTTGTTATTTGGCGTTGTATTTGATTTAATGAGTAACAAAGAAGAGGAATATGGCTACGAGGATAATGCTACTCTTATACTAATCAATAACTAAGAAAACTATGCTTAATAAGTAGAGAAGTAACTATAAGATTTATAAGATCATGAACTCTGTTGCATCCATAATGACGTATCAAGATACGCGTATTCCTGCCGATTAATGGGCCAATGTCTGAATGAGAAGGAATAAGCACGGGTTATACCTTCTTGTAGAAAAGTGGGACCCAATGCCAAGATTAGGAAATTGCAACCGGTGCTTCAACTTTCCCTAACAAGCTTATCAACCAAGTAAATCGAACAAAGCAAGCGCTGCCACAACCAAGTAATGCAATTGAATTGGAAATTCTAATAATCTAGTTTGTCATGCCTGTCGAGACTCGCAGCTCTGACATCAGGCCTGTTCGAAGGCGCTCACGGCAAGGATGGTAAGGTTTCAATTACCATGAGGTTGGTCTCTCCCTGCTAATGCATTCTGCTCAGCTTAGTCTGCCGGCAACATCGGTCAAAGTGTACGTTACTGGCTGCCCCTGTTGAAATCTGCAAGATATTTGTAACCCAAGCTTATACTTCCCAATTTAGGCGACGAAAAGAGTCCAACATGTGGGAGTTGTAATCGCCTGGGAAGGACTTGCAGGTGGGGTCTAAGGGCATCATTTCACCCATCGAGGGTTTCCCAGCTATCTACTTCGGACTCAAAAACCCTACGAGAGGTAGAATTGGGAAGGCACCATCAAAATTCCTTAACAGTATGTTCGCTTTATTTGTTTTCTATTGCAACTTGCATGTACTATCTCCCCTTGCTTTCTTTTCAAAATAGGGGTCTATCCCTCCAAGGCAACGTTTTCTAACAATAAGTCCCGCAGTTCGTTGACGAGACTGAGGAAATCGAACATGAGTATGATGGGCCAGGTGAAGCTTCAATTCAGCGCCAATCAAGTCGAGGTGCTACAATTGATTCAACGCCAGAAACAGAATATAACCGCCCAAGCGTAACAGAGGAGGGCCATACGGGAATCTCTAGAGCTCAGAATGATCATCATACGGTCCCTATCGGAGATAGTCTCATACAAAGTGATTTAGAGGAGCCTATCAGTGCCAGTCGGCGAACGAGTAGCTACCAAACTCTCCAATATTTACACCCCCACCCACCACCTATATACACAGCGGGGAACAACACATCTGTTGTATCATTTAAAAAGGCGAGGCATGAATATTTTCGAAATATTTTGCCTGAAAAAGTTCTCTACTGGCCAGTCAACGATCATGTCAAAGCACGCTTGCTATCCGCATACTTCCAAAGCGCCTCAAGGTGGTGCGAAGTGACTGATTCCCTCAAGGTTTTCTCTACATTATCAAGCCATTTGATAATTGAATCACCAGCATTTTCAGCGGCGGCGGCGGCGCTTGCTTCGATAATAGTTATGAAGGGAGATGAGTTTTCTGTCTTACTTGCTGATGAACTTTACAGCTTTGCTCGTACGGCACTTCGAGGTTTTAAATCAGAACATCGTGACGGGGGACTCCTTGCTGCAACTCTTCTCTGCATGTATAGTTCGGCTTCAGGGAAGACGCGCGAAGATCACTCTACTCTACTCGAATTGGCAGAGCTCTTACAGGATTATGGTCTACAGGATGCGCCACGTGGTGTGCTATCTGCGTGCTTCTGGGTCTTTGCCAGACAAGGTACAGCATTCTGTCGCTTATACAAGAAAATGCTAATGAATTAATAGATATCTGGGCAAGCTATTTAAGTCGGCGGCCTACACTTATTCCAGTAGAGAGTTGGGAAATACCTCGGTGTCGCCCTGATGTTCCAATTCAAGACAGCTATAGTAAACTAGCGATATGGATCACTGCACGAATCGTCAATGAGCTGTCAAAACAACCTGCTGATATCAATTTAAATACACTGCAAGATCTCTGGGCAGAATTGCAGACGTGGGTGGTTGAGAGGCCACTGAGTGTTCGATGCGTTATGGAACTTGAATCGTTAGGAGATTCGTGTTTCCCAACGATTCTCTTCAGCAGCCCATCAGCTGGTATGAAAGTATCTATTATAGCACGAACATTGCTCCTTGCTAATAAATCAACACAGTCTGCGGGAATTTATACTACCATACTGGATGCATATTGCTTCTTGCGACAGAACAGATTCTGTATCCAACTTCTGCCATGGTATGCCTTTTCCCTTTTCCTGATCTTCGTTAAAATTGTCACTAACGTTTACCTCATGCAGGCCTCCCCCATATGCCATGCCCGCCGTATTGTAGGAATTTCAATGACGAATAATGATCCGTAGGTTTTGACTCCAAAATCTTTGAAGCTCGAAGCTTATTGTGAAAAGCGCGAATTTAGTGAATAACATTCATCCGATCTGTGTGGCTGCACGCCAACTACATGCTGCTGTTGAGAAGATGGCCATTTTGAAGCATCTGAGGGAAATACAAGATTGCACTGAATGGAAGACAGAGAGGCATATACTAGAATTGCAAGAGATTTGGGTATAGTGAACGATACTCTGTCGCCTGCTGAGTTTCTTTGGGCCAAGGTAGTGTCGCTGAAGAGGGTTTGCTACAGTCATGTTACAGTTATTTCTGTCTTCAAGTCTGATACTGTTATTTAATTTGCTTTCATAGTCCCTAGAACGTTGTCGATTGATGTCCGCTTGGGTTTTGCTCGCAATAATACAATAGACGTGCTGTAGACCCCGAGCCCCTTTCCGCGTCGAGGGGGATCTTGAGCTCCCCATCCTCTCAATCACACCTGATTAGTCTAATTTGCATATAGATTTAGAAAAACAAAGTTGAGTTATGCAATGTATATTTGCCAATGGTGTATAATTAACTAATGTGCAATTCCAACATGTGGCGTCGCGCGTATTAACCGTCAGCCTTGTGAGGGGGAACAGAAAGTCGCAATGGCACTTTCAGCCATTGTTTTGATTTTGACATCGAGCCGTATTGTCTGAAACTGTCATAATTTAAGATGAATTGGACATTCCCATTCCTCGTCGCTCTGCTCTTCGGAGTCGCTGCAGCGGAGGTGCCTGCCCTAGGCGAGAGGTCTAACGCCATGCTACTATACGAAGACATTTGATGAGGCCAAGAAGAGAGAGGCCTTCGTTTCTATTTTGTCCCCACTTGCTGCTCGAAAGAGTGCTAGCGCTGAAGACGAAGCGGCGGCTGCTCCAGCGATACCAGGGACGATTCCAATCCACGCCGATTTCATTATGGCAGCAGGCATTGTTAGCGCTAGGAAGAAATTAAACTGGAGTTTCGGCGGTGAAACGGATGCAAAGGCTGTTGTGAAGAGCAAGATCGACAGGAAGGTGTATATCCACCTCCCGATGACAAATGATGGGAAGTCCAAGATCAGGTGGGACGGCCGAGAAGACCCTGTTCTAGAGGAGGGAGACGGTGCGTTTGTAACTGGTGTACAGGCCGGCGATGTGCTTGGCTTTAAGAGCATTAGAGAGGTGGAGGCAGAGGTTATTGTTTTAGACAGCGACTAAGCGGTCCAATTTGTTGCTAATGAACGTTATGGTAGAATAGATGTAGCTAATGAAACTCTTACTACCGTCTTTTAAGACCTGGTTATTACTCAAGTGCTATATGTAGACAAATTCTCTTGACCCCGAACCCCCAACAAGCCTTTATTTGGACGCCGCCATAGCCGCTTCTCGGTCCTTAATAATCTTTGAAATTGCCGGGCGGGCCTTGATGCGCTCCAACCAGGCGTTGAGGGCGGGGAAGTCCGTCGCGAGGTTGATCCTGTCCGCGAAAAGGGGCGCGATGGCATACCACATCACGAAAGAAGCATCGGCGTAGCTGTACTTGCCGCCTACGAGGAACTCCCTGCCCTGCAGTACGCCGTTGAGGACGCCGGAGACGCGACGAATCTCATTAACGTAGCGGTCGACAACACTAGGGAGCTTCTCGGGGTGGTACAGGGTAAACCACACAGCCTGTCCGAAGTAGGGGCCCTGGCCAGATACCTGGTAGTATAGCCACTGCTTGGCTTCGTAGTACTCTTTCGAGCCTGAAGCAAAGTTAAAGTTGTTTTGCTTGTCGTAAGTTTCGACCAAGTATTCAATAATGGCACCCGACTCCCACAGCGTGATGCCCGTATTCGGGTCCTCAATTGAAGGCACACGGCCATTGGGGTTGATTGACTCGTACGCTTCCTTCTTCATGTCTGGGAAATCGATAATTTTGACAGTGTAAGGGACGCTAAGCTCCTCGAGAACCATGGCCACCTTCCAGGCGTTAGAGCCGCTGTCGTGGCCCCAGAGAGTGATCGGCTTGAGAGACATGTTGCTGAAGTGGTGTGGGCGTAGACTTGGCTTGGTAATCAGGAATATTGAATGAAGATGAGAGACTTAATACTTCTGCGATCGAGTCTGATGCACAAGACGATAATTGTATCTCTGGGACAGACATACTGGCCTCATAAGTATCAGAGCTATATGCTATTATAAATCATCAAGTTACAGAAAGCTAGGAAATCAAAATTGTTCTGTCTACGAGGCCTCCCCACTCTGGCGGAACTACAACGATGATTATGAACTTCAGTCTACAAGGCTTCCGCTCCGGCGGAGCTACAATGATGATTATAAAATCAAAAGCGAGGTGGGGAACAAGCTAGCAGTTGGTAGACGGTTTCCGACTGGCGAATACTTTGTTGCTGGTATAACCACTTGTCCGGCTTACTAAGCACTTTCGAAGGCGGGTGAAAGAAATTGCCGGACACTGCACAATTATCCCACTTAGCGAAGTGTCTGGGCATTTCTTTCAACCGCCTTCGTTTCATTCTACGCATTATCTCATCAACACTCAAATAATCAGCTAAGCAACTTTCGATATTTTCAGGGCGGATCTCAAGAGTATCACCCCGATGGAGCTTGCCAGCGAACGCTGATTTGTAATGCTAGAAATTAACCACGTGAGGCTGATTTGTAATGCTAGAAATCAACTTAGGTGATTCAAATAGCCCTATGTCCCCTGTAGTGTCGCCGTGCATCTAGATATAGTTTCTCTTCTCAATCAAAACTATCATGACTGATCTAACTCCTAAATCCGTACTGGTAACAGGAGCAAATGGGTATATTGGCAATGCAACCGCACGGGCTTTCGTGAGAGCAGGATGGACAACCTACGGTCTCGTGCGACAAGAATCACTGCTGCCCTCCCTTAAAGCGGAGGAAATCATCCCCATCCTCGGCTCGCCCGCCGACCAAACATTTATCGCCTCCCTCGACTTGAGCGTCGTCTTCGACGTGATTGTTTCCACAACGGAGGAAATAATGAACTATGTTCCACACTACAATGAGGTCGTCTCCTTGCTCGATGTACTCGCTAAGCGAAATCAAAGCCATGGGAAGAAGAAGCCTCTAGTCCTGTTCACGAGCGGCTGTAAGGATTATGGCATGATGGACGAGATGTCCGATTCGCCCGGCCTGCAACCCCACATAGAAGAGTCGCCCATAGCTCCTCCGCCCTTCGCACTCAATCGCGCCACCCACGCTATCAAGATCTTTGAGCATGCCTGCCTGTTTGATGCCGTTCTGTTGCGTCCCACAAACGTGTATGGGCTTGCCTCGTCGTATTATGGGGATTTCTTGCGGCTGGCGAAAGAAGGTAAGGAGAGGGGCGTGCTGGAATTCAGTGAGAACCCGAAGACTATCTTGCATGCCTTGCACGTAGATGATTGCGGGGAGGCGTATGTGGCGCTCGCAGAGTTTCCGCACAGGGAGAAACTCAACGGACAGTGCTTTAACATCTCCAGTTATAGATTTGAGACGCTAGAGGAGATTGCACAAGCGTTAGTGCGTGAATATAACATTCAGAATGGGGTCAAGTGGTTGCCGGTTCCGCAGGGTCGTGCCGATGTTGATTTCGCTAGGCGTATGTTGAAGAGTTTCCTTCCTACATAATAATGAAACACGGCTAAAAAGTCCCTATAGGCTTAATTGGATTCTCACAGTGGACTGGGAGCGACAAGTTGAGAGAATTGACTGGGTGGAAGGATCGCCGGGTTCTGTTTTCAAAGGGGTTGAAACAGTACAGGCTTGCGTACGAGGCTGCAATTACAAGACCAGAATCCAGAAGATGATGGAAATTAGCAAATGAGGACAAAGACTGCGTTGCTGAAAAGTCGTATATTTCTTAGCCATGGCAATAGATGCGTCCCTCGAGTCATCTTATTCCTTTAAGTCGTTTTATTCGACCTCCTGGTACTCATTATTTAGCCAACTCCTCTCCTATACATCAAGCTGAGATTTCTGTGAAATGGAACGGTTCCAAAGTTGGCTTTTAGAAAATCTAGGCTTCTATAATTAGTCTAATTCTACTAGAATTAAAAGGTACATACTATTTGAAACTCAATACTGTAATATGATCACAACAGCCAATTATATCTAGAATGATGGCCATTAGCTCTAGGATTGATTGGTCTAGTGGCTAGTAACAGTTGCACTCAAGGTATTAGGTGCGGCTCGGAATTTCCCTGTTTCTACCTTACTCAAACTTTCCTGAGGCACTGTCCAGTACTCAGACAGTGTCCTGTGCCTGGGTAGTTTCCCCCTACCAAATCTTTGAGTTGTGTGGCCCTAGTTTCCAAGTATTTCAGACTCTCATCCATGAATTTGATGCGTGGGATGACGCATTGGACCTTTAAAAGAGATTTCTTCACCATTTTCCTTTTTGATGGGTCAACGAACCTGGGGAACAGAAGCTTTTCAAGCATGGCTTGAAGTGTGAACTTCCTATCGCACTTGCTAACACCAGGGGCACTGCGCTGCAAAGCCGCGATTGTGTAGAGATAAATGTCTCCGCGCTCTGAAGGGTGATAAAGCTCTATATAAATTTGACGTGCTTCAGATACCGTTTTACCTCTTAGTTTATCAGCTTCGGTGGGAGAGAGTATGACGCTAAGAGATACTACCTCATCGCACCTGAGTTCTAAATCTGCGTCCATTCTTAAAATCCTTTTAAGATCTAGTCTACTCTCCTATTCCATCTATTTACCTAGCGCATGGCCTTCTGCAGAAGCGTACGGGCCCAAAACTGCGTTTCCTTTTCAATGGAAGCTTTGATTGTATTCTCTCACTCTCATCCATGTCCTTCCCCCTTATATATCACAACTTCAACGTCCTTACCCTGCTCCTTCATGGTCTGTTGCATCTCCTTCGTCTGACTCTCTGGCACCACCGTGTCCTGGTCACCCTGTAAAAGCAGGAGCGGAGCTCTGATTTTATCGACATTATAACACGCACTTCTACTCCTGTATACAGGCCCCACGTCCTCCATTGTCTACTAGAGGCTGCAGTATCTCTGCAGGTTGTGGCCGTGATCGGTAATGAAAGATCACTTAGGTGCTCAAGTTAAAACAGGAAAGCACCGCATAATAATGGGCTTCTATTAGACGAAAGACAGGTATCCTACATACTATGAGAACTTCGGATTGCTAAGAACAGCCCATACACTTAATACTGCAGAAAACTTCATTCTCTTAGTTTTACTAGTAAGCCCAGCTTATTGGTAACCGAGTGCAAGACATCACTCCATGGATGGAATCCATCAAAGTTCTAGCGAGTCCACATCAACCTCTCTCGGTCGCCTAATTCGTCATAAGTTCCTCATACTCAGTCATGTTATTGATCCCTTTTGGCATTCCATTTGGCTGAAGGCCATGCTCGTCCATGAGCTTGTCTCTAGTAGTCATTACCTTCTTCCACGAGTCGCGACCCAGCATACGGTTGTGCCATATTTGAACGTTAGGATACTGCTTCAATGTATCTTCTCCTGGGGGGGTGAGGAGCGTGGCACCAAGACGGGCGTTCCAAGGTAGAAATGCGAGGTCAGCAAAGGTGCATTTGTCACCGACTAGCCAGATCTTGCCCTGAAGAGCATTGTTGAGAACTCCGAGGATGCTATGAACCTCTTTTGTGTAGCGCTCGATAGCAGAGGGGAGCTTTTCCTGATGGAGGACGTTAAACCTAGAAGGTATCTTAGTTTTGACTGATATGGATTTGTATGGAGGACTTACCATCCACACTGTCCAAAGTAAGGGCCTTGGCCACTTGTTTGGAAGTGATGCCACTGGTTAAGCAGATACTTCTCGTTGAGCGAGTCATAAGTCAGCTTCCTCTCCTTGTCGTACACCTCTTCCAGGTACTGGATTATAGCTCCAGACTCTCACAGGATTAGGCTAGTATTGGGGTCCTCGATAGCTAAGTAATCAGTAAACAATAATGCCACGAGAGCTCGATCAGACAGTCTTGTCGCGTACCAGGCACTCGTCCGTTTGGGTTAATGTTAATGAAAGGCGGCTTCTTGACGTCGTCGAACTTAAAAGAGTTGATGATATAGGGAATGCCAAGTTCCTCGAGGATTACTACTACCTAGAGCTTTTATTCCTGAACGTAGGTGACCCGAGCACCCCCCCAACCTGAGCTGACCCACCCCACTTTCGGAAAATGTTCGGCTGACCCCCCTACAAATAAATCCTCAACTTCTGACCTTCCACCTTCTGTTAACAACACCACTAAGTCTACCACCACCCACCACCGCCACTACAATGGCGCCCATAAAGCTTGACGATCTACAATAGCGCCTATGAAGCTTGACGATAACGTATGAATACATTCCTAATGGATTAATAATTCTACTAACAGCTATAATAGGCGGCCTATAAGGCCTATAAACTCCTTACTAAACGCCTGCTTAGAATGAAGCCTTTTAGTAAAGATGTAAGTTTAATTCTAGCTTAACTTCACTTTTAACTTTATGTTAGGTTTAATACACTCCTAATACATTAATAATGTATTAGGATAATAGGCTCCTTATTATTAGATCTAGAGAGCTCTTTCACATCGTAAGACCTACATAATAGATAACAACAATATGTTAGATATTTGTTATCTATGATATCTTTAATATCCTTTAGCATAATACTACTATATAAGTAGATAGTTAGTTCTTAGATAGGAGCTTTATGCTTAACTTAATATAGTATTTGTTATATACTAGTAACGTGTTTTACAAAAGCCTTTATGTCTAATCCCCTGCCTCCTCTATTAAAAGGGCTCTCCGCCGGCGCCGCGGCTGGGATAGGCGTAGGCGCTACACTCGGCGTTTTGATATTCCTAGCTATTGCCGGTTTCTTCTGGCGGAGAGAGCGGAAAAGATCTTTTGGACCAGAGACGAGCGCGCCTGAAAGTTCTCTGTCTTTGGAAACTGAGGAATCTCAGAGTAAGAAGAGGGCTTCTGAGTTAGAAGGGACGGGGGAGATACCTGCTAAGTTGGAGGAAACCTCAAGTGCTGAGCTAGCTTAATGACCGAGGAGTAGAGCTGGGCCTCTATGACAAGAACAAGACAATGGGTTTCAGGTAGTTTATTAATTTTTAATAATATATATATTCCAGCCCAATAGTGAACAATACTCGCTCATGAGCTCGCCGGCCTAATAAGAAAGAAGAGTAATAAATTGATCTATATAGCTACGTAATATTGCCTACTGTGTCTGCCCGTTTGTTTCCGACAAGGCCTCTCAACTAAGGCTATTTCCGTACGAATATGTAGACCTGATAAATAGCCATAGTCATGATTATCATTACGATAGTGTGCGCTACACTCCTTTGCTTTCTTATATCACAGGCTTCAACCGTAAAACCCGACGATGAATTCCGGAAATGACTCAAAACGCTATGATCGTGGGCGGTAACAGCTAGAAAAGGGGATGAGCATCTCTTTGACGGGAAGGGAAATTATGATACGACAAAGGCGGCGACATTTGACTTGATCGACCGGAAAGGGACAATTCCTTAAAAGCTAGCCGTCGGGCAATAGAACTTACGGAGAATCGGAATGATGGGGAATTCTTGGAATGAACTGCTTATATGATATTATTTATGATATTATTTATACATCCCCAAAGTATTTTTAGCGAATCTCCTCCATAGCCAGTTCTTTAGGCATCGGGTCTACAAACCTACCGACTTCTTCTGTACAAAATAAGTTTTGCGGATTGACATGCGATGCTGTAGTATACTCCTAGTAGACCGGATACCAGCTAGCGGTCTCTTAATTAATGATTCCAACCACCTCATCTCTGCGTGCGAGAATGTTCAAGCTGCTCAGGTCACCGTGTGTAAAGATAGGTACAGGAAAAGGGCTATCTTGTCAGGCTATGAGCGAGCTAACATCACCAGGGTTGTCCACATGGGCTTCCAGTCCTCCTCGTAGGTGCTTGTGAAAATCCTGAATATCTTTGAAAGGTCCAAATTGCATCGGGCCGTAGATTCTAGAGTCGTATAGTATTCCACCATCGACATTACAAACCGCCAAGTTTGGAGGAGCTATCTTGCGCATGTCGGCGACCATTACTTTAAGTTGAGATAGTATCTTTGCCTTAGACTCATGTGCTCGAGACGTCCATCCACGCCCTATCATATCTCCATGAATCCTCTCCATAACGATATATGTCCAGCCTTTGCGCGTGAAAGAGCAGATAATCCTCGGCACCGGAATAGATGTATGCTGACGAATGAACTGCATGGTAGACGCTTCCGAAAGGTTCTTTAGAGGACCGTATTTGACACAAATCTTGTCAGTGAGGAAAAGAATACCGCCATTGCGCGGACGGAAATGCTTGAGAAGCTTGATTGAGGCGAGAATGAGGAAGCGGTTGAGGTATGTGTCGTTGATTGGTTTTGACTCTGATGGTACTATTGTATGTAGGGGGTACACGCGTCTCATTGCTCTGTTCATCGTCTATGGTTTTCGCATTTGACATGTCACAGATAGTTCCCTTGCCTAGGGTATTTAACCCGGGCCCCTATCTTGAACAGCACTAAGTATTGCGAGTCAGAAAGTTGACGGATTTAGAGGTGTTTGCGACGTCAAGGCGGCTAATATCTGAGGAATCACGTGGAAACAGACAGTTCTTCCAGACTCGATGTCACTCGCGATAGCTTTACAAACTAAGCAATGTAATACCGTAACTATTCCTAATAATTACTATTCCCAGACAAAATCTGCGTGACAGAATGAAGTAAATTAAATGGCCATTGATGGCAATCCGATTGAACCTTCCCGCACGTGATACTGGTCGCGACACCTTGCACGGTACCCTGCCACAACCCACTTCCCCATCCACCCCCCCCAACCATTAACCCCCTACCCCCTACTCTCACCCCCCCTTCTCCCCCCCCCCCCATCCACACATGATGCCGCACACGCGGCCCCTAACATCGGCATCTCCCCCCATCCCTCGGCTCGCACCTCCAGCACCGGCGCTCGGCGCTTCTCGGGCGGCAAGGGGCGGTAGATTGGGGCCGAGGTGAGTTGGGCGTGGGGGTTGCACGTGTTGTGTTGCACATGTTTAGGCCAGGACGTGGGGGGATGGGGGGGTGAGGATGGCATGTGGGTGGGTGACCTTGGTGGATGATTGGGGTGTGTGTGATGGCAGAAGAAAAGTGTTGCTGTCTGGACTAAAGTAGAGGTGTGAGTCAAGAGGGTTATTCGTTGTGATACTGATTTGAATCCCCCAAGTCGGGAGACTGCAGTCCCTCTCACATTTCAATTTGCAAACACACAAAGAAGGAGAGAGCGTCTCATCGATATTCCATCTCCATTGATTAAAACCGCACAGCAGTCCTCCTGTCCGTCTAAAAAAAGTAATAATATACACAAACCCCCTTCCCCATCCCAGATAAAAATATGTATTCCCCCCACCAGGCATGATAGCCCCTTTCCTCTCAAACAAAGAAAAAAAACTCTCAAGAGATTGATTGAGTGAATGAATGAACGAAGGCTCGATAAAAACGCCTGCACACGAAAAAGCAATGCCCAATTTTTTGTTTCCCCCGCCGTTTTGCCGTCCGTTCCCGCTGATTGAGTCCCAGATGATATGAAATGCCGATGATGATATTAGACGCTATTCGCTTTCCGAAAATGATGTTGTATCCTCCCCATCCCCTATGCCGTTCCCCATCCTCTCAATGTGAAAGGGATGTGGTATGTCTACCAACTGACGGGACTAGGCGGCGGCGCAGGCGGTGCGTGCCATTCCCCCTCGCGAGTCTTGTAATCCGCTGTCGGTGTGTGGGTATCCAGGCGCTGGGTGACGTCTGTGAGAAGGCTGAGGCCGCGGCGGGGGGTGGGGTGTGCGAGGGAGGTGGGTTGGGGTTGTTGGGGGAAGGGGGAGGAGCGGGCGGTGTGTGTTTGTGGCATTTTGATGGTTGTGGTGGTGGAGAGACTGTGGAGGGTGTTAGTTGGAAGAGTTAGATGAGGGGATTGGGGTAGACGTACGATTTGGCTGGGCCGGTGGAGATGGGTTGGCTCCTGGTGTTTGGTGTTGCCGGTGAGGTAGAGTTGTGATAACTGGTCTAGCTGGTGATATGAAGCTGGTGATTCTTGTTCAACAACGTGTAGTATATTAAGTCGTAGTATTCTTTGACAAAGATCAAAACAAATAGGAGGAAATCTCAGTATATTTGTATGATAGCGATCGTAGGTATTTATTATTCCAGAAAGAAAAAAAGTCAGAAACTCCCAAGACCCGGGCACACCACCCATTTTATCATAACCCAACCCAACTAACCCACCACCCCACCCAGCACCGAGCACACACACGCACCCCCTCCCCTTCCCTCCCTCATTTTCTACTGTACTGTACGGTACTGTATTACTCCTGTTATGTACCTCCCGCACAGGGCGCCGCACCAGCGCACGCATCCATCCGTCGGCCGCATCGGACAACAAAGCGCGGCGGGCGGACGACGTCGCTGGTTCGGAAGGCTAGAAGCAGGCTCCCATGGCTGCTGGGCTGGACGTGGCAAGGTAGGCCAGGACACCCCTGCCGCTGGGCGCCGGCGTTACTATAGGTTTGTGGGGATGGGACTTGGCGAGGTACGGGGTACGGTGTTGTACTGGATTGGAAGTGGACTGGTTGGTGGTGGTAGTAGGGTACTGGAATTGGCGGTAGAGTACTACAATATACCCGTCTTGGAGTACCTGGGGGAGTAATACTTACCCGTGGTCTGGAAACGGGGCGAGACATAACTATACGATAGGACGGTAGGGAAAGTACAACTATGACCGATAGACCAAGCCCAACGGCTGGCTGGGCTGGCTGGACTGGGGATGATCTCCATCTCCGACTCTTTCGGGGAGAGGGATGTTCGTTGCCCCGGTGGTTAGACGGAGGAGTGAGGTGAGTGGTTTTGGCTGGGAACGGAAGAGGTCCGGCGGTATGTGTCGTGTCGTCTCATATGGGGACATGGGTGGTTTTGTGTATTGTATGATGCTGTGCGCCTGGCCGGATGTGTGAGAGGAGGGAGGTATGTATAGTAACTGTGCAGTATGTATGAACGTACATTACTATATGTACGAGCGTACTGTTTAATAGGATATGTATGCACGATAGATATGTGCAGCACGAACGACGCATGTACACCGCGATCACAAGCACTGCGGCAGAGTACATAATCTTTCTTAGACAAAAAAACAACAACACAGCAACGGCAGGACAACGAGACATTTCCATCTTGCAATTCCAAAGTCAAAAGGGGGACAACCACAAAAAAAAACGAGTCCAGTGGGGCGCCGGGGGATCTCCTCCCTAGCTTCAACCAGCAGTCCGGTAATTTGGAGCAAAAAAGGCGTTTGCGTCTCCACCCCAACCCACACAACCACCCACACTTCCAACCCACATCTGGCCCCTTTGGGAAGGAAGCTGGGGGAGGGAGGGAGGGAAGGAAACAGATGGAGCGCTATGGAGTTTGTGTGGAGTTTGGGTATGGGAGATGCGACGATGGGGCCGGCTGGTGCGAGATTTGAGGTCTTTTTGCTTCTATGGGGTTGCTGTTTCGGGATGGTGGGAACGATGTCCCGTGCTGTCAATCTCCGGTTTGATGGGTGGAGGGTAAAAGGCCGGGAGAAACTAGGGAGGAAGAGGAAGCCGAGGTTGGATTGGGGGGGGGATGGTAATCTCCTTCTTGCCGTGGGTGAGTCTGTGGTTTGTGATCTGTTTACTTCGTGCATTCTTACAGTGCTCTGCTATATGTCTAAAGTGCAGAGGATATGGCTGTTATGGCTGTGTGGCTGTTGACTGTATGGTTGCTGAGACCGTTGAACTTCAATCGCAGGAAATTCAACCACACCAAAAAGTAACAGATCAGACCAAACATCGGATCCCACATACCGGATCCCATCCCGTGTGAAATTGCCATCATAAACACAGTGTAAAACACCACTGTAAAGTACATTACAAAACCACTAAAATGAGCGGGGGATAGCGCAGGCGACGTGCATGAGCAGCTAGGAAGAAACCAGGATAAAGCTGCTGCACCCCAGACTCTGCCACGCTTCATTTATCCCGACCCCCCGTTTCATCCACTTCGTCTTCCACTTTTACCGTACGCATACGCACTCTACGGAGTTATTATAGGCATTTAGGCATGTACGGTCGTGCGTCCAGTATGTAACTTACAAAGTTGCCGTTATTACTTGCCTCATACTGGAATTGCGTGGCCGGGTTGGAGGCCTGTTGTGCGTGCTGGACATTACGTTGCATAGCTGCATCGTTCCTTCCCGTAACTTCCAGATGTATGAAACTTATTTGCCACCGCATAGACAGGGCTGGCTGGTCTAGCTAGTATGGCTGTGCTTATTATTTCCGACTCACATCCATCATCCCAATCACTATCCGGCGGGCAATCACGTCCAAGCAGCACCTCCAATCATCCTTCCCATCACTCTATACTATACCCGTCGACGTCTTCACACCGCCGGCACTCCCGAATCGGAGACGTGGCACCTTCCCAGCTCTCCCTCGCTCCTCGGCCACTTACGACACAGAACTTACGACACAGACAGCCAAAATACCTTTCCTGTGTCTGTCCGGTCTGACAAGCGGCTACTCCTCCTGCTGGTTTGGTACTCGCTCGCAGCAGCTGCAGTGTGATACGATCGGAACACGAAAGACATCGTCGGGTCTGCGCATCCCATCGTGCTCTAGGCCCTATGCACTGCCAATCACTGCCCTACCACCACGCACACCGGATGCATGCTGGATCTGACAGGTCGTCTGTTTCGTATCGTGCTGTGCGGAGTGTGTGTGTGTGTGTGTGTGTGTTCTCCTATTCCTGGATTATGCTTCACCGTCGCTCATTCACTGGGGCGCACTTGGCGTGGGGGATGGTGCAGCCACAACTGTGTATCGGGATTTCCATTCTTGTCCCCGGTCGTATGAGAGTGCAGTATCTGTATCAGACAAAACAGTTTCCTGTAATGGTGAGGTGACCAGTACCGTGCATACCAAACAGTACTGGAGTATGAATTCCGGAGTACAACTAATACCTGAGTACATACACCCACCCACCCCACCGTTCCGAAAGCCCTTAGAATTTGTTTTCAGAAATTTAAAATTCCAAAACTCCGGGGAAACCGGGGAAGCTGGCTTAGCTTCCGCTCTCTGGAACATCCACACCCACACATACGCGGACTCACACAGAGAGGGAGGATCGGAGATCAAAGCAAAAAGCAAATATACCCACTCACCGCATAATGTATATCTCCGTCTCCACTCACTCTGTCACTTCCCACAGAATTCGAACATGCAACATCCCCTTTCCCTTCACCCTGCCTGCCCTGCCCTGCCCATTGCCGAACAGACCGACCGTGCAAGATTCGAATATATGTATGCCTGTAAGTGGGATCATAACGTCGCGACCCGACCCTCCCGGTCCTCTCTCCACTTCAATCATGCAAAATGCCCAACCATCCCGCGCGAAGAATTAACACACGCCGAAAAAAACCGCCGTCCGTCCAGCATTCGTCTGTCCATAATACCCACTCCCTCATCATCTCGTCTCCAAACACACCTCCTACCTCACCGACTTACAACTCCAAAACCACACACGTGTCTCGATCCCCCCCCCCCCAACTCCCCCCTTTACCTCCACGCCCCCACATCCCGCGGGCCGCACCTTCTCACATACCCCCCACTGACTCGTAACACACGCACTGCGAAGTTCATGCTGTGAAGGTCTGGGGTGTGGTAATTCTCAACAATTCCATAATGACCCCCAGAATCCACATATACCTCCGAGACAGGAGGTTATAATATCACACCACTTTTTCGAGAGGTCTGAGTGAGGAGGGAGGCGTGAGTGAGTCCATATCGGACTGATCTAGTGTACGACATATGTCTACGATCACGTCCATCTCGACTGGTCTTTTTAGGCCCGATCGTTGGGCCCTGAGACCCGAGGACTCGGTTATGGGGATGGCTGGGCGAGACTGGACTGGACCGGGTGGAGAAAGGGGGGGGAGGGAGAGGTTTTTGGAATATCCTGTGGACCATCACATCACCGGCTATTTACTTGCCTACAGTGATGCGGTGTTTATTTTGGATGCCGAGGATAAGAAGTGAGCATACATGTGAGTGCCGTATTTGTAGGGCGACTATAACTATGCCATTTTCTCGACAGAACGAGGTGAGGCGTTTGAAACACCCCCAACCTCTCGGCGAAATCCTCCCCCCCCAAAAGTCGTGCCCTCCCCCTCGGCGAAATATAATTCCCACCCCTCCATCCCTCTCGCCGTCGGCGAAATATAACAACCACCAAAGAGTCCCAGTGATCTGGATACACCTCTCACAACCCCTTCCCCCCTTACCTCACCACCTCACCACAAGCACTTTCATAGCCGCCTTCCCCCGGCCCATCCTCGCACAACAGCTAAACTGCCGAGACATCAAGCTGCTGTACGCGCGCACGGCAGCGGGGGGAGAAGCGCCGGACGCTGTGCTTGTGTTTGTGTTGCTGGAGGTGGTGTAGGGGAGGATGGTGGTACGCCGATGATGCGGGATCCCGGGAGGGACAGAAGATCGAGGGTGCGTGTAGGTTGTGTGGGAGGATGGGGGGGGGGGGGGGAAGGAGGGTGCGTCCGCGCTGGGGAAAAAGGGGGTTGTGAGGATGAGGGGATCTAGGTGCGGATAGGGTTAAAATTTTGAAGCTTCCGAATATCCAAGTAATGAGCCTCTACATCTCCTTCCAATTGAGGGATCAAACCGCACCATCATATAATTAACAGTTTCCGCACCTCAAAAGACGGAAGTGCGACAGACGAATCCCAAAGATGAACTCCCCGCCACACCCATTCTCGGCCATCATTCGATCCACAGACTGCTACCAGTGGAGCCGCCGGGTTGTCTTCATAAACTAACGGAAGCGGCTTCACTTGAAGATTCTGACGTTCAGGTGTTGTTAGAGGTCGAAGAAGCACTCCCCACTGGAAGCCAGATAAGAAAGTAGAAGATATATGCTGCAGTTCAATCATCGTGGCATCATCTGAAGTCCGGAAGAATCCTGTATTCCCGAGTTTCAAACCCATTCTTGTCAGGAGATTCAATTGATGAACGCCCTTCATCCTCAGGTCCACTTTGGCAGTATTGAAAGGGCGGTTGAGGATATCGAGGGAATCTAATGGATGGTACCAGCTTTCGTCATCTTCAGCGTCCTTGAGATCGCCGCGAGCCAATTCTGGTCGAGATACCACTGTAGATTCATCATGTTGAGCATCTCCGCCACCTTGCCCCACAAAGAAGCACGACGACCATTCTGCTACAAGACCACTGTGCCGTATCCAAGATTTCTCAGCCTCATCCCCAATACTAACATAAGGATAGTATCTTCTAGATCCGTTCCTCGACTCGACTTTATCAGGAACAGGTGAGCATGGAGCCCAGCTCATTCTTCTCACCCCCTGGATTCTCGGAGCGCTCGAAACAAGGTAACATGTAGAAACATTGCCCTGGCTTCTCCATAACTGCTCTGCTGATTTATAAGCAGAGTCTTTAATTCCGCGAGTAGAATTGGGGTTGCTTTTGCTGAGACTAGAAGGTTGCGGGTTGGAAGCCTGGCCTCCATCGGAAAACAACAAAGACCAAATAGCCAAATTGTCTGAGGGTCGTGACGCAGGGCGGCGGCTCAAGACTGAACCGGCTTCCTCAACGCCGTGAAGATACATCATTGCATTTCTGTAATGCACAAGGTCTTTGGGAAGCGGGAGCAAATGCCCTGCCGAAAGATAGAGGTTGGCAAGTTCAAAGTTCCCGCTGTCAACGAGACACACCAACAGATCCTTCAGAGAAAACACTTCGCTGTCTTTGAACAGCAAATACAGTGCGTCTTTGCCTCGTATTGCTTCCAAGAATGTCCAGCCACGAACATTCCAATCGCACACAAGCAGAGCAATTAGAACACCTTCAACCAGTCTAACAGCTGCGTCTGAATTGAGCGCTTTTCTCAGGATAGATATGTCGATTCCCATGAGATCCCGATCACATATCAAGGTGGCTTTGCTTTCCATAAAGATATAATTGATGTTTGCAATTGCTTTCTTCCGAAGAACTGTCTCCGTCGGTATGCATGGCGTATCCATCCAGTAGGAGTCGCAGCCAAGTGTTTCGGCAACTTTCACATATCGATCATGCAAGCAAGTGTTGAACCCATCTTCGGGTCTTCCTCCCTGACCATGGCTCCAAACATGCGAAATTGAGAGTGTTTTGTCGCTTAAGTTGGTATACTTTAGTTGGGTGATAGTAGTCTCTCTAATGCTGACAACTGGAGTCTCGAAAGCACAGTAAGATCCTTCATCCCAAGTCAACTTCTTGCAGTCCTTGGAAATGCACTCGTGGGCGGATTGTTTAATGACTTTTGTACCCACGAACCTTCCACAGCTCTCGAAGCTCTTTCCGTCACAGACTTGCTGGGATTGTGAACTAACCCCACATCGAGGGGCATTGTTTCCCAACAGTAAACGGTAGCTGTAAAATAGGTTAAGCTTAATACTTCTACAGCTTCAGAGAGGTCATACTGCTCTAGGGGCCGCCGAAGATCAATGCATAGAGAGAATCCGTCGTTCCTAAGCAGCTGAAAGGCCCAAGGACACATGGGATCAGGTCTCATCTGTAGAATTACATCTTCTTCTTGCCTTGCTAGTTCAGACAGTATGGTAGGTCGAATGCGGTCTTGTTGTATTCGATGCTTCATGATGATTTCAGAGGTGTACCCATCTTTTATATTGAACGAAGTAATTGACCATGTCCAGAGCATGAACATTCTTTGCAGACTAGTCCACAGAAAAGACTTGACGACACACCAGCCAATCCAGTCTTTGCTAGACAAGTTGGAATCATTATCGCATAATTGTCTAGTTGCATCGAAAAGCAGGGCGATGTCTTCGGTCACCTGCGCCATCGCCCAGTAAGGCACCGCGATTCTGCTATGTTGCCGTGGCCTTTCGAGAATGATGCATACTCGCAAAGCCATTCGAATAACATTTCGATTAATGTAGCATTCAGTTTGAGTGAGCTGTCTGCGAAAAAAAGCTGACGCATCGCTAGTTTGCACTTGATTAAACCCATCCGTCTGCTTGCAAACAACACGCAATGGATGTGACGGCAAACGCAATATCAAATTGTAAGCATTGCTGACGAGGACTTCTTCCGACGGAATCCACTCTCCCCAGGGGACAAACCAGTGATCGAAAAAACTCGCAGTAATATCGTCTAGCTTTTTGAGCGTGTCAACTGAATCAATTGATGCATCGTGTAGGAGGTGGCAAGTTTTCTCAATTTGCTTTAGGTCAAGTCTGTCGGTGGCTTCACTATAAACAAAGTCCGCATTATCGATGAAGGATGGTTTTTTTTCTCGCTGGCAAGGTGAAAGTGTGCGCAGAACATGAGCAATTTCGCGACGGATTTGATCCTTCTGACTTGAAGAGAACTCGCTGAGATACATTATCGCAAGTTTCACTGATATGGGATTGACAGAAAAAACAGTACGAAATCCCGGAGGGAATAATATCGGAGGGCTATGTTGCATAGCCACGTCAACCGTTGCCTGCAGTATGTGTTTCTTTTTTTAGATTAAAGGACAGGGCTGAAACGCTGACTGCCTCTGCGCTAGCCTCACTGTGATAGCGACTATCTTAACTTTACCTTAGCAAGTGAATATCACAAAATATCACAATTAGACTGCGCTAGATCTCACAAAGTGTAAAGATTCGAGCATGGGTGTTTAATAAGTGGTGTGCATTTTGCAAAGTCCTGTCATGCGAGGAAGGAGACTGTTAGGAGCGATAGCATCAGCTGACATGAATATCACATGATATCATATCCTGTAGTTCATCTCGAAACTTGAGACTGTCGGAGAGTAAGTAATTGAGACTAACTAAAGTGACCAACCAAGATATATCAAAATAAGAGTGGCTAACTAAGAGTGACTAACTAAGAGTGACCAACGAAATTGTCCCCAACTCATCAGGGGAACAGCAGGGAAAACCTTTTCGCGAAGTTCAGGATGGCCCCACGCGATAGGATGAAAAACCCGCTTTGACGAAAGGAAAAACAAAAGAGATGCTGTCAAAATTAACAGCAGGCTAATCGCACTGCAATGTCCTAAAGCTCCTATATGTGTCCATCATTCACCGTCGCCCCTATCGAATCTGAGTTGGGTTGAGATATTCAAAAACATCCCAATAGATCTATAGCGGCCCCAGAACCCGGGATAAACTTTATAATAAACTTCATAGCACTGGCGGCCCCAGAAACTGGGATAGGCTTTGTAGCGGAGCACACTGTGCGCAGCCCACAAAGCCAAGTTTCTGATTAAACCATGGTTTGAGCAACAACATAAACATAATCTCCCAAACAACGTGCCAGTCCTGGCGTGGGAGGATTGAACTTGGACACTTCCCCATTCTATGTTCCAACCCTTTAAAAATCTTCCAATGACAAGAACAGTGATTTCTGCCCTATTAATATAGAGCAATTCTTGCTCGACTTGTTCATTCATTGGTCGATAGGCTGCCATAGAATTCCAAATGGTCTCCAAATTCCCAAGACTGGGGTTTGTATTAATTCTAATCATTTCATGCTCTGGTAGTTTCTTGTCGTGTCGAAACGTAGTCATATCTTGAAGTTCTTCCTTGGCAGGGAAGTGTTTAGGGTAAAGCGAACGGGTTCTGAAGGTTGGTGACATTTTCAGATATCTAGTGATGATGCCCGTTGACCAGGGCAGACCGCAGGGTCAAATTACCGTAGCAGCGTGGGTGGAGGGACGGCGGATTGTGCTGTTCTAACCACCACCTTAGTAAAGGTCACAAATGTGGAATAAAGAAGAGTAGACCGGCAAGGAGAGTCAATATTTTAATCATATGCCACGAAACAAGAGTTAATTACTTACAGGTAAACTGCTAAGACTGGCAAACGGTGTACTAACCACTAGTTGGAATGCTGCTCCTCGAAGTGTCGTTGGCAGTTATCAGATCTCGAAAATGTCTGCCTACAGTTCGGATAGTCACAGGTAAACGTGCTCTTGCGGTGGATGGTGTCTATATGGCGCCGAAGATCTTTTTGGAGACCGAATCCTTGAGTGCGGTCGCAGCCGGCAGCAGTGCACTTGAAGGCACGTTCGTGGGTCTTTGCGTGCTTTCTGTAAAAATGTTAACATTAGGCCATCCCTTGATAAAATGTTATACTTACTTAAGGTCACAACGACGAGTGAATACTCTACCACAGGAGTCACAGATTTGCGGGGGTTTTCGTCGAATCCGGGGAGCTGGTCGCCTGAGTGTAGCCTCAATAGAGTTGCCTTGTGTAGGTGATTCTGGTGCGGGATTGGCCAGTTGCTCAAGACTCATAGAATGAGGTGTGCGAATACTTTGTTGAAGTGCAGGAGATGAAAGACTGGAAGATGATGATTCTTCTGGACTAGTCAACTTATCTTCGGTTGCGAAAGTTCTTTGTCTCCCGTAATCGTCTCTGAGAGGGCGTCTCGAGTTATGGGCAAGAGGAGAGCGATCCCTATCTTGAGGAGAGAGGCTCGGACTGTGTGAGGATGGACCCTGCTCCGGAGGGGAATGACTCAGACTTGGCGGCGTTCGTTCTGGTGCTGCGAATGGGTGATCGCTTTGAAGGTTCCACGTATTCCAGTGAGGTGCTGCGACAGGAGCAACGATTGAAGTCGAGATATCGGCGTAATGAAGTGAGGGTGGTGGTGGTGCCAAGGAAGGACTGGTAGAGGGCAAACCCGCGATGGTGTTGTCTTCTAAATAATTACTGTAATCGTAATCGAAAGGGAAAAAGCCGTCTGTCGGTAGGTTCCCTGAAAAGAAATCGAAATGGTTGGAAATTAATCCGTGTATATAATTGTTTGATGTAGCCTCAAGGTCTGGTGGGTAGACATATGAGGTGGGATCTAGTTCTGGAAGGTTTTCTAAACTATGGCCGTAGAATCCCGACGAGATTTCTGTTGCGCGAAGACAAGATGTCTTCGCGCGAGGATCGCGAGAAGCTTATTGAAAATAGAACACTGAACGCAAGGCTGGAAGGATGGTTCTGGTGGAATAAGTAAATGCCAATGCAAAACTTATCCCCGCTAGCACACAATGTGAGCCTGCGGGGTTAAAGAATTCTCAAGATTCGGAATCGTTCGATGCGTACGGAAAGCGAAATTGAATGTGACGAAAAATGATTCCAGGGCGCGGGAGGGGCATACAGTATATATGTCTGTGGTGATGACTGGCGAGACAGGCGAGGCATTCTGCGACCCAAGCAGGCTGAGTATGGGTGGCCTCCAATATTCAGCCGCTTTTTGGATATTGGTGGCCTCCGACATACAAAATCCACTGCATTCTAAATGCGGGTGGCCTCCCGTTGGTGGCCTCCAGGCGACGACGCGGCTCTTGATTGGCTATAACAGAGCTGCATCGATTTTGTGCAGGTGTAGTGACTTGATTGGGTGGTATTTTTTAGGGGAGGGAGTTAAATCTAGTAGATAGAAGGCTGCAAGTACTACAACCTGCGCCTCCCATGCATTAGTAAAGTAGGGACACCCACCCATTGGCCTTTGAGCTTCCATCGATGGGAGAGAGTTGCAGTCCTGGCGATATGTCTATGCCAAGGCTAGCAATACCAGCAATGACATCTGCCGCGTATTGATTGTTGCCCCTTGCTCATAGCGTTGGGAGCCTTCCGTGGATTTGAGACTTTTCTATGAGGCTGCCTCTGTATGCGGGCTCCGAGTATGACGATATTCTACGCGATAGTGATTGAGCAGATACAGATGAGAACGATTGCATCTTAGAAGCATTCGAGCTTTGTGGTTTATTTTTACGCTTTAATCAGCCGAAATAAATGGCTGACGAAATCATTTAGATATACTCAGACCATATACCATAACACATTTGCCTTTAACGCTGTAGCAAGCATCAAGAATCTGTAGGAGGCATATTGTAATGCATCAAAGCAAATCGTAAAGGCGGCGTAGAACGTACTCTGACTACACTTCAGACCCTTCCCCAACACGGCATTCACTACCCAGCAAGGGTTGGGAGAACTTCCTATGATTTAATTATCAAGGCTTCTCGTAGTCGATTATTCAACAAAGTCTAGCTACTGCTATTCTAAATTGTACACCACCTCAATATTATTCCCTAGCGGATCTAGAACAAAAGCTGCATAGAAAGCCCTTGAGTACTGGCGCTTTCCAGGCTTGCCATTATCAACACCCCCAGATTTGCTTGTCCGGCAATCAGTAACCAGCCACCATCACGACAGCAACATATAACGAGAACTCACATAGCGGTCTCATACCACTCATCGACTTCTTTGGGGCTCGCTGCCTCAAATGCCAGATGAATTGGAGCGATGCGGTTCTCCAGATTGCCATCATACTTGGGCAGTGTCCTGTTACTTGGGCCGAGGCCAAGCCAGAAGATAGGGCCGGAGGCATTGGTGCCTAGGCCGCAGAATTCTTGACCCTCGCCGTTGCCTAGCTTGATCTCGTAGCCGAGAGGCTTGAGGATGGCGGTGTAGAAGTTTCTCATGGCGATGTAGTGGCTGCCCACGGGTAGGCTGATGTGCGCGAATGCCATTGTTGCGATGCGTGTGTTTAGTGAGTGTTGCAGAGGATACCGGAATACAGGGACCACACACAAATTGTATGGCGTCTATGGCGTCTCCGGTGGCCGGAATTCTCACTTTGGGCAGCAGAACAGAGGCTTCACAGTAGAATACAGTAAATAGAATAATAAGATCAATTGAATTGCTAACTAATCTACGGGCCTACGTACAGTATTTGTAGACCTGGGGGAAACCCCCAAAACCCCGAGCAATTGGGCGTTCCCCAGCCCAGCTGAAAGTGAGACATTGGGCTTGATCACAAGCCCAATACTCTGACCAGTTGGGGAGCTGGATGGTCCCACCGAAAATACCTGATATAATTCGAACCGGAAATTCGAAATCCAAACCGGAACTCCGGAACCAATTCGATCTGATACTCTGCGCTCCCTCAACCCTCTACATGATTACTTAGCTTGGTGTTAGGCTTAGGTTTTTGTATTGTCATAAAAGAACTGATAAAACGAATGCTTCCCTGATGTTTTCTTACAGCATTTCACCTTTTGAGGAGGCGTACAAGTAATAACAGGCATACTCGATAGGTCTTAACTGCAGCATACGCACGAACATACACCATACAGCATAAAACGCTTAGACTAGATAAATATTTTACCCCTTTTCATCGAAGACACATTAATAATGCCGTCATACGTTGTGACAGGAGCTTCTAAAGGCCTTGGAGTATATTCTACCTTTCCCTAGCTATGTAAGATACATACTAACATTACGCAGTATGGCATCAAGAATGTCAAACTCTACAAGGCGGATATCACTGACTTACCTGCTCTGAAGGCTGCTGCGGCAGATGTCCAGGCGACAGTAGGAGGCATTGGCATCTCATTGCCAACGCTGCTTTTGTGTCAGGCGTAACGTCGTCGCGCAATCTTTCAGATTTGTTCGATTCTCCGTTATCATTTGAAACTATATTGTCTTACTACTTCTTGCACGCAGTACTGAGAGTCCAGAAGTGCTACAAACAGACCTAGTGGACTCGTTCTCTATCAACGTCGCCAGCCTCATCAACACGGTTAACGCTTTCAATAGTGGAGTCCGTAAAGGGCAGGTCAAAAAGGTAATCGCTACTACTAGCGGCATAGGTGATATTAGCTTTGTAAATGAGCTTGAGCTAGATATCGCCCCTTTCTATTAGCAAGGCTGGCGTAAACATGGCGCTAGCGAAGTACAGCGCAATTTATAAGCAGGAGGGCATCCTCTTCCTGGGTATCTGCCCAGGGTTGGTTAATACCGACGCATTAAATGCTGACAACCGTGAGTTCTTCTCCTATACTTGAGCCTATTCTTTGCGTGGCTGCAAACTAATGTTCACTTCGTTAATGAGGGGCATTTGAAGAGACTGCAAGTTGTAGGAGCAAAGACCATTTCCTACGCGCCACATTTCAAAGGTCCAGTTTCAGCAGAGGAGGCCGCTAAGAGGGTCCTGGATATCGTAGAAAGATCAACGTTAGAGGATGAAAAAGCAGCGACTGCAATCTCTCAAACGGGTACTGATAAATTGATGTAAACAGGAGGCACGCATTGAATGATCAGCATATTAGTTGTAGCTACTGAACTCGAGAAAGACGATTGACTGACCTGCCGTACATTTATTTTCACTCGCTAAAATGATAACACTACTTTCTGTAGTTTGCAATTGTCCCTCCTTCCTTCTTTACCGTAATTGCCAAGCTCTAGAACTCTGGAGAACTGATGAAGGATCAGTCAAAACGTTGCCATGATGACTTAGGGCAGGGCTTTATGGTGGCCATTTTGGGCTTATATCCACCTGAAAGAAGCTAGAGGTATCGGCTCTCTCCCGACGACTTGGCCCGATAGACCCGGAGTAGTTCCGGATATTTCACCCCTAACCGGAATCAGAGAGAATGAGTGGTTGTAGCTCGGATCATGTGACAACGGATCATGTGACAACGGCTCATGTTATACTAGACATAATGGTTCAACACCAGACACATATCTCAATCATCCATCTCCGCACCAGCTCTGTTTCTATTATACCACCAATATCTCATAAAAATGGCCTACAAATCCTTTTCAATCCCACGAAAAAGACTTATCCCGCGGGAAGGACTATTCATAGATCCTATCGGCTTTATTCTTGCCAGAACTGTGTTTAATCCATTGATTAATATACCATTCTTTCTACTCTGTCAGCAGTTGCAGCTCGACTACTTGAAGAAAAGCTCAACACTCCTCGCGATAACAGGGGGGGTCTTTTGGGTAAACCAGTTTTTAAATTGGGGGGCGAATAACAATTTCACAAGAGCAAAACCATGGAATCCAAAGAAGGAGCTGGTGCTGATCACGGGTGGGAGCAGTGGGATTGGAGCTAGTGTGGCTATACGTATGGCAAAGGAAGGAAATCGTGTGGTAGTCCTGGATATCTCGCCTCTGAGCTTTTCCCCATGTAAGTCACGATTGGGGTTCTGTATTTCTCTTTAAATTGCTTACACACGGAAAGCCCAAAATATCACTTATTATAAATGCGACCTAAGTGACATGGCCCAGATTAAAAGTGTTATGGCGAGAGTTCGAGAGGAAAATGGTTCTCCGACAGTTTTGTGTAAGATACCATATCACTTTTCATTATACTTGCATTTTACCTGGCTAACCGGTCAATTAAGTAAACAATGCAGGCCTTTCGAGAGGGTTCAACATTGCCGACGGCACCTATTACGACAATGACTTAACATTTCGAATCAACTTACTGGCAGCCTTCCTCATGACCAAGGAATGTTTGCCTGGTATGGTGACTAGAAACCACGGGCACATTATCAACGTTGCTTCTATGAGCGCATTTATTCCACCTGCTGGTCTCGCAGATTATTCGGCGTCGAAAGCGGGCATGGTTGCCTTTCACGAGGTACAGATTGCCATTCCCTATATCTCTAGGACCATCAAACTGAAATTCGCTGTCTAGTCACTTGGGTTAGAACTTCGATACCGCTACCAGTCTCCAGCTGTTAGGAACTCCCTTCTTGTACTTAGCTTTACAAGAACACCACTCTTCGATGGCAAAACGAAGCAGAGCGAGTTCCTTCTACCATTGCTCCACGTCGACACAGTCGGAGATGAAATTGTCAACACGATATATTGTGGCTACAGCCGCACGATCTTCATGCCTGGCTTGATGCGTTATGTGGCTTGGATTGTAAGTCTCCCCCTTCATAATTACACCTTACAAAATGACTAATCAACAATCTGTCTGAAAAGCGGGGGGCTCCAGACTGGATCCAGCACATCATTAGGAAAGGAACGGAAGATCTCGGAGTGAACTTTAAAGGACGGCAGATAATCGATCCAGAAACAGGGAGGTTGAAGGAAGCTCCCTGAAGTTTCGTTTAATTTTGCCTTCTAGTGTGTTATCTGTTTCCCTGTTACAATTCACTTTTGGGAATTGTGCATCGCCTACTTTAAATAATTAGACTACCCTTTAGAATAGAAATCCCGCGTTGAGCTCTTCTGAAATTTTCACAGCTTCGCTTTGTTTGTAAACTACGACCTGGGTGGGTGGGTGCTTCGGAAACCCGGACCCGCCCCTAACTTTTTCCATCAGTATTTGACGACGGGTCCGGTATTAGCGGACTACGTACGGCACAGGTCCGAACAAATACTTCCGGTCCCTAATCAAGTATGTCGGATTTCGATATATTACAGCAACAGTAAGTTAGTGAATATCATTATTCTACACCACAGTTACGACTCTTTGCGAAATGATTATGGACGGAAACGCCTCCTCGACTTTAAAATCCAGCATCATGCGTGTGATTTACAGTGTTTCGATTGCGCTGCGCATTGTATTTTTTGGTATTCTGTTTTCTACTGCCGTGCTCGGAGGCTGCTGACCGAATTCTAGTTATGCCCATGGCCATAATCAGCATAATCAGAGCCACCCTACGGGCAAGATCAAGAGGTCTCGAATTAAAAGTTGCGGTCAAAAATGGAATTTTGCGAACCTTTCTGACTTATCTTCAACCTAAACAGCTTCAGTTCCTCCTGCCATCTGGATATGCAGTTTTCCAACGCTGGGTGGCTAATAAAGATGTCCAGGCTAAAGAAAGCATCAATAACTACATAGAGACCCTGCAAGACGGCGAGGCCAAGCTTTTCTGGGTTGGTCTTCGGGAAGAAAGTTCCAAGGTCATCCTATTTCTTCACGGTTAGCTTTCGTCCTACGTTTAGACCCTGCTAAGTCAACAGTGGGTTGACAATTGTATAGGTGGCGGCTACGTCTTGCCACTCTCCAAAGGACATATTGAGTGGGCAGACTATTTTCGAAATGCAGGGAAATTGAAAGAGCAGTCAGTTTGCGTCGCCTTGCTTGACTACAGTAATGTACCCCCACACGCATATTTTGGCGCTGCTAATAGATCTAGGCCTCTGTCCCGAAAACATTTATCCAAAGCAAATGAGGCAGGCAGCTTTAGCGCTCGATCATATTATAAATCTTGGATATCCTCCGTCGCAGGTAAAGCTATTATACTCGCGGAGTTGGAGTCAACCCAACTTACAAGCTTTGCAGATTGTCATCGGAGGCGACTCTGCCGGTGCCCACCTGAGCCTTGGTCTACTGTCCCACATCATGTTCCAGTATCCGGACGACACATTCCCCGTGTTGCGTTTAGCAGAACCTTTGGGTGGATGTTTCTTAATCTCGCCACTCTTATCACTTGATCTGACTACGGCGTCGTATCGGGAGAACGAACATGCTGACCTACTCTCCATTCCAGTGATTCGTGACTGGGGGCAAGATTTACTAAGAGGCTCACAATTCTTCGACGAAAGGCAGAATGAACGAGCATGGGGAATGCCATTGTGCGGGAATAGAGACTGGTGGGATGGTTTAGGCAAAGTTGTGCGCAGGGTATATCTGACTGGTGGGGGGGAAGAATTGTTTCGTGACCACATTATTGAGTTCGGCCAAATCCTAAAGAATTTAGAAGGGTTGGATGTTCAAGTGCATATTGATTGGAAAGAGGCACACGATAAGACTTATATGGACTTTGAGGGTTGTGTGGTACCAAGCAAATTCACTACCCGTCTGGGGAATTGGGTGGTTGATTGCTTTGCCGTCAAAAGTCTGAGGTCGGAGTAGATGGTATATAGTCTCTAGAGTACACACAGGCCGCGTGAGGACGAATATATTCGAGTCTGGCTATATTTCTCTAAATTGTTCAGTTAGTCCGCACAACTCTATTTGAAAATAGGCGCTTGTGCTTCCTACCTCCGGCAGACGTCTACCGGACGTAGTTGTTCCGACATAACCACGAATCTGATCTATCCATGGGGTCGGAACATAGATGATTTTATCCGAAGCAACAGGTATTGCAAACTATGGATCGGAACCCTCCGTTGAATGACCCGCGGGGAGGGTTCCCGGATGCCTCCGGGACTTCCGATTCGATGGTCATGAGGAAGTGCCCACAAGAGAGACAGACCGTACGCGGGGCAATGCGGGTCGCGACCGAGAAACATGGGCATATGATAGTGGACAACTGGACGAGACCTATTTTACCTAACTCTCCCCAACTGGTCTTGGTTTATCAAGGAACTTCTTGCTGCATCATTCTTCTAACAACTGTAGACGGTTCTCAGATCTATCCTCCTCACTCACTTGTCCGATATGGCATCTTCGACAAAAAAGGAGGCCGTGTGCCTTCCCTCCTACAGCACTATTGCTTGCATTGGAACAGGGTTATCAGGAATTGGCCTGGGTGCTCAACTCAAGCGCTGGTATGATGTCGACGACATCACTTATTTTGAGCGAAGCCCAGAAGCCGGCGGGACATGGTGGATCAATACATATCCAGGTGAGTACGGACTACTCCTTCTCGTGTAATAAATCAACTAAATCTTAACTTGAGGCTGTGCCTGCGATGTACCCAGTGCACTCTACAGCTTCTCCTTTGAACAAAATCCAAATTGGACGAAACTCATGCCATCTAGCAAGGAAATTCAAGCATACGCCATGGGCGTTGCGGAGAAGTACAATCTGCCGTCAAAGATGAGATTTAACTGTGACGTTGAACGATGTGACTGGCTCGAAGGAGGTTCTCGGTGGCTGTTGCAAATACGTGATAAGCTGACCGGGGAGCTTTTCTTACACGAATGTCAGATCCTTTTCAGTGCAGCTGGGCAATTAGTTCAGCCCAGGGAGTTAGACATACCAGGTCTTGAATCCTTTAAGGGAGAAGTTTTCCATTCTGCCAGATGGAACCACTCGGTCGATCTAAAAGGCAAGGATGTAGTGGTTATCGGAAACGGTTGTGAGTATGAGCCTACCCGCATTATCGTCTATGCACTTATTATTTCTAGGTACTGCAGCGCAAATCGTCCCGGCCTTAGTACCACAGGTCAAAAGCCTGACGCAGATTATCCGCACCAAGCACTGGATATTCGAAGCAACCAATTTTAAAAGCACCCCGTTCACGAGATGGTGTTTGAGAAACGTTCCGGGAGCGATGTCTCTCCAAAGATTTCTTATTTTTACCATCGCCGAGTCTGACTTCCCCCTTTTCTATATGAACACAATAGGAGCCCTAGCACGGGCTCGTAAACGCCGCATTGTCGAGAAGTTCATGAGAGAGAAGGCACCCGAGAAATACCACGACCTCCTGATCCCAGACTTTGATGTAGCTTGCAAGGTATTTGCTATTCCATAATTCTAATATATTACTCTAGTTATGTCATTTGCGGCTCCTAGCTAACCACTGTAGCGGCGAATTTTCAATGATGGCTACCTTGAAAGCCTACACTCCTCGAATTTCAACCTCACGGACCAAAAAGTACTCTCAATTGTACCCGAAGGCTTACAGACACAGAGCGGCATCATCAAGGCCGACGTAATTGTGCTTGCTAATGGCTTCAAAACAAACGAGTTTCTCGATCCCCTCCAAGTACATGGCTGCGATGGCGTCTCTCTCACCCAGCACTGGGCGAACTTCGGCGGCCCCTCTGCCTATAACTGCAGTGTCATGAGCGGCTTTCCGAATTTCTTTCTTCTCTTGGGCCCCAATGCTGCTACTGGGCACACGTCCGCCTTGATGGCTTCTGAGAAGTAAGTTACATTATAGGTTAATTAAATGAGTATTGCTAACGATTGTTAGCATGATCAATTACGCCTTGAGGATTTTGTCCCCTGTCCTTCGTGGTAAGGCTGCAAGCATGGAGGTTCGTTACGAGGCGGAAAAGAAACATATATACCACATGCAAAATGAGCTTAAAAGGAGAGTGTGGTCTGCAGGATGCAAGTCGGTATGCGAAATTCCCTAGTTGTCACTCTGCACTCTTGGCGATATCTAACATCAAACTAGTGGTACATCAAAGAAAATCAATGGAACTCAATGTCATATCCATGGAGTCAAGCATATTTTTGGTACCGCAGTCTCGTTCCTTCGTGGGGCGACTGGATTGTTAAGGTATAGTTGTCTCTTACTGCCTCTCTATCGTTTCTCCTGGTTTGTTTACTAAATTTTTCTATTTGCAGGCCCCAGTGCGTAGTCGACCAGCACGAATTTCTCATTCTTTACTGCTAGCATTTCTGTTATTGGGATTTGCTTTTATTTGTCGAGAGCGTGGGGCAAACCTTGGCTGGTTACAAGACAAGTTCACGTTCTTGCTTAAAACTAGCAAAATGAGCTGTACACTAAAGTCGTTGCACTTGTAAGGAAATTTCTTGGGTTGTTATCGTAATTGGTTCTCGAGGATATTTCATAGTTATGATAGGGGTTAGCAATGTATTTATATGACACAGATTAATAAACGGAATGCCTTACTTATTTCGTATATGTTCCGGCCCAACCACCAACTGGCGGTGTAGAGTATATTGTAGAAAATTTAACTTCTTCTATATTATAATACTACAATTATGACTACTATTGCTTTAATTAACCCGTTTCCAAATGATGTACGGTCTGCTTTTAAAGCATATATAAGCAGTGATACTTATTACAATCGTAAGCAACTCTTATATGAGAAATAGAGCTCTATGCGTAATATTCTTAACAACCTAGCCTAGAAACCACAAAATAAGGAAGCTGTTAACCTTAAGCACTGTATGCTATCTAACTTCTAGCTTACTAATAATAGCTATATAGAAAGCTAAATATAATAAAAGCTCCTCTAGTTTCTATTACTATAGGCTAAGCATAAGAGAGGGTTTAGATTAACCTAATTAATATATACTATAAGCCTTTAGGGTAATATAAATAGATTCTTTATATAAAGGATTACTTCTTAAAGTATACATAGCTATATCTATTAAAGAGTAAGCATATAGAGCTAATTATAGACTACTTTGCTTAATTTATTACTACCTTTCTACTACCTACGATTATATAAGCTAATAATAGTAAGGAATTTAAAGGGGCTCTCCTTATTCTACTCTAGAAGTTTAGAATTTAGGTAATAAATAGAGTACTATAGTTACTATAAACTTAAGGCCTAGTTAAGTAGGTAAATAGAGTTGTTAAGAATAAGCTCTAGGTATAGAAAATAGACTATAGGTCTATAGAATAGAAGGATAGGCTACTAGAGGTTATACTAGTAATAAACACCTAAATCTACTCTATAATTAGGTGTATGCTAGCTAAGCTTCTATAAGAACATAGGGCACTATATTATAAGTAGTTATATATAGGCGTATAAGTTAGATAGGAGTTAGTATAATCCTATAGGTCTACTATAAAGGATATAAAAAAGATAAAGGGAGAACTCTCTGTTCCTATTTCCTTAAATACCTAAAACCCCTCTAACTTAGCTAACTCCCTATTTACCTAAGGCTTCCTTATGCTATATGCTTAAGGCTTATAGTTATAATTAAACTATAATAGCCCTAAGTCTTAAGGGCGCTATGTAACAACTATAACCAACCTAAGTAAGGAGGCATCCTTATAGCTCTAGGGGCTAATAAAAGCGCTATAGAGTATATAGTATTATAGGCTATAACTCCTATATATATATAAGGTATAAGGAATTAATTATAATTAATTAAGGGTTATTATATAGGGTAGTGTAGTTATAGTAGATAGTAGTTAGAATAGTTAGATTTTAGTGTTCTTATAACTAGCTTACTTATATAACTAGCTTGCATGTAAAATACGTTAATTATGATTATGATTAACGTATTTCACAAGCGAGTTGGCCACCCAAACGAGTTGGCCACTAAAACACCAAATTTGACTATTACTGCCTACTTCTACACCACCACCCTACATAATGACCCTTATTCGATCGTAATTGAATCCTCGTGCCTCTCGCACGTACGGGAGTTATGGCCCATAATACCACATAAGCCGCAGCGCTTCTGTCGGCCCTTAGAGCCTACCTGCCGACTACTCTCACTTGCCACCTCCGTACGGACTTGAGCTTCAACTTCAGCACTTTGAACGATATCCTCTCCCTCTCGTACGGAGAGACTACCCCCTTGCATTATACGCCTCTTGCGCTTCCTTTCCCTCCTCTTTTTCTGTTCATTTGCTGCTTGTAGAGCCTTAACTTCTGCTTTGAGTAGAATAGCAGAATGCATCATAACTTGTGCCCCCTTAACAAGGCAGCTAATAGCATCATTAATTGAGGTAGGAGAGCTATTCTAATGTCGTACGACACGGTTCTTAATATGCTCTATTTGAAAATCAAGCTCCCTTATAGTTTGAGGAGTCTTTGAAGTCCAATTATTACTCTCAACTATAGGAGGGGTCGGAGTCCTTAAGTGTAGATTTAAGTGAGAGAGGACACTCTGTGGCTCGTACGGAACTAGCCCTGTTGCTCGGAATCCGCTCTTAATGTTCTGCTCTGTAAATGTAGCTTTGAATGCTTCTTTAAATGCAGAGAGAAACTCGAGTTTCGTAATATGGTTTAGCCTGTTCCGTACGAAGGTTTCAATCTAACGTCCATACGAAAGCTTTAGTAGAGCAAAGCAGCTCACGTCAAGCGGCTGAAGAATGTGTGAGGAGTGTGGTGGCATATAGAGGGTGATTATCTTCCGTTCTATACAGTAGTGCTGAAATTGAGCTGAGAGGTGGCTCTCATGTCCATCGAGAATAAGAAGGCGATAGGATCCGATCGTACGAGTACTTGTATGTCGATCGAAGTGTTGAATCCACTCGTACCCAATTAAATTAGAAGTCCACCCATTCTCACTTAGTGTAATTACCCAATCGTCTAGCAATTCTAAGTCCTCGTACCAAGTAGAGAGGTGATTCTGCGCCTTAAAAATGATGAATGGCAGGAGTGCCCATCCGTACGAATTAACACCTTAGATAATTGACACCCACTCTCTATTTCCTGGCTGTATAGTCTTCGGACGGCTCTTTGCTTCTGAGCTTGTAACTACCTTAGCACTAGCAATAACTCCCATTGCGAAACCTACTTCATCAAAGTTGTAGATATCCTGCTCTAAGATGCCGTACTTTGTAACTGTGTTTCGTACGAGAGAAAACCACGCTTGAATTATCTTAGGATCTTCACATTTTGCTCGTTTGTAATCATACTTCCGGCTGAACTTTGCTTTAATTTCCGTACGACGCTTTATGAAGTTAGTAGTCCAATTCTTCCCAACAGGGCTCTTGCCTCGTTCAGAGAGTAGAAGATCTGCCATTTCTTGCACACCCTGTGGCCGGGGCGGAAATCCACGTGAATCTAGGTCGAGGATATACCGAACGAGAGCTGACTCTTCGTACGGAGTTAACTTCTGTATGTTAGGGGTAGAGTCGCGTCGAGAGGTCATTCCATTCATTCTGTTGGTAAGGGTGCTACGTGACACGTCGTACGATAATGCAGCAGCTCGGACACTCTTAAATTGATGTTCCTTCAGTGCCTGAATAGCTAATAGTATTCTACCCTCTTGATTAGAGGATTGGGCTTGTGTTGGTTGTGGCATATTGACTTTTGTTAAGTTGACGCGTTTTGGTGTTTTGGTGGCCAACTCGTTTGGGTGGCCAACTCGCTTGTGAAATACGTTATAACTAAATAATTATGATTAGAATTAATTTTCTAACCCTGAACTTAATAATATGTCCTAGAAATGTATTTATAGCTCTGTATATATATGTAGGTTTCTTTATTCTAGCTCTTATCTTCGCCATAACACTCTTAAACCCCATACAGTACGAACAGAACTATAGAATGGGCAGAATTAAGATATAGTAAGTCTGTATTAGATACCAGACGGCCTAATTAATATGAGTCGCTAGAAATCATATATTGGGCTACAGTACGAGACTGGAAAGAAAGAAACATGACTGAGGTCTCGGTTCCCCTCAACTTCACCCCTCGCCACCCGTTGTGGCCTCCAAGCCGTAAAGGATCCGAGATTCCTTCCGCATCCTCCGCGATTAGTCATGAACGATCCGACATCCCTCTCTCACATCCTCCGCGCCTAGTCACAAACGATCCGACGTCCCATAATCTATTCCGAGCTTTTCGGAATGTCCGATGATAACCACTTTGTGCACAACGACATTTACATAAATTTATAAACGACGTGCGCAAAAGTGGTAAGAAGCATCATGAGCCTAGGATTACTTGATATCATCTTCGCGACACGAGCCCTTTAAGTCGATTCATTTTCACATTCTAAAGCATATACTTCCGTACCATCCTTTTAATTACAATGGCTACACTCTGGACACGATTAACCGACCCACTCGACCAGCTATGGTCAGTAGCCTACTCAAGCTACCCGGCTTCTCTCATTGAGTTTGTTGTGATAGTGTCTGTACAATTCCTGGCCTTCTGGGTTCCAGCCACTATCTACCTCGGGATAGATCTACTCTTTCCCGCATTCTCTAATCGACATAAGATTCAATCCGAGCGCCGACAGCCATCCTGGGAGCAGATTAGACACTGTATCAAGCATGTTGGGCTCAATGAAGCACTCGGAGTAGTGATTCAAGTTCTCATACGCAACGCCGTTGGCTGGGACAAGACCGCCTTTCTTGTAACTCGCGCGTTGCCGTCTCTCTCAACTATCGCCTTCGACTTTGTCTTTGCCCTAATCGCCCGGGAGATGTCATTCTACTATATCCATCGAGCGTTTCACCACCCTAGAATCTACAAATACGTACACAAAAAGCATCATACGTTTACCGCACCTATGGCATTTTCCGCACAATACGCCCATCCCATTGAGCATATAACAGCAAATGTAATGCCGATTGTATTGCCGTTAGCGCTTCGAAGAGCACACTTGCTATCTTCTATGGTCTTCGTTGCATTTGAGTTATGGGAAGCGGCAGCAGACCATAGTGGATACGATTTTGTAAAGCTGCCTCCAGCCCAAATTCACGATTTGCATCACGAGAAGTTCAATGTGAACTATAGTACTGTTGGAATCATGGATTGGATACATGCGACCGATACTGTGGGCTGGGACAAACCCAAGAAGGTGTCTGTGGATTAAGGCACTATACTGGGGTTAACCCTATCGTAATGGCAATAAAGATATACGAGGAGTGCTTCTAAATAGGTATAGAAAGATATTTAAACTATAACAAAATGTGCCACCCTCACTTTAATAGTTGATGCCGGTTCTTGTGTTCAGTTACCATGGCAAGTCTCTGACATGCTGCTAGATTTCTCCTGCTCTAAATAATTATGGGGAGCACCAAATATATTTTCATGCCAGCTATGCTTTGCCATTATAGAATTCCTACCTTGTCGAGCAAGGAACATAGAGAGTAGAAGTTTTAGGAGACGGGGAATCTTCGTATGGCATAAACCACTCAGATTAGTTCGGAAGAATGCCGTGAGCTCCGAATGAGCGGCCGAGGTCCGTAATAAATGAGGCGCTAGGAAGTATAAAAGTATGGGGTTTGCGGGGTAGAATACGGGGAAAGGGCGTCTGACCCATGTCACGTAGGGGGATTACCTGTCATCCCTTATAGTTAAATAGACAACGGATATCAAATTGCCACAAAGGCCATTTATCTTCACATTTCCATACACAAATATCATCAACTACCAAGCACCAGCCGCCCCATCTATCAGTAGTTACCTGCATATTTTCTCTAGCTGTCAGTCATGAGTCTTGAGCAGGGCCGTGGTATGGCACGTTGATCCCCCCAGTTGGCGCGTATATGAAATCAGAACCAAATAGTATATTTATCGACAGAGCAACTTGTGTGATCCCCGATAGTCCATTCTGGCTACCCGGAAGCGCAAGATCATAGTAGAAAAACTTGAAGGCTGCAAAAATCAAATCTGACGAAATACCCGCGGCAGTATAGGGTGCTTCGAAGGCGATGCGACCGATCAATGAAGGGATTGTTCAGCCCGCATGGGACAGGATCACCTTACAGTTCGAGATTTTAGTAAGGAGGCCACTAGCGACAATATTGAAGGCTGTGCGTGCTGTTTCATGTGGGTAGTCGAGGGCCGGCTGTGGCAATAAGGAATTGAGTGGCTCTGCGTAGACTGAAGTAGTTGGGTGAATAAAGACGACGGCGGCTCTCCGGTTCAGCTCCTGCCATATAGAAGAGAATTGCGGGTGTCCGAGATACAAATTTGAGTCTCCGTAGCGTGTGTAGAGCGTTACGCCGTCGGCTTTCAAAACGTCGAGTGCATAGGCGATCTCGGTCAGTGTACCACATAGGTCTGTGAGGGGCGGGAGGGCGGCAAAAAAGCCGTATTTCTTTGGTTGAGCTTGGACTATTGCAGCAGCATATTCGTTTACTTCCCGAGCAAGCAGACGTGCGCCAGTGACATTTGATTCAATAATGGATGCGCCGGGGGAGGTTAAGCTCAGGATGGAGGTAGCAATTCTGAGGTTTGCGTTGAGCGAATCTGTCAAAGAGAGATCCCATTTTGGTGTTGGCCATCCGGACGGATCGCCGCCATGAGCAGCGAGTACTGCGAGAGAAATCATCAGGTTATCAGTTATAAAAAGAAACTCGCACAGGCTGCTAACCATCCGTGTACACTGGGGGCAAAAAGTGAGAATGAACATCAATTCTACCGCCAGCATTGCAAGCACTGCCTCCTTTTATTTCCGAGGTAGCAAGGGCTCTGACACAAAAGCTGAAATTCTCGCAAATATATGCATGGTACTGTCTATAGAAATTGCGTTATCTAGTAGAAAGATGAAGATCGCTAGACAAGCTAGATTTTAACAAGTGGAATAGTGTACACCGGGTTGTGACCTTCTACTTATACATCTAGATTCGGAATGCCTCCGGGCGATTTCTGATTCTGTTATCTGTCTACAGGTCCACTATACGTGCTTAAACTGATTTGGCGAAACTGTGGGCATTCTAGGGTTTTAGATGTCATAGTTACACTAGGGATGAGGTGGAAGCTTTCTGGGGTAATGGGGTATGGGGTACGGGGTATGGGGTATATGGTTTGAGGCCCATTTGCTGCCGGATCAGGGGAAGCGAGTTACCCGTCGGGTTGGTTCCGAAAGTGAGGCTTCATCCGTGGACGATTCCGTAGGCGACGTACGGCGGTATTGATCATCCTGCAACTCTTTATCGTCATAATGTTCATATCTGCACCTCCGCACCTCAGCCCTTTCCTTCCATTTCAATCTAGCATTCCATGTGTATAATTATCTCTCTAATACGCCAACTATTGAGCAATATGGCTGACCACGTGTACGACTGGCTGCAAGCTAAAGCCATGGGTTGGATCCCTAGCCCACCTGTCAACAAAATTGATACCCACCATCATTTCGTGCCAGACTTCTATGCTAAAGGTTTGCTAATAGGTCATTGCAACAATTCCGTTTCAGTCGCTAATATCATAGTGTGAAGCTGTCACAGAAGCCGGAGGTCAGTCTCACAATTGCCCATCTATCACGGTATGAACAATCCAGCCTGACCTGCTGTATTTTATTTTAGGGGACCCTAGCGGTTGGCCAACACCACGATGGACGCCTTTGAGCTCTGAGCTTGTAATGAAACGTCTTGGTATCAAAAGAGCGATCCTCTCCTGTACGGCGCCTGGAGCATGCATCCTCGAAGGACAAGCATCATACGATCTGGCACGTCAATTGAATTTATATGCAGCTAATCTCCGTAATAAGCAACCCGACAAGTTTGGTTTTTTTGCCAACCTCCCGAGCTTAATCGATACAGAGGCTGCGTTAGCAGAGCTAAGATTCGCCCTCGACACGCTAAAGGCCGACGGAGTGGTGATATTTACGCGCTACGGAGATGCTAACACATACTTGGGCCATCCTGTTCTAGAGCCTATTTGGGCAGAGTTTCACAAGCGCAAGGTCGTGGTCTTTGTTCATCCTACACACCCTGTTGACACGGCCAAAGTGAACGATAAGCTACTACAGCCTATGATCGACTACCCCCACGAGACAACGCGTGCGGCTATGGATATGATTATGATGGGCACGCGCCAGAAGTATTCAGACTGCAAGGTCATTTTGTCGCACGCTGGTGGTGCGCTACCCTACCTGATCAGCCGGTGTGCTACACCATTGCGCAAGGCCCCTGGCGTTGCTGCTTCCTACGTGACTGGCACTACGTACGAGAAGGTGATGCAAGACTTTCGCAGCATGTATTACGATGTGGCGCTCTCAGCAAGCCCACAGGTTCTAGACATGCTGTTTAAGATGGTTCCTCATGACCACATATTGTATGGGGTATGTAAAATTCTGCAGCCCTTTCAATGTGTAGAATGCTAATGATTGTACAGAGCGATTTTCCCTATGCTCCTCCTCCGGCCTATCCTGCATTCATCGAAGACCTTGAGAGCTATGAGATGGATTCCGAAAAAAGGGATAAGATCAATTCTAAGAATGCGACGGCGCTGTTTCAAGGATTGGAGGAGGAATAGTGTCTATCTATAGGGCCTTTTATATCTTTAGATCGTGCAGTATTGGAATTAGTTGAGACTGAGCAAGCTGCTTCGAAAAAACCTAGTCCTAGCGAATCTACTCCTCTAGTTCCGCTACAACGAGCTCTTCTTCCAAACAACAGAAAGCTTTGCAGTATCGTAGATACATCTTCAATTGAAGTTTTTATGATATATGTTCCGGCCCAACCACCAACTATTCTGGTTGGCCAACTGGCCGGCCCAACCACCAACTTTTGGGTTGGTGGTTCGGCCAGCCCAACCGCCAACCTGCCAAGAAGCGGGGTAGTTAGAATAGTAGAATAGAGTATTGAAGCTTCATATTATACACCTATATACGCAATTATGGCTACTATTACTTCAATTAATCCATTTTCAAACAATGTACGTACTGCCTTTAAAGCTTATATAAGTAGTATAACTTACTATAATCGTAAGCAGCTCTTATATAATAAATAGGAGCGTATATACATAATACTATAGAACCTAGCTGCTTTTAAAGTAACATATAAAGAAGTAAAGGCTCTTAAGCATCATATGTAGTCTAATTTTAAGCTTATAGATAATAAGCTCTATAGAAAAAGCAATGTATAGCACTTAAACGCTTAATATGTAGTTTAGAAAGTAGAGGTCTTTAATGTTATTATAGAAGAGTACCTTAAGCTTCTATACGTAAGCTAGAATAAGGTGTAGGCTATAATTAAGCAATAGTACTATAGAATAAAGCGAGAGGATATAAAGTTTATACTTAAATAGTGTAAGAATTATACCTTAAACTAACTAAATACTATAAAAGCTCTATTAGTCCCTATTATAAGTAGACAGGCGTAGGAGAGGGTTTAAATTAACTTAATTAACATATGCTATAAGCTATTAGGGTAGTATAAATGAATTCTATATATATTTAAGGATTACTTCTTAAAGTATATATAGCTTTACCTATTAAAAAGCAAGCATATAGAGCTAATTTCAGACTGCTTTACTTAATTTATTATAGCTTTCTTACCTCTTAAGATTATATAAGCTAATAATAGGAAGGAATTTAAAGGGGCTCTCCTTATTCTACTATAGAAGTATAGAATTTAGGTGGTAAATAGAGCACTACGATTACTATAAACGTAAGGCCTAGTTAAGTAGGCAAATGGACTAGTTAAGAATAAGCTCTAGGCATAGAAAATAGATCATGGGTCTATAGAATGGAAAGAGGGGCTGCTTAAGGTCACGCTTGTAATGAACACCCAAATCCACTCTACAATTAGGTGTGCGCTAGCTGAGCTTCTATTCCGAGAGCGGAGCTCCCACATTAACTGGCTTAATAGTCAGGCCTAGAAGGATCTGTCAATTGGAATTGAGCAGGAAGACCCAACCATAGGCCTGATATTTGAGAGTGATTTTGAGCCCGAAGCTCTAATTGACCCACAGCTCCGCCAGGCGCCAGAGCTCTTAATTGAGCTTAGAATTAGGAGCTCCCACTCTGAGCTAGAACTCGGAATTGAGCTCGCA